CCCCTCCCCCATCCTAAACTCCCTATCTAGTTTGCTAACGCAACCCCCTCCAGCGCTCTTCCTCTCCTCAATGGCGTACCTCGAAGGCGCGTCGCCCCGCCAACGCCTGCGCGACGCTTATCTCCCTGGCCTGACGAAGAACTTCATGGTGTGGCCGTGGGTGCAGTTTACGAACTTCAAGTATGTGCCCATGGAGCATCGGGTGCTGGTTGTGAATGTGGTGAGCTTGGGGTGGAATTGCTATCTTAGTGGGTTGAATGCGGGGGGTGGTGGGGGTGTGAAGGAGAAAGGGAAGGAGGGTGGGGAGTTACCTCCTTCGTAGGGGGTTGTGGGGTGGGAAGGGGGTGAAGGATGGATTGACTTCCGTACATGCCAGCCAGTCATCACGATGTTTTCAGGACCGAGCAACTCGGAGATGTAGGGGCAGAAGAACGATCGGAGAGTAGCGGCGGCGGAGAAGCTGGTGATGTGATAGTGGTGCCATGTCTTTAAACTTGTAACCGGCAGTGGAGCCTATCGGTCCGTTGCTTACATCAAAGCCTCAAATGAACGTTTCATACGTTTCCAATACACGAGAACGGAGATATACCTACCCAGCAACAAGTATCCACATGCTAACAACCAAACCTAAACAACAAACACATCCCTCACATTCACCACCTGCCCCGTAGCCATCGACCGATTCGCACAGATCCCCGTAAGAATCGACAACGCCCCATCAACATGACTCGCCGCCCTCATATCGCCATCTATCTGCGCACCCCTCTCCCCAAAAAGATCAGCAAGCAGCACCTCATCCCCCCCACCATGTGCACCAACACTATCCGGAATCTCCACATCAACAGGCTTCTCAAACAGTTTCCGCAGCGTGATCGTTCGCCGCTCAAGCGACCCTTCTAACGACTGCTCGCTCCCGCTATTCACGTAACTCTTCTCCACAACCTCCATCTCCACGCGCCCCCCCGTGCCGTTGAACGATACGCGGAACCCTTCCCACGGCGCATACGCAGTGAGTGAATACGTCAAGACAGCGCGATTCTCATACCGCACCATAACGCTCATCGTGTCTTCGATACTAATACCATCCCCAAACACGCTCTGGTCGCGGTAATACCCATCTTCATGTTCGGCGTCAAGGTACAGACTCGTCAGCTTGTCGTTGCGCTCCATGTGCAGCGCAAAAGGATCGGATTTCGCCACTTCGCTGCCGTGTGCGCGCGGGTAGAAGGCTGTTACGCCGCGGGATTCGGCGTTTTCGCGGCCGTAGAAGGATAGGGAGCCTTGGGCGTAGACGGTGGAGGGGCGGGAGTGCAGCCAGAAGTTTACGAGGTCGAAGTGGTGGGTTGATTTGTGGACTAGGAGGCCGTTTGAGTTGCGCTTGTCTCTGTCATGGGTCAGTCAATGCGATATGTCGTCTTATAAATCGGCAGTGAGTGAGTGAGTAGTGAGTGGAAAAGAAAAACAGTGCCAACCAACCTATGCCACCGTCTAAAATAATCCGCCCCATGCACCGTATCCAACATCCACTCAAAATGCACACTCGTCACCCTCCCAATCGCGCCCCCTCTCAGTAGCTCCCAAACCCGCGTATTATGCGGCGCATACCGATAATTAAACGTCACCCTCACCCTCCGCCCCGTGCGCTCCACAGCCTCGAAAATCTCCCCACACCGCTCCGCATCAATCGTCATCGGCTTCTCTGTCACAACATCGCAGCCGAGTTCTAGCGCCCGCACAATGTATACGTTGTGCGTGCGGTCGATGGTGGTTACTATTACTTCGTCGGGGTGGGTTTCTGCGATCATGAGGTCGAAGGCTGAGGCTTTGAAGGTGGGGACGCGCGCGTGGCCTAGCGCTTCTAGTTGCGCGTTTGCGTAGTCCATGCGTGTCTGGTTTGTGTCGCAGAGGGCGACGAGGATGGAGGAGGATTTGTAGGTTGTGGCGATGGCGGAGTAGAAGAATGAGGAGCGTCCGCCTGTGCCGATTAGGGCGTATTTTTTCTGCTTTGGAGAGGTCATGATGGCTTTTATGGAAGGCTTTGAGGGGCGGAGCAGAAGTCTGTGCTGCTTTTGAGCGTTTTTGTTGAGATTGGTTTGGTGGTGTGTAGTGTGTCACTGTTATAGGATGTCGTAGACCCCAGCTTTCGGGGGTCTTTGTACCGATCAGCGAGGTATGTGACGTCGATCACGACCTTTTTGCTGGTTGTTGCATGCGGGATCTCCAGTAAGTCCACCCCCATGGGGTGTGCCAAGGATGTGTAATACGGGACCGGGCAGCGGGATAATCGAGGTCCAGCGGTGTTGCTCTCAGCTTTCATTCTGGGGTGGAAAGTTGGGAAATTTTGAAGCACGTTAGGCTTGCGTTCAAGTGACTTGAAAAATCTACTGAGTCTGTTCAGCCCTCCGAGTAAGCCTTCTTATATATTGTCCCATGCACGCAGATAGTCTCCAAAGCTGATTGTGGTTCAGTTCCCGCTGGTACGGTACCACAACAAAGTCTGGGCAGATGTGCGGGGAACCCAACACCATTCCATGGTTCGACCTGGTGGAGTGACCATGCGGAAGATGCAGTCTGAGGAATGCAATACGTGGATATGGATTCTCCTATGCAACCGAACAAAGTAAATGGAGGCCTTGCATCCTGTTTCCACGCCCAACGCAACACCCCCTTACAGCTACTCGGTTTCGGCGTCTACCGGAACCATACATTGATATATTGATGAGCGGATCTCGTAGCAGAATATCTGGAGAACACTCCTCCGTACACTTCGTCTTCGGAAATGGCAGTCCAGGGCACTCACGAAACGAAAGACAGTATCACCCACCTCGAGCAAACAACCCCTATCCCCGAACCTCGCAATGTCGACACAGCCGCCAAATGGCTCGCAGACACACATATCGACAACACGCCATTCAGCTACGAGGAAGAGCGCGCAGTGCTGAAGCGCATCGACTACCGCGTCCTCCCCCTTCTGCTAGGCGCATACTTCTTCCAGCAACTCGACAAGTCTTCCCTCTCGTACGTGTCCATCTTCGGCCTCCAGAAGGATGCTGGTCTTGTGGGCCGACAGTACTCTTGGCTTGGGTCGATTCTGTACCTCGCTCAACTGGTTATGCAGCCGCTCGCTGCTTTCCTGCTGGTTAAGCTGCCCACGGGGAAAGTTATTGCGGGCGCTATATTTCTTTGGGGAAGTAGCTTGGCTATGATGGCTGCTTGTACGGATTTTCGAAGTCTTCTTGGCCTGCGGTTCGTGCTTGGGACTTTCGAGGCTATGATTGCGCCGGTACGTGAACTCATGTACAGAAGTGACACTCAAAGCTGACTTTGACTTTTGCAAGGCCTGTGTAGCGACAACGTCCATGTGGTGGCGGCGATCCGAACAGACTCTGCGCACGGCGTACTGGAACGCCATGAATGGTGTGACCTACATTGTCGGCAGTTTGTTTACCTACGGTCTTGGACACATCAGTAGCGACGTGATGCACAAGTACCAAATCATCTTCTTGTTCTGCGGTCTCTTGACGGTAGTATATTCCCTAGTTGTACTTGTCCTCATGCCAGATTCGCCCATGAAAGCAAAATATCTCACGGAGCGCGAGAAAATCATTGCAATAGAGCGTCTGAGGGCGAACCAGATGGGCATCCAATCAGGCCACTGGCGATGGGATCAAGTCTGGGAGACGTTCTACGACTTCAAAACCTGGTGCTGGTTCCTCGCCATCGTAGCCATCTCGTGCGTATCCCCCTTCCTACAAAACACTGCAACCTCACCATCATGTCAATCTTGACTAACCCCCTTTGCTACAGAATCGCAAGCGGCGGCATATCCACCTTCGGCAGCCTGATCATCAAAGACTTCGGGTACACGAACTTCGAAGCAATCCTCTTCAACATTCCCTTTGGCGTCATCCAGATCGTCGCCATCCTAGCTTCCAGCTACGGCGCCACTCGCTTCAAGCGCAAAGGCATGGCCATCGCACTCGTCGCCATCCTGCCTGTCATTGGCACCGTCATGATGTTAACCGTGCCGCGCAAGCACAAGGGCGTCCTGCTCTTCGGATACTACCTCGTCTCGTGCCTCGCGGCCATCACGCCCATCATCTACACCTGGCACGTGCAGAACACGGCGGGCGATACGAAGAAGAAATGCACGTCTGCGATGGTGTTTATTGGTATGTGCACTGGTAATGTTATCGGCCCACTGCTGTACTCTGTCGATGACGCGCCGCTTTACCGTCCTGGTTTGATCTCGAATCTGGTCATGTTCGTTCTCGTTGGCATTATTGCGCTGCTTATCCCCGTGTATCTCGCTCTGCTGAATAAGAGGCATGCGTTGAGGCGGGAGGAGCTGGGGAAGTCGGCCGTTAGACTGGATGAGTCGATGCTGAAGAAGGAGGAAATCACTCAGGTGAAGGGTGTTGAGATGGAGAGTGGGGAGGCGCCAGGTCTAGAGCGGGACAATGGATTTCTGGACTTGACGGATATGAAGAATGAAGATTTCATCTATGTGTATTAGGGCGGTGGGATCGGTGATGGAGCTAGGCGGTGGAAGGAGGTTGAAGAGTCATCTGGGTGTGAACAGGCAGACACATATATACCTATTTGAGTCTATACCATGATGATGTACTCACTATAAAAACCGATGTCGTGATTCCCACACACCAAATAACTGCGTCCACCATGTTATAAACCAAGAAAAAATTCCTCGTTCGCCCTCAACCCGTATTGAACTCTTTCTAGGAGCATAGCAACAAGTGAAGTTTGCGAAAAGCTTTGATTTGAGAATTTCAAGTAGATTATACAAGGATATTAAGTCATCATCCAAGACTTATGATGTTTGTGGATAATCCAGCCTTGGTTTCCTGGTTTCAAATTAAATTTAAGCAAGTTGGTTTGTGTCAAAACGATGAAAGACTATTGAATGTTCCTAGATAATGTGGAAACTGTATTCAGGTGGACATGTGCGAAACAGGTAAAAGGAAAGTTGTGCATCGAAGCAACAAGGTTTGCCGCGGGTAAAGTAAGTCTATACGAAATGAAACGCCATATGAATACCTAGAAACACTAACAACATATAGATGCATCAATCAAGCCTCTTCCACCACAGCACACCCCTATAACCTCCACCCCGTTCACTCCCAATCCGCAAATACGTTTCGCTCCCCTCCTTCACAACAGTGTAATTTCGTTTATGCTCAACACCCACCCACGTCGGCACATTCGCCACAACCAGCGGCCCATGGAACAACTGGCCGTCCGTCCTACTTGCAGGTAGTGCTTCGTTGATGTGGAACGGCCCTGCGTACGCGATGCTGTGCTTGCCAATCTGCGCCCAGTCGTGGTCTGTGTCGTCGGGTTGGTAGGGGAAAGTGAGCGCGGGGCGATATTCGGGCTCAGTCGCCGTGATGGTGGCGCTTACATAGCCCGAAGCGCTGTAGGTTAGGATGCCGACGGGGTGGGCGCCATAGGGCTCATCGGGGATGGAGATGCCGTTTAGCGTGCTGGGGGGTGTGAGGACTGAGGAATTACAGGGGTGTTAAGGATAAGGTACCTGCTGGTGTTCACGAGCGAGTATGTGCCTGCGAGGGCGGCGACGATCCTCTTGCTTGCTGTGGATCTAGTGTTGACGGGTGTGGCGTAGTTGGGGAGTGCGGCTGCGAGGGAGGCGGTTGCCAGGATGAGCGGGAGATGCATGATGACTGAATGAACGCACAATCCAGTGTTCAAGATAAAGAATTGAAGTGAATGAGAGATCGAAGTGAGTGAATGAAGAACCTCAAACTGCAGAGTTTCGTCCGTTTTAAAGACTTCGGCGTCATTCCATCCCATATAGGCATGTTGTCAAGACCCTGGTACTGCCTGCGAAGTATCGTGCCAGTCTAGACTACCGTGACGGGGGGTAGAGAGCACAACATGACCAGCAGCCAATACTATACCATGTCATTTCGGCGACGAACCCTTTTCGTCTAGAACAACGGTCGAACCAAGATACACATTCTAAGCGGCAGGCGGTTTGCTGACTGCATATCCGTACCCGAGAATAGCGTCGTTTCAGCGCAAACGAGACCGATGAAGCGCCTTGATTTTGAGGTTGTCAAACTCGCGATGTTTTGGCGCATGCAAAGATCGTTATGGACCAGGAAGTGATGCGTGAGTGGATGGAAGTTTGCGGATACATCGACCTGGATTGAAGCTTCCTTGGCTTTCGCTTCGTGGTGGAGTTGGTGTACCCCGCTTCTTGGTACCAGGCATCTCATCTCATGTCCACCAAGTACCTGGAAACTAAGGTCGTGCGATGCTTGCACGTGAAGATCCTGGTAGGGATGGCTCGGTTGTTTTGCAATCTTGTAAACATTCATGCATTGTGTTGGAGTGCTCGACCAACACGCGACCGTCGTCTTGAGAGTTTACCTTCTAGGAAGTACAAATAGATGCCATCACCAAGAGATACACGCGAGGTCCCATACCAGATAAGATATGTCCTTCCTGCACATCCATGCTCTCTTGCGTATGTCCGCTTCGGTCCGACTGTGTCTCAAGTATTGCTGTCTCTCCGTGACGGCGCTTTCTCGGACGCGTGCGAGCTAGTAACGACTACATGGCATTGGCGAGCTCCATATCCACGCGTTGCTGTTCAGCTAAAGTTATAACTATCGTCACTACCAATGTTGTTATGGCTCACAAGGAGCAGAGTTAGCAGCAGAAACTGGCATCATAACTGCATCCAAAATGTTTTCGACAACTGCGAGTGGTTCCATTATCAACTCGCTCTCAAGCATACGTCCGCATCAACGTTAACCTCGAAGACTAACATCGACGAATACGACATATACAAGTCATTAATCAAATAGTACCGCTTGCTTGAAGTCGTTCGATGGATTGCTTCGCCATCTACTATGCACTGAAAATTGCTTTGTTCTCCTCGACCCAATCCCCAAGACTGGTTGCCGGCTTACCAGTGTAAAGCTCCACATTGTTTACGCCCTCCTCATAGCAGGGCCACCGCACACCATTTCCCTTGTCTGTGCCTTTAATACTCCACAAATCCACCATATGTTTCGCGGACGCGGCCGGTATGCCGGAGCCGATGAGTTTGTCGTACGTTTCCTCAGGACTCCGAGCCGTTATCGTCATGTCTTTGCCAAGTGCCTTGCCTATTTTGGCGATGCTGTCATGCATCGATAGGACTTCGGGACCGTAAAGATACACCTTGTTCTGTCCGTTACGTGGACCTGAAACGAGGATGTTGGCAATTACTCTACCGATGTCGCTCGGTGTGATATTGTCCTGCTCGAACAGGCCGCCGCACAGCAGTTTCACGTCGTTTGCAGCTATACCATCTTTCTCCACCAGCAGATTCGTGATGAAGCATCCGGCACGGACGGCGACATAGTGGTCAGAGCCAAACGTGTCCTCCAGATTCGCTTCAGCCTGCGCATGCAAATGCGGAATCATGTCGGAGGAAGGGATCTCTCGCAAACTCAGATTGGTAGGGATAGTGAAGCTGCTCAGGAAGACCACAAGTTCAATACCTGCGGCCTTCATCGCCACGATGGCGCCCTTTAGGTGATCTGGTGCGCCATGGATGAGGTAGATGAATGCGCGCTTGGCTCCAGAGGTCTTGACTGCTTGGCTCACAGTCTCGGGTTCCTGTAGATCGGCTTTGATCCTGCAAAAGCCACCTGTCTTTTCTATATCTTGTGTGAGGCCAGGAATGCTTTTTTTGGTGTCTCGCATTGCCAGCCAAACCTTGGCCCCAAGTTCTGCAGCCGTACGTGCGGCAACGGATCCGACTTGGCCTGTAGGGCCGAAAATAATCACGGAGGTCATGACGATGTAGCTAGGTGTGGTTGATGATAGTAATGATCGGCACCAGTGCCTGGTATTGCGGATGAATTGCTGACCTCTGTGCGTTTGTTAAGCTCGCACTCACACTATGCCTTATGTAAGACTTGTCTATCCCACAAAAACATAACGACGTCAGCGAGTGAACGGGGTTATCGGTTTGCTAAAATTAAACCCGAGCGCATCGCCTAATTGAAACTGCCATCTCGATTTGCAGGTGAAGTGATGACTGTACTCTATAGGCTGAGTCAGCGATGCTTATTAGGCGCCCACTGGAAGAGGGGTAAAGTCCTAAGACAAGCAGGGTTGTTTGTAGATTGTCAATGGTTACACACTTTGTGTGATAACAGTAGTCCTTAATTCGTGCTCCGATGCGTCTTCTCAGGCGTGATAGTGATGGCAAGTACTGCCTCAAACAATTTTCTGGCAAAAACGCCAAAGACGTCCCGTTCTATGCCATCCTTTCACACACGTGGGGTGCGGACGGACAAGAGGTCACTTTCAATGATCTGACAGACGACACATCCAGCTACACTCATAAAGAGGGTTATCGCAAGCTCGAGTTCTGTCAGCAGCAAGCAGCCCAAGATGGCCTATCGTATTTTTGGATAGACACCTGCTGCATTGACAAATCAAGCAGTACAGAGCTTCACAGATCACTCAACTCCATGTTCCGTTGGTATCAAGGAGCGGCTAGGTGCTACGTGTACTTAGCCGATGTCTCAGTCAAAGGCGATCCTGAAGAGGACGAAGAAGCGTGGAAGTTGGCATTTGAGAAAAGCAGATGGTTCACTCGCGGTTGGACACTTCAAGAGCTCCTTGCTCCACCTTCCGTTGTGTTCTACTCACAGGAAGCGAAGCGCCTTGGTGATAAACATTCCCTAGAGCAAACAATCCACGAAATTACTCAAATACCAATCAAAGCCCTCCAGGGGACGCCTTTGTCCTACTTCAGTGTCAAAGAACGCAGGTCCTGGGCAGCAAACCGACAAACCACGGAAGAGGAAGATGAAGCCTACTGCTTGCAAGGAATCTTCGATGTTTGCGTGCCGCTCATGTATGGCAGTGGGCGGGCCAAAACGATGGCCAAGCTGGACTGGGAAATTGCGCATTCTGAAAAATCGGGAGAGGAGCAAGATGTTGTGACCATTGGCGGTGCATCATGGAAAGATCTTCAAACGTTGGACAACAGGCAGTTGAAGGAGCTGGACTCGAAGCTCGTAGAGTTTTCGATATGGTTTCTCAAGGAAATCAACATCCACACAGTCGATACCATGTCAGCAGAAGCGGGTCGAAAGTTGCAAGCATTGCTTGAGAGTATGGGTGTATCTTACTATGATGAAACCAATCGTCTGAGAGGACGATATCAGACATGGAGACAGCCCTGGGCAGAATATGAAGCGCGAAATCTACCTGATCTTGGACGAATGCTTGGATACTTGGGCAATCGGTGGTGGTGGGCAAATGGTCAATCCGATCTTGTCACGGGTATCATCGCAGCCAGGACACTAGTAGAACTAATGATCTGGAGAGGCATATGGTAAACTTCGAGTGGTAATGTTCCTTTGATGATGATAGATTTGAGCAGCAATGCTAAGATTTCATCACAGAATTCAGCGTCGATACTCGAGGTGTTTTCGTTCGTGCAGCGTTGTTTGCTCCACCCATTTTGCCACTTGAGTTATTGCCAGTCCAGTAACTGCCAAGGCTTGTCACGGTGATAGCCATTCACAATTAGACGATTTAGGTGCTTCTTGAATGATATCTGCATTTTGCTCAATTCCCCAAAGTCTTAGGATACACAGCCATGTTAGCAGTGTAGCCCAGTTTTTCATAGACTAAACAATCAGTCAAAGTAATTGCCAAACTTCCCATTCTCGTATGCGGCCAAGTCAGCTGGTGTTGAGCCTCCTGCCCAGGTTGCTGGACAAGGATGAACATGAACAACAACACCTCGTTTGTGCTGACCTTGTTGTCTATTAGCACTCTTCGTTTCAAGCGTAGAAGTACATACGACCGTGTGGAAAATCATGGGTCATCCATTTCCCTTCAACAAAGACGTGCGGTAACAATGCTTCAACATGCTCGCATGATACTGACAGTGCAAACAACGCAAGTAATATACCAAGCTCGCCTTTGAGGCCTCCCCAACCTTCCACAGTCGTTTCCCCAATAGCATGGTATATGTCTGGCAGTAGCATACGCGCCCACTGTTGACCGGGTTGTGAGCATTTCAGGGTGGGCTGTGTTCCGGCATTGGTAAGGTAGGAGGAGTGGTTAGTCTGATCGTGGTCAAATGACAAAAGGTGCCACCCGTCATGGGGTGGGGGTTTAGTCGCGTCTACTCAATGTGGAATAGAGTTAGCTCTGCACTGTACTTAAACCCCAAGACAGGTTTGTGGGATTTCTTACCGCCTTTTAGAACCCAGAACCCAGAGCCTCCCGAGTAGTATACAGAGAAGATATCATAAGGGGCTAGTTGTGGGACGTGCGGTGCTTGATAGATATGTCGCCCATCACAGAACCAGTATCTGCCTGAGACACCCTTGTTGACTAGTACGTTGCTTCCGGGGTTTGTACCTGGTACCCATGAGCCCTGTGGAGTATAGATCGGCGATGCGTGTGGGTGTACGGCTATCTCATCAATTCTGAAGATGAACTATGAACATGGCTTAGCAAAGCATTATATAGTAAGACTGTTTCACTTACTGGCACCGTGTTGCGTGACTCGCTTTCTGTGACGTCCGATTCCTCCCCAGATTCAGCGGTCAATCCTACAGGGACTGCAAAAAGCGCCAGTTGTTCTAAATGTTGCGCTAGATGATGCTTGAACCGTGCAGGAGATACTGTGATATGGCTATCTGCATTATACGCCTCGCGCTCCGACAATGTCATGCTTTTTTCAATTCGGTGAACCCAATCTCCACAGCATGGACAGTCTGAGACAGGTATCTCTTCTAAGGGCTTCCGACTGAGCTCGATTACAGACTTCTCATCTCCCTTCTGAAGCAATATTGGATGAATGTGCTTCACGTGGTCGAGATACTGATTTTCTGAGCGAAATCCTTGACTCCCGCATTGGAAGCATTGATAGTGCACGCGATGAAGCTGCATCTCATGACGAAACCAGTCGTTTATGTTACCGAAGAGAGGGGCATCGCAATCCGGGAACGTACATACGTAGGCTCGAAGGTCCCAGAAGACATGTTGGTGCCACTTCTTCTCATCTTTAAACCGGCGTAGGCGGAAACAAAACGGGCATTCAAACGCCTTGTCGTCACGGTCGCGCAGATTTCCTAATCTTGGTATCTTTGTGATAAGCGAAGATGCTGTACTACCGGTAGTTGAGCGCGTTTCGGTGGTATATGACTGATTATCTTCTTCAACATCTGACTCCCCGGTAGTTCTCAGTGCATTTGTCTTAAATTGGGCGGCATCTAAGCTCGTTGCCTTTGTGAAATTCGTAGATGGTGGTGTGGAAGTGGCTGCAGGGGTATCTGCTATGTCTACATCCATGGGGCCATCATTCAACTCACGTCGATGGCTTTGTATATAAGCAAAGTACTGTCGTCGTTGAGTGATAGCACGACCGAGACGCTTTTTCAACCACGTGAGTTTCTCGTTCTCTTTGTCAAGTTTTGGGTATCTCGATCCTACGTGCTCGATGTCAAACCGGTCATCAAATTGGTGGCGATGACTGCAGAGTGCTTTTGCGAATCTGTCAGTGGGACTAGCTCTTCGAATCAAACTGGAAACTTTGAAAAGGCGGGTAATGCAGGCTTCAATTTCTTTGCAGAGTTCGGCAGCCTCGTTCCACGTACTCTCGCCCATCGGTGCTCTCTCGTTACTCGGATCGTTGGGGATTGGAGACGACACTTGCGCCTGAGCCTTATTGGACGAAATGTCCAGGAGGTCGTTGGCCGCCTCTGCCAGGTCGTCCATAAGCTCAAATATGTAGGCTAGGACCTCTTCAGCATCGCGAAGCCGTGATTCCATGGACAAAGGTGAGTTTTCGGGTTTCAGAGCGCCGATGTTCCCACAAAAGAGACTGAATCTTTCGAGTTCTTCTCTTATCACCGGTTGCTGCTGCCCAGTTGCGAGAATGGACTGCAAAGTTGAAGAGATGGCTCTAGATCTTTCCGAAACCGAAGACATCGTTCCTAAGTTATTCGAAGAAACTCCAAAGACTGGAAGAGCGAAACGTGAGACTGTACAAACTTAGCTTGTTGTTCTTTTCGTGAGAAGCAGCTAAGCAATAAGATAAGGCTGGTGTAACAACATACCAGTCGCCTGAACTTGAGCGTCAAAATCTGTACAGTGCCAGTATGATAAGCTGATAAGGTATACGAGGCTGAGGTCTTTGGACATTTTAGTGGGGTGAAAAATGCGGGGTCAAAAACTGGTGAATACGCTTCCCCCCAGCTCGTCAAGCTTCACTTTCTGCCCTCAAAACTCAAACCTTGCTACCGTACACCTGTAGCTCCTACCTCTTATTCCGACAGCTTTAGTTGTATGCTCCAATATTCTTGTCTAAACAATGAGCGGCCTTGAGATAGCTGGTGCCGTTCTTGCTACATTTCCATTAATCATATCCGGTCTCGAGCACTGGAAAAAGGCTGCTAGAATCGCCGGTTTCTTCAAACATATACGAGAGGAATATAACAAGTGTCGGCGTGAGGTTCAATTCCATCAGCTTGAATATGTGGGGCATCTGAAACAATTGTTGTTTCCTATTGTGGGCGATCTGGACGAAACCAAGCGTTTGATTAACGAGACGGACTGCAACGAATGGCGCGATCCAATAATGCAAGGAAAGCTGAAAGAGCGTCTACAGGATTCCTACGAACTGTATATGGAAACCATAACCCGTATGGATCAATCGGCCAAAGCTCTTCAAAAGGAACTTTGCTTCGATGATACAGCCGTGCAAAGCAAGATCAACAATGAGGCAACAAGACAAGCATCTCCTAGTCGCTCCTCTGTCCTGTCACACATCAGATCAAAAATTGATTACCAATTGTTCAAAGTCAAGTTCAGCCTAAGGGAACTCAATCGACGGGAGCACTTTGACCAACTCAAGGAGTGTAACCACCACCTCGAAAGACTCCTCAACACGAGCGACAAGATTTCTGCATTACAGAATACCCCAAATCAAAGCAGCAAACGGGTAAAACACTTGGAAAAAGTGTTCCTGGCGGCGTGGAAGATGTCTTACCACCTTTTCAAGGCTTTACAAATGTCGTGGAATTGCCCGTGTCAAAAACTTCACTTTGCCAATCTGAAGCTCGAGCACCGCAATAATCTCGATATTGTATTTGATGTTACCTTTGTTTTCGGAAGGCACCCCGGGTCGACTCTTCTTCCGTTGTGGTCATGGCAAGAGATTCAGTGCAGCCATATGCAAGATTGTTCCAAACTGTGCAGCCAGCAACCGAGTACTCCCCAGTCATCGGATAACCAAGCCAATACTGGTCAACAGCTGGATACTACGCCAGTGCCTAGTCCCAAGGTGGTAAACCAGGATTCCTCAGGGCCATTGCCGAAAGGCAAGAGGGTAGAATTTGCGACAACCATACCTGCAACACCCGGTTTCACTCTACCCATCAGAACGGGTTCATCCATTCGCCTCTGTGAACGACTTGCGGATGCACACGCCTTAGAATGCATAGGGATCGTTGAACATGATTTACAGGTCTACCACTTACACCCTTTTAACGATCGAGACAAGCCCGACAACGATTGTCCCCTCACACTCGATCACATACTGTGTAAAAATTCCCAACATGCCATTTCTCCACGACCACGATATTCGATAGCCCTCCTCGTAGCCTCGTCCATTGTGCAGCTCAGCTCCACGCCATGGCTGCTCACCGAGTTGAGCAGTAAAGATATCATGTTTTATCCCGAGGCTACAACCAACAGTGACCTCCCTTTCGGCGAGCCATACATACGTCAAGATTTTCCCGACATAGGTCTCTCTGGAAAAGCGACGCCACTTGTGGAATGTAACTTCCAATCGCTCGGTATCATTTTGCTCGAGTTGTGCTTCGGCAGCCGGCTCGAAGACCATCCCAGATACGCAACTGTTCCCGAAGAGTTCAGAATCGCGTGCAACCTGACAACGGCAATTGCATGGTCACACGATGTCTCCTCCTATGCTGGCGAGGATTATGAAGCTGCAGTGAAGTGGTGTCTGACGAGTGCGGGTCAGACGCGCAAGAGTTGGCGCAGTGAGATCATCAAGAACGTTATTCAACCTCTTGAGTTGTGTCAGCACAATTTCGAAGCAGTACTCATAGTATAGCACCATGTCGATTTGGTGCTATTGCAAGTCTTCGAGAATGACGGCTTTGTGCTATAAAATTTAATGAAAAGTTAATTGTAGTGTTGATCAACCAATTGAAGACGAGAATCAAGTCTATGCTGCAGCTTGGCGTGAGAATGGAGCATACTCCATCCACTTAAGATAGTCTCGTTGAAAGTGATAGACATGGATCATCATATATGCCCTAGCCCGTCATCTCTCTCTTTTCAATCTACCCTATAGGTACGCATCGACAAGGTCCTCAAAATACTGTCTAGCAACATTGAGCTCCAAATTCACGCTACCCTTGACCTTCTGCTGCTCAGTCGATGCCTTTTTCCCTATAACAGCGTCTAGAATACTCTTCGTCGCCTCCATATTAGGTTGGTTGTTGATTTGCAGACTGACTCCCCCACTCTCCACTTCATTGCTACCAACGACAATGATATAGTTGTATTTCTTGACCTTTGCCTCAGCAATTTTCTTGCCGAGCGAACGAGGGCTCGTATCAACATCGACAGGGAGATGAACAGTCGACATAGGTAAAGGTTGGGGGTCTGAGGACACAGGCATATCATATGGATATTGTGGCGTGATACCGGACAGTACGGACTGGACATAGGCGACGTAATCCAGGGTTTGGGGATCAGAGTTTAGAGAGAGGACGATGGCTGGACGAGGAGATAGCCACAAGGGGTATTTTCCAGCGTAGTGCTCGATCAGCAATGCCATGAAGCGTTCAATTGAGCCGTAGATGGCCCGGTGCACGATGACGGGACGACGGTACTTAGGATCAAGGCCGGCGTTCATTGACGACTGCGAGTCTTTTTCTAACTCTTCCGGCGAGGCTTGGTATTGCAAGCCAAACCGTTGTGGGAGCTGGAAGTCGAGCTGGATGGTCGCAGTTTGATGCTCTTTGCCGTTCGAGTCTTTGAGAATAATATCGATCTTTGGCCCATAGAAAGCGCCATCTCCTTCGTTTATGGCCCATTCGCTACCGATGTTGTTCAGAGCGGTGGTTAGCTGCTGTTCTGCTTGATCCCATTCTTCGATGGTGCCAATGAAGCTGTCCTTGGGCCGGGTGGACAGGAGCAGCTTGTATGGACCGAGGCCGAATGTTTTATACACCATGCCCACAAACTTTAACGTCTGTTCAATCTCAGACAAGATCTGGTCAGGGCGACAGAAAATGTGAGCGTCGTCCTGGTGAAAGCGTCGCACTCTCGTCAAGCCTGTGAGGGCCCCCGAGATCTCGTTTCGATGCAGTGCGCTAAAGTCTGCCAATCGAACAGGGAGATCTCGATAGCTCTTGATCTCACTATCAAACAGCAAGCAATGGCCTGGACAGTTCATGGGTTTCAGTCCAAATTCTTCATCCTCTCCCGCCTCTCTCCCCTCCTGGCCTGTTGCGCCTCGTCCCTGGACGCTGAACATATCTTCGGCATAGTTCTCCCAGTGCCCAGACTTTTCCCAAAGCGACTTCTTGTATATCGTGGGGGTGATGACTTCCTGGAAGCCGAATTGCGGATATTGTGCGCGCAGAAATGACTGCAACTTTTGGAAGACGTAGGCGCCATTGGGGAGGATGAGCGGCGAGCCAGGGCTGTATGGCGATGTGATGAAAAGATTGTGGCTCTGGGCGAGTGTGCGGTGGTCTGTAGGAGGCGTGGGCGGGTCGGTGGTCGTGTGAATCTGCCGCGCATTTTGCGATGCTTCCGATGAGACGGTGATCACCGGGTGGGATTGCGCCGACGCAGAACAGGAGCAGCTCCTGTTGAATATACGCCCATGTTGACGTATAGTCCTGGAACCCAGTTGCGCTCCTCTAGCAGCATTAAGCGCAATCGAAACCTGTCGCAGTGGTGGCATCGAGAAGTCTGGCGAGCTTCACCATCTCGCAAGAGGTCGAGCTGCACTTTCCGAGATGGTGGCTTGGCACAGTGTGCGCTCCCCACCTCGAGTATGACGTATGGCCAACCCGCGACCCACGACCGCGACAACAGAGTGAAAGGAGCTCTTCTGGGTCAAGCACATTTAGACCTCGTTATTTATACGGCGAACATTACGCGTGACATAGCTATACCCAGGCTGCCACCCACCAAACAACGCGCTTGGAGCCTGATTGGCGCGTACCACGTCACACCTCAAAGAAAGGACCTGGGTGGCATTGCCCTTTCACCCTCTTGAATCCTACATTGAACACCTACTATATTACTCTGCTTGTCGCGATTTGTTTTTATAATTTGGTGTTGTCCCAGTCATACTACCTTTCTCCACTGATCGCCTCCTACGTCATATTTACCTTCCAACAACTTGAATACCCACAATGAGCGCACATTCACGCAGACTTCAAAGCAGTCTAGCCAGTAGCTGGGGCGACGCAGACTACTCATCAGACGGCGGCGCATCGATTCACTCTGCAAGCGACGAAGCTAGCGAAGTTGACCTTGAGGATTCAGACAAAGAGGTTTTGCAAACAGCCACACCCCTTGCACCCCGTACGACGCGGACTTCTTCGACTCACCCAGACGTCACACCGGTTAAGAAACCACTTAGCAAAAGTTCATCTCAGTACTCGCAAGGTCCCCGAACCACACCACGGCCCTCAAAGAGACTGGCACAATCTACACCTGGTCTGGAGCGCAAAGAGCCAAGCTTCATCATGCCTTCTCTCGATAATTCGATCAGTGATTCCTTCGACGGGTCGCCAATGCGAAGTTCTCAAGTGCGAAACAGAAAGTCAGACAGGCCTTCTTCACGTCGCAAGGCAGGCGCTTCTCCTCGGGCACCTGGTCGACAGACTCCATTAGACCCCCCGCAAGAGCAGAAAGAGCTTGGTCCATGGTACTACGTGGATCTCTTCTACAGAAATATCGCCCTACCCCTCGCAGCCTACATATTTGACATCTTCGCCTATGCAATGCGGCACTTTGTCAAGCCAGTCCTCGGAGTCGTCCTGGGACTCGGCATCATCTATCTCGGCTTCCAAGCAGCCTCTGTATTCCTGTACTCGACACTCTCGAGCGCACTCACACCCGTCTGCCTGATTCCAGGCTCCTCCTACATCCTCCCGTTCTGCAGCAACACCGAGCACGAAACCCAGCGCGCAGACTTCGAAGAACTGATCAACGTGCAATCCCGCTTCGAAGACATCCTCGACGCATCAAAAGACACATCCACCCTCCCCGCCACAATCAAAGACTCCGAAATCGCCATCCGCGACCTCCGCACTCTAGTCCGCCACTCCCGCCTCCCCTCACGCAGCCAACTCGACCTCGAATTCGCAAACTTCGTCCTCACCGCCAACGAAGCCTCAGTCGACCTCTCGCGCTACAACTCCCGCATCGGCGCAACAATGGACCGCGTCATCGCGACAAACACCTGGACCATGGCCGTGCTCTCCGGCATCTCGGAGAAAGAAGCCAGCGTCGGCGCCGTAAGCCGCGCATTCAGCTCCATGACCGGCGTCTTCATCGCGCCGCCGCCCACACTACAGCAGCGCATCTTCGACCAGTACCTGCTGCACGTCAGCCAGAACAAAGAGGAGATCACACGCCTGATCGAAACCGCACAGGCGCTGCTCCAGGTGCTGCAGAATCTCGACGAGCGCCTCGATACTATCTACCAGATTGCGACGAATGACGATACGACTATCACGAAGAATCAGGATGAATTGCTTTCTTCGCTGTGGACGAAACTCGGTGGCAATTCGGCGTCTGTGCGCGCGAATAAGTCTCACCTCCATTTGCTGCGCGATATTGCTGGGTATCGGCGCAAGGCCCTGAAACATGTTAGTCAGACGCTGCTCAAGTTGCAGGAGATCCAGGCGCAGCTGGAGAATCTGAGAGAGGGGGTTGCGGCGCCGGAGGTCTTGGGGTGGAGAGACGAGGTCCCGTTGACGTACCATTTGGATGTTATTGAGAAGGCTGTTGATCGGCTACGGGTCTCTAGGGGGGAGAGTATGAGGGTCGAGGGGGATAATTATCGTAGGATGATTAGGGGTGGGGAGGATGAGGGGGGGTTCAAGGAGTTGCCGGGACGGGGGGTGCCGGTTGTTACTGTGAAGGCGAAGTAGGGGTGCGGTTGTTTGGAATGCACTGCTTGGATAAGATTGTTATCCGCTACGGGATTGTATATATGTCGGGCGTTATTGAGAATTTCTTGCGCCTTCAAGCTTGTTTCTTGCTCAGATACCCTCCCTGCTCTTAGCCCTAGACCCAAACCATCATGACCTCTACCTTTGACGTGTCAGAAGCATAACAATGTATCCGATGAGACCATTCGCGAACCGTGAGCCATCTTTACTCTCTTCATCAGCTCCACCATCTCCCATTCCGCCACGACCCACAGACTCACGTCCAGCCCGATGTTCCCCTATCCTGAATTAGCCCTATGAACATCTCAGCAACCAACATCCCAGGTGTTGAGCTCTGATGCACCAGCATCATCAACACCCAGAGGTTGATTTTCGAAAGTCTCACAGAACGTCTCGCTATCGCTGGGAGACTCGGGACACCGCTGTAAAATGTATGTCAGTTTGAGGGATCGAATGCGGAAATGTATCGTGCTCTGACCTTGATCGTGAGACCCATTTCGCCGCACTTGTTGCATGTGATCTTGCTCCACTTGGATTCGGCGCAGTTGCGGAACATGTGGCCTTGCTTTTGGCAGTTCCAGCACGTAGTCTGACGGTAGGGGCATTCCTGTTGGGTGTGGCCTGTTGCTAGACAACCGGTGCACGTGGTTTTGTCCGACGAGTGAGTGCCGCCGTCGCCTCTGTGTAGGTTAGTAAACAACCACGAGTTATTTTGAGCGAATGTAAAGGCATACGTAGACTTCGCAGCGGAGTAAGTGTCCACTTTGCGGTGGTCGTGATACTTCGCGCAGAAGTCCCGCTTCATTTCCTTGATCCAAACCGTCTTCCCCTTCGTCTTCAGGACAGAAGTGCTTCCTGGCACTAACTCTTTGGTTCGACACGCGTCGATCAAATCCATGAGAAATTCATTTGGGAATTCTTGTCCCGGGTCTTTCCAGCTGGAGTCGCCAAAAGCATACGTGTCGAGTAGTATATCGATGTGCAGTTTTCTAAGCATCGAGGTTTGCGTAGTGCCCGCATACATAAGACTCGAGCACTGCGCATTGACTCCCCACACCTGAGCCATGTGCAAGAAGAATAGCTCCACGGCTCTGTTCTTTAACGCTTGAACCATGTGGAAATCCGCGAATACATATAAGTTGATAATATCCGCCCAGCCCAGATTGGCATCTGAAACGCCAGTGCCGTCCGTGACGACACCAGTGTACAACCAGTAGTAGAACCTTTCGAAGGTATTGATGGAGACATCTGACAAGGTGTGGGAATCGGAACCTCCCTCCTCGAAAGGGCCGTCGAGAAGTTTCTTGAAGTAAGCAGAGTGGAAGCACAGTAGACCGCGGTGTATGTGGTATTCCTTCTGTACGCAGCCCGCGCCAACCATGACTTTCATCATGCGATCGAAGGTAGCGCTTTTATGGTGAGTGACAAAAGGTCTCTGAGACATATGGCAGTAACTTACAGGGGTGGCTTTGTTGTCGGTTCGCAGCATGGAATAGGGTCCTCGAGTGAGAGCTTTTCTAGAGCTTTTATACTTTCTTTGGAGGGTGCCATATTGTATCAGTCCGCTCTGTGTAGTTGGAAGAAGTACGTTGGTTGAAAATGCTGTGCACCTCGTGTGACCGGGCTGCTCGCGAATAGTTGAGAGGTGAGTATGTATTGGGTGTTTAGAACGCGTTGTCCGTTGCAAACAGGCGTGATTGGTGCCCACGAAGAAACCAAGGTTGAGATTTTTCACTTGGTTTGATTGCAGCAGGAGAAGATGAAGAGAAGGCGTGAAGCGTGAAGGCAAGGCTGGGTTCGATGAGTTGCAAATCAACAATATCACAATGTAGAGCTCAATCCGCTCCTTTAGTCGAGACTGCAGCTAGAAGCAAGAGAACTGTCGTCGTCATGACAAGAATCATGGTGAGTTCGAGCAGACGAGGTAGACATGGTGAGAGGCGCCAAAAGTCTTGGCAGTGACCGCAGCAGTCAAAGCAGGCAAGAGCGTCGTACCAGGGGACAAGTGAAGGCGACAAAGTTGGGTTACAAAAACAAATTCACGTAAAACCAATGCTTAGAACAAGAGCCAACTTTACTATACGCCTACCCGCCATGCACAACGCACTACCCCGAGAGAACATCAATCATATGATCTACCTAGCTCATTCCAACCCGCATCACCGCCCTCATAAGAACGCCACACACCAGCGCGAGCCCAAAAGCTACCAGCCCATATATTACCCCCGACGAAGTAAACGCCACCTCACCCTCGCTGAAAGCAGAAAGCGATTGAACAGAAAAAAAAGGTATCAGACTGAAGAGAAATGCACACAAACCAGCCATTCATCAAGAACTCGAGAGCCCGGTTTACCGTCGCGGTGCTCCACCCGTCATGCGTCCACCTCCGGCATTGAGACTCTGGCGCACAATCATCTCCGCAGCCTGCGCGGCAGCGAGTCGCTCCTGCAACGAAAGTTAGTGCATATTCTCTCTACCACACCAAACAATGTGGAACGTACCTTTTGTCTGCTCCTGTCTTTGAGATACCTCTCAGCATCAACCCTCATGCGCAAGATCCTGAGAATCATATCATCGTTCGGCTCAGCCTGCGCCTCTTTCCTCTTCTCCTCCTTTGCCTTCTTCATCGTGCCCAGGTTCCTGCTCAGCATGATGGTCTTGTGTTTCCTCGTCGGCATACCCACCAATCCCGCCGCACCACCGAATTGATGGCCGAGAGACGGCGGTGCAGACTGCCGGTTCATACGAGCAACTTGTTCCTGTTGCCTGCGGGTGCTGGCCGCAGCCATAGTCTCTGAAGTGCGGATGAGCTCCTCCGTGGGTTCGAAGTAGAAGAAGTTGAGGTTCTGGAGCTCGTGGTATTTGGACGATTTGAGGACGTCCATGGGGACACCTTCAACATTCCCGTCTTCATCTGCGGCGTGGAAGAAGTCAAATAGCAGCTTGAGCCATTTGAACACGATGTCAAGTTCTTGCTGTGATAAGGGTCTCTGCTGGGATAATTTGTCGGAGAGTGGCGGGACCAGCAGTGACTCTATTGTCGACAAGGCCTCTTTCCATAATCGTGTCATGACCATGATCATTGCGGGATCGGTCAGTGTCTGTTTCATGATCGCAAAGTTCGCGTCAAAGTAGTCGAAGAGAGGTGTGAGTGCCTCGGTCGCCTCTTGCGTTATGTTACCCACGGCCACGGACTGAGGTCGAGCGGCTTTGAAATAGCTCGTGACTGAAGAGACTGAATAACCACGGTTGAGCAATCGTCCCAATGTTTGTCTTGAAAGCGTATTGCTGATGAATGAGGAAAGCTGCATGTGTTAAGAATAGCGCAACAATTCTCGAGTGGGGCGCATACCTTGTCCGTAATCTGTCTCGTCATGTCACGTTCAGTCCTCTTAAGTGTTCTGAACGCCTTGCCAAAGTAGAACTGAATGTCATCTCGCTCGCCCTCCATACTAACACGCAACAGCAAACGGCCCTGCGTGTCGAGATCCAACCAGTACTCACGAGGCATATAGTCTCGGAAGTGCGATGGATCCAATTTGAGCGATGTGCGGCCGACGCAGTCGTGATCACCCAATGTGTCCCAGTCCCAAATTGTGGCAACGATGTTAAGTGGCCCGTTTGTAGTGATGTCGATCGTTTCATCCCATCTTGGATTCAGACTACGGTAAACGACTCGAGTCTTTGCCAGGCGCTTCTGGTATTCGTCGCCGAGGACGACATATGGATCGCTGAAACCGTTCGGGTCGCATGCCTTCAAATCCTCCGCTTCAATGATCTTGATGGTGAATACAAAGTTGTTGTTTCGGATCCGTTGCGTTTGTGGCGGCGCGTGCTTTTGAATGACCTCTGCACAGGCATCAACGTTGATCTCGCGCTCGAGCTTATCCAGTTGCAGCATCGCATATTCGATATTGTTGAGCTTCACAAGAGACTGCAAATGTTAGTACAACAAGTGGAGGAGTAGAGGCGTTGACTTACTTCAGGCCAGAACTGAAATGGCTCGACCTTCTCTTTCTGGTTGTAAAGGTCCTTTGCCCGCGAAAGCCACTTTTCTTGTGTAGTTTGCCTGGCAGCAGCTTCTTGCTCGGGCGTCACGCGATCCATCTCCTTGGTGAACTTCGTCTCCACCAGTTCGCAATATCTGGCAAGTGCGACACCAATTGACTTTGAGGCTGCCGTCATAAATTTCGCATACTGAACATCATGATCCCAGTTCAAGTCCATGATTTGTTCGATGCTCTGATTGAACGATCGGAAGATATCAACGACAGACATGCTGTGACGCTCATCGTCGGAAGGAACAGGGTTGTGGGATTCAATCTGGAACTGATCCGCTTTGAAAGCGTTATCCACCCAGGAGATGAGATTAGAATCAGTGGTCTCGATCCACCTCCACACGAAATCTTGGAGAAGGTCCTCGATGTTGAACGCGAATTTCCGGCCTGGTAGCGCACTGTTGTGTATTCTGCGAATTTCGACCATCTCTTTATACAAATCGAATCCATCATCAATAGGCACATGTTCGTCTTTGCTCTGAGCCACGTCCATGATACGCGCTACAAGGTCTCTCGCGTCCGCGGCGTAGGCTGGAAGCATCTGTTCGACAAGACACGATAAAGGTTCGACGCCCATGATTGGTGGCATTTTGCGGTATCGTTTTTGGATTTTCTCGCACAACTTTGCCACTGCTTTCCCCAGCTGAATGACATGGTAGAATTGCCACTCTTCTTTATCGTCGGGGATCTCCTTTGCAAGCAGCTCGGTATACACATCACTAGATTTTCGTCGAAGAGCTTTCCTCAGCTGTTCGGCGAACTGATCAAGATCTTCTGGTGTCCCAGTGAACAGAGAGTCACTGTAAATATGAACATCTAGAACCTCCATGAGAGGACCAATGCTGGGTGCTTTGTTATCGAACGCGAACATCATCAGTTCGAAGAGCTCACGTAACAACGTTTCGTGTATGGATGTCAGTATTTGTTGGTATAGCTCGCAGTCGTGTACAGTCCATCTCGAACGATCGGAGAGCGGAACCTGCATCTGAAATTGACTCATCCTGTTGGATTTCTTGTCTGTTACCGGTGGCTCTTTGACAAAGTTAAATGCTAGATCGAGAGTATCTAGATCAACGGATTGATCAACGTAACTATCTCGAATGACATCTAGAAACAACACATGCCGCGAGGATTGCGGTAATCTCCACCTCTGACCAATCTCGTTCAGAAGTTCTGCGGAGTGCTTCGATGACAAGCTGTTCCCGTCACTTGGCACAAATTCTGGATCCGCCAGATCGTAGGTCAGAGCCTCCTTGAAGACAGCACGATAGTACATGCGTGGATCTGGAGGGATGAAGACGTATGATGCATTGTCGTCCGCGATGTCGGCGTTTATGTTCAACCCGCTTAAATCCAAGGACTGGCCGGAGCTATGCGAAACCCCATTCTCCGACCCCAAGTCGACAGACGTGTTAGACCTGTATTGCGACATGGGGCCACTCGATGTGGTTTTCGCGAGACTAGGGTCAGATTGTATGAGGGCCAAGATCATTTGTGATAAATCGGGACTCTCTTGGCTTTTCCACGCTTCGTATGCCTCATCTAGATCAAAGTCATTGCGATTCAATGTCTGCTTGGTCATACGTGTGAGGTGAGCTTGGTAGGTTTTGAGATCTTGCAACGCCGCCTTTTGAGTCCAAGTTGACTTGTATCGGTCGATGTCTGCCTGAACTGCGGAGTACGACACAGAGAAGATACGTTGTACAGTTAGAACCAGTGGCATATCTTTGATTTCGTAAGTTCGCGGAACTTCAACTTCGATCGTCGACCCGCCCTGTCCACCGTTGCGCTGATTCTCAGACGCAAGATCTTGGTCGTGCAACAACAGCTTCTTCTCCATCGTCACAAGTCTCTGACTCAGCTCCGGCCTGTCGCGTTGCCAGTCGTGATCCTTCAGTATCGCGCTTATCAGGCGGAGAAACAGGGCGACGTGTCGATCCACCATGAGCTTGTAACTGTCGTCCCCCGGCGGCTTGCCCTTCTGCAGCTCCTTTGTAGCGTTGGAGAAGAAGATGAGAATCAGCTCCTCGACATTTCGGTTCTTCTCCAAGTTCTTTGCTTTTCGAGGATCCTTGAACTCGTTCAGAAAGACGGCGAACGTGCGTATGACAGTCGCGTCCTTGAACTCAGGCATCTTCTCTTGCCCCATCAACACCTTTGTCAAGCGCTTCTCCAGCGCAGCCATGAACCCATGGGGAAAGCGCATGCTTTTGGAATTTGTGACGAGGGAGAGGTCCTTGACGAGGTCGGCTACGCCTGTTGCCGTGCGCTGCGCCGGCTTGGGCGGGGCCGGCACATGTTGGAGTCGCTTCTGGCGCGGCTGCAGCAGATAGTGCAGGTATGCGACGCGGAGGGCATAGAGGTACGCATCTTGGGCAGAGACGGGGACGGGACGCTTATTGCGGGCAGTCGATGAGTCCTGGCGTTGTAGGCGGTCTCGTGTCTGGATGCTGTTTATGCGTCGCTTGCTGCTGCGGGCAGAATCCATTGCAGAACGAGCGTGAGGCTTCAATCGTGGGTCGGTGGGAGAAACGTAGCCGTTGGGCGCATGTCCAGCTGGGCGGCGATGTGCGAACCGACTGTTGTTGGTGGGGTCGTTCCTTCTCTTTTACGCCCTCTAGCACCACTGTGGCTGCTTTTTCTGTTTTGCGCCTGATACACAAGCTTCCCAGGAACCGTTGTCGCGGCGAGCGTGTGGGTTCCGAGAGAGTCGTGGCAGGCCAAGTTGCGCAGCTGAGTCGTTGTGGTGGCGTTTCATAGACAGCTCCGGTAATGTGACGGCGTCTCCCTCGCGGGGACACGACACAACATCAGCCTGCTTGTTTGGAAGCACGCTCCACGCAGGAAATTAACCGTCCGCGTAGACCAATCCTCGACTAATATCCTCAAACACGGCGTCTACCTAGCTCCCAAACACAGAGCCCCAAGAGCTTCTGGACATGCGTCTCTTAACGCCGGACGATCACATGCGCTGATGGAGCTTCCCAGCCTCACCTCACCAACATCAACACCATTGCCAACCACACCCCCGCATTCTAGCAATCGCAGCTTCTCCTACATGTCATTTTTCACGAGCGAGCATGCCAATATTGTGAGCTGGAGGAGTCGGCCGCGCTAGCACCATCCGTCTTCAACAAATTGAGCACCTCTCGCAGTTCAACTCGTGTTTGTCCAAAACCCTTTTTCCTGGGCGTTATTTGGCGACCAGCTTGCGTGAATACTGTTTGTGGACGCGTTAGCTTTCACAAAATCCATCCGTGCATTCCTCACGCGTCTCCTCGCATCTCCTCCACGAACCCCTTAAAATGGCGAATTCGCAGAGCCCTTCCAACGCCGCCGACCGGCCGCGCCTCACCGAAGCCCAAAAAAAGGAAAACCACATCCGGTCCGAGCAAAAGCGACGCGAGGCTATCCGCGAAGGGTTCGACCGCCTCGCCTCGATCGCGCCTGGCATGGAGGGTCAAGGGCGCAGCGAAGCCGTCGTACTGGAAGCAACGATCAAATACATGAGGGAGAAGATCATGGAGCGTCAGAAAATCATCGCCGAGGCAAAGGCACAGGGTGTGGATACGACAGGGTGGGAGCTACCCAAGGAGACGTTGGAGGCGTGCGAGGCGCAGTTGAAGCGGACTCTGTTGGAGGAACAACAGGATGCAATGATGGCGAAGAAGAGCTGATTATACACTGGGACATGGGACAGTCGCTTCGACATGGCTGGCTCTGGAACATGTTGGATCCACGTGCAGAAAGATGCGAGCGGAGTGGTTTTGGGGGCATTCTGTTGCAGCGTTGACTATGTTCATGCTCAATATTCTACTGCTGCAATAGACATGTCGTATTTCAGCTCAGAAGGGACGTGGGGACAATTCGTGAATGCTCGCAAAGCTACTTGCCTAATCAGGACAAGCTCCGATCTAGTTCAAAAATAATTGTGTTTCCATGTATGACTTCACCTCCCAACTTACTAACAGATCTAGCGATCTTCGACCTGCCACAACACAAGATGGCTTTCAGCTTTGGTTTCTCGGGCGACGACATAGAAGAAGACCCCAACGATGTAGTCGAGCAGACACAAGCCCCAGACGCAGCAGGAAACAATATTCCCCAACCCATCCCAGCGCAAACACATGACTTGGATGGACTGGTAGGTAAACGACTTTCTTTCTTCTCACATCTTCACCTTTTTTTTCTAAAATGGTCACTTTTATCTCTTCTTCCTCGCGTTTTCCCATACCCTGACCCACTCAAGAAAAATATTATTTCCATCCATCCTAACCCACACGCCCCAGCTCTCCACCCTCCCGGACAAAATCTCCTACTCCACCCTCTCCCTAACCTCCCCCGGCGGCCACACATCCCACCTCTCCCGGCGCGAACTCTTCGACGTACGCCTCCAACTAATGGCCGAAGACGACGACACCAACCCGACCCCCCTCTCAGGCCTGACAGACACCGACCTGCAAACCAACGTCTACGAAGGCGGGTACAAGACCTGGGAGTGCAGTCTAGACCTAGTAAAGTACCTGCTGGACCGCGGCCCGCGTAAGGCGCTCGACGACATGGCGCGCGTGAATCATGTGATTGAAATGGGGTGCGGGAGTGCGCTGCCCGGCGCGCTGTTGCTGGGATATGCGCTGCGCGAGGGACTGGGGCTGTACTTCACGCTGACGGATTACAATGCTGAGGTGTTGAGGCTGGTTACGGCGCCGAATCTGCTGCTGGCGTGGGTTGGTGCGCTGGGGGAGGAGCGCAGCGCGGAGGTTTTTGGTGAAGCGGGGAATCCGCTGAGAGATGGGGAGGAACATGGCGATTTGTATGTCACGCCTGAGTTGGTCAAGGCGTTCAAGGATCATCTTAAGGAGGTAGGGATAACGCTTACGTTTATTTCTGGGTCGTGGACGCCTGTGCCTAGACTGCTGGAGCTTGTGCCGTCGACGCCGGATATGAATACGTTTATTCTGGGGTCCGAGACGATATACAGTCCTGCGTCGCTTGCGGCGTTTACGGAGGCGATCACCGAGCTGATGAAGAGGGTCAAGATGGGGAAGACGATTGTTGCGGCGAAGAGGGTGTATTTTGGCGTTGGGGGGAGTGTGGATGGGTTCCGCGAGGAGTGTGCGGGGAGGGGGTGTGTGGGGTATGAGGTTGAGTTTGAAGGCCTGGAGAGCGATGGGGTGAGGAGGTGTTTGGTGGAGGTGCAGATGTGTTGAGTGTGAAGTAGGAAAGAGTGATATGTACATGGTGAGACTGGAGAGTAGAGTTGGGCCGGTTCGGTTATTTTTGCACAGACGTCAAGTTGAACAATCTTGAATCGGTGTAATGGCTCTCATGTTGACGGAGAGCCTCGTTCCTTGTTGTATTCATTCGTTTTATTATCATCCTTTCGTCGTGTCTTCTTCGCAGTTTTGAATCCCTTCCCTCACGTCACCATATGTTGTGAACCATTCCTGCCTAGACCTAACTCTCGTTCACTTTCACCGTGAGCGAGTCGCTCCTTCTATTCAAATCACCGTGGGAATAACAATCAGCCGCGCCGGCCTATAAATCATCCGCCTTCGCTTCACTTCGACTCCTCTTCGCCCTCACCGTCTACTACATCTTTTGCGTACCTTAATATCGCCTTGACTTTACCTCGATCGTACTTCAATCTCAAACAAATTCTCAGATTCTACTCTACGCACCTCAACTTCACAACCACAACCGCATGCACTGCCGCTAGCATCATGACTTCCTCTCCAACGCCGAAAAAGCAGCGCTCGATCATGGAATCGTTCCCGTGCTCTTCACCTGTAGAGAAACCTCCGCTGTGAGTAAATGTGAGCTGCTATATGTACATGACTGATAAGATAGGGACGCGTACGATACCATGATCACTCTCAACGTGGGAGAGCCTGGCAAACAAAAGCTGTTCCAGGTGTATCGTGGTGTACTTTGTCACTACTCGGATTATTTCAAGACCATGCTCGATAGCGGTTTCAAAGAGGGATGGTCGAAGGATCTTAAGATTACTGATGTCAAGCTCGATCTGTTCCAGATCTTCTACGACTTTATCAACACCGGCGAGATATACTTGGAGGAGTGCAACGGATATGAGGATATCTGGAGTGTGGTCATAGACGCTTACGAATTTGCTGACTTTTATTTGGCCCAGAGCTTCGAGAACCGGATAGTCGATCTCTATTTGCTGATAGTGGAGAATTTATGGGAAGTTCCACTGAGCCAAGCAAAAGAAATCTACCGCATCACTAGTGAAGGTTCTAAATTACGAAAGCTCAATGTCGACATCCTCATTGAGATCTGGGGTTTCAATAGCCTCGAAAAGTACAAGTCACACTGGCCGCACGAGTTTCTCAGCGATATTCTGAGTCAGTGTCACAAAGTGAAAGCGTTTCCAGGTAGCGCAAGTGGTCTTGTTACATCCAAGAACGTATATTTCGACGGCAAGAAGAAGACATTTTGCGAAAATTACCATGACCATACCAAGCCTGAAGCTCGTGCGGCAATCGTCACTGAGTAAGTTCTTGGGATGACTAGAAAGCGCCGACAAACTTTACTGACAGTCACCCAGGAAGACAATCGACAAAGATGGCGCAGACCGCCAGGACGCAGAATAAGATGTACTATCAGCATAGGCTTCGACACAAACTGCAAGTGCAGCCTTTAGCTCAGACACTTGCAGCGGAAAAAAGTGCAGCGGAAGTAGGATCGAGGCAGATCAGGGAGGACCAATGGAATGAGTTCATGGAAAGCGTTGATTGGATAGGAGATTTCCCAATATCATACAAATCAAGAAAAGAGCAATCATGACATGATGATTATGGCGGAAATTGAGCTGGAAATAAGTAGATTGAGGTGATCTACTGATGGACCACTGTCGTACTGATAATTACCAGTAGGCAGCTATCTATACTACAGTAAAGCCGAGAATAGAGTTTCCATGCTCCTTGGCTCGGCCATTGCGTGGTGGAGGAGCGTGGTATCATGTGACAATGATAAATACATATATGACCGCAATAAGCAAAAAGCTCTTTGTCTGTATGGAAACGTGAGTATGGATGAAGAACTTTCCAATGAGACATCGATGTAGATAGGCTCAAATTAGCATGTGTTTTCCACACTGCTTCTTGCACACATGAATTCAATGCATACGTCAGATAGTCAGAAATGGGTTTAATGCAGTCTCACAAGTTCGAAATTCAGACATGGATAACAAAAGAGCAGCAATCGCCAGAATTGACAAAAGAAAGCATCTCATTTCGACCGAATAGCCATATATACAAACACAGCCCACCCCATCCCCCTCCAATCTACCATCCCTCACCAGGTTTCCTCGCCTATCAAAAGTTAGCCAATTTCCGCCCTAAATTCACCAAATAAACATACCAGCATAGCCCTCTTCCCGCCCAGCTCAGCCTCGAGCCCTCCTTCGTAAGTCTTGGGCGCACTGATCTTGTCGGGGTAAACCATCGAAACGGCTCCACACAGGCCCAACACGGTAACAACGAATGTGCCCATCAGCACGCCGCCCCATCCAGGAGTGAAGTGGTCGTAATCGTGCAGCGACAAAACGCCGAGTACGTCATTATCTTCATGGCAAGGTTCTCCAAAGTTGCGCTTGTCTTGGGGGTCCCACCAGTCGTCGTAGGAAGAGCGCTTCGCGCGGTTGATTCTGGGAGGGTTGATATAGCCGCCATTCTGGTTGGGGTCTGCGAGCTCCAGACGCTCAGCTTCGGTCAGGGCGGTGCGGATCTGGGTGGTTTGGAATTGAGGGCGGGTGGTGAGGGGGAGGGCGGCGCGGGTCAGCGGGCGGGCGGCGACAAGGCGGCGGGAGAGCATGGTGAGTGAGTCGTTGGTGTTATGTCGTGCGCAATTGGGGTGGTGGCGCGTGTTGCGGGGTGGGTGTAGATGTTGGTAGTCGTTGTTTGACGTGATAGCTTCCAATACACTTAGCCGCTTTGGGAAAGGATGAGTCAGCCCCACGAACCAATCACCCACACTGTACTAATGTGTCAGCAAGTCTCCTAGATTAAACTAGAACAAGAGGAGAATCCGCAATGCTAGGTTCTTAGATGTTTACTATTCCAGTAGTAGAGTTGTAATTCTGATGTTCTTGTTCTTTTGCTATGGAACACATCGGAAAAGTGGGGAATGCGATCATGTTCATGGTTTGGAATTCATACGGAAATTATCCTACACTGACTATCTACTCCCAATTGCAATGGAAATGCAAGAGTCTCAATGTCCCAATCACCACTTCACACCGGAACAATTCAGGCAATCTTCTCCCTCATAGCCCTGACTGATGTGGTCCGTGCACATTACTAAGCAGGATCCATACGATCACCCCCCCCGACCAGATAAATTGTTCAACTTCTCGATGACTCAGCGAAAGGTCACTTTGCAACTACACAACTCTATCAACTCTAGGTGTTATCTTTTGATTCTTACAGTAATAGTATTGACGTGACGAGAAGAGCATTTAGCATCAGTTTCTAATTTCTAATGTGATGTTAGAAGTTGTATCGTTGAATTCGATATTCAAAGGTTACTAACACACCAGAAATCTGAGCAATTCTTTTTGTCGGGGGGGGGTGTGATCTCTGACCCGAAGCTTTACCTAGCTCCTTAGCTTATACCATACATACCATACATCACGTGTCCTAGCAGTCTGTGATACTGACTGTCCATAAACTTGAACCGGGGAGCCTCGTGGCCGGCTCCTCCAACACCAGAACACCATTGTACGCGTAAGCGGTCTTCTCGCATGGAAACCATTTAAAGCCGGCCAGTGTAAGGAAGCATACGCCATCTGCCGTAGGCTTCTTATCGACCCGCGAGTGGGTAGATGGTACCAAGCCGGATTTCACCTACTTCTTGGAGAGTCGGATGACTGTAAGAACCCACACTACTATGTATATGATTGTTGGATGCACATACTAAAAAGACTCTCAGGCTACGTCGAGCACGCCAAGCATGCGGTAGATATATACCGTGCCACATCCACGACCGTCAAGACCCTCCACCTACGCCCGAGGAACACGCGACACACGTTCGGTTTCTGGAATGGGCAGAGGTTGTGTACCGAGAGGCACTCGAAGACAAGAAGAAGCAAGATGAGGAAGACGCGCAGGAGGTTGATCTTGTTTCGGATGGAGATGCCCCGCTGGAATATCTTCAGAATATGGGTCTCGGCGAGATGGTGCCTATTCTTTCCAGCGATGACGAAGATGTCGAGATGAGTGACGAGGAAGATCATGAGATGAGCGACGACGAAGGTCTTGAGATGAGTGACGACGAGGGCCTTGAGATGAGTGACGGAGACCTCGCGATGAGTGACGGAGACCTCGATGAGTCCGACAGCCAAGAGAACACCGAGCTTAATGACAGGAAGGTTGGTCCTGTAGAGGGTGTTGAGAACGACAAGGAGGAGGCTACCATCGAAGCGAACCCACATCAGCAGCACGAACCGGACTTCCATCAGGTATCAGCAACGCTCAGGGCCATGCTGAGAGGTCCAGGCACTGCCGACTATGTCACACGTACTTCAAACAGTCTGCCTCCTACTCCTCCCCGCCTGTCACCCCATCCAACCGCAGAGAGGGCGACTCAAGCGTTCCTTACAACCCCGGGCGCGTCGCGCAAGCCTACAGGCGAAAAGCCGGGTACGGGTTCTCTTGCAACTCCTGGCCCGTCTCGCAAACCGACCGACGAGAGAAAGTCGCGGGAGAAGAAACGGGACGACTGAGGCCAGTTCAGCACTATCCTGATAAGGAAGACTGCATAGGGGGGTTGCGTATCGACGGATATCAATTGACTGGGAAGGGGCTTCTGCTTGAAGATTCCAATGTATGCCAATTCAAGAGCTAGAAACTACTATCAAATCCAACATGGGCAGTTGCACACTATAAGCAATAATACAGTGTTTCTGTTGTGCGTGCTATCTGCAAGATTGTTCTTGTACCAAAATGTTAAATTCCAACCATCCTCTCATCAGCAGGTAGAAATGATGAATCGAACTGAATCCCCTCTACTCAGCGCACCTCACAGCCGCACGAATCCGGTTTGCGCGTAGAACCTCTCTGCGGCAAGGCGGCGGTAGAGCATATTGGGTGTCGCTGTTTGCTTGGGGTGAGCTTCGCGGAGTGCCAAGTGCGCTAGACCTCTTTGGGAGCTGATGTCACATAGGTAAGTAGATGCGGCGCGACGGATTGTGTTTTCATCCGCGGGAAAGACTGCCACGACGGGTGTTAGCGTGTAGGATTTCCTTCTCTTGCTGGGAAGTAAAACTGCAGCCTGTGTGGTTCTTCTGTGGACAAGTACGTGCCCGTGCTTAGCGTGTGCCGGTCCAAACAAATCTTAGGGCTGGGAAGTCGGCTTTGGCTTTGGAACATCTCGCAACACGACGACATCGTCGAGACGCTTTTGCAAAAGCCGCTGCAGCCTCACCGCGACACGCCACTCGCAATCCGACCACACGACGCTGCTCGCCTGCCCCGACTCTATCCCGCGTCACCGCTTCGGGGCTGATACATGTTGGTTCGGCGGCGCGCCCGGTGGTCTCGTTAGTGGTCGAAACGACGCAGCTCCGTCCAGCTGTGAGGCCCTTGTCTGAATGGCCGTCCAGCCCAGCCCACCACTCGACACCCGCACCGCCCACACCGCCACATCCGACGACGACGACGCACCGCTGATAAAGAGGGAGGAGGGCCCGGCGGCAGCAAATGGAGACGACCATGGCCCCGGCATGCAGCGCCCGGCCAAGCGCCGCAAGCTCGACGACTCGACGCCACATCGCCCTGCACCACGCGCCGTGTCGCCGCCGTGGAGGGCTTTTGCTGCGGATGGGCCCACGACCGTGTTCGAGAACGGCGTGCGGAAGTCGTCGCGCGTGAACAAGGACGCTGCCCCGCCCACGCCAGAGCCGCCCAAGACAGGCGCGCGCACGCCCAAGGCTACACAGACGAACGGCACGCCGCGGAATGGCGTCAAGCAGGCGGCGCGGGGGAAGCCAGCACCTGCCCTCCATAAGAAAGCCGCCGCGCCGCCGCAGAACACACCTGGCGCGCGCAAGTCGGATCGCCAGCGCAATGCTCCTGCGTCGACGAGGGCCGCCTCACCGCTGTCGATGGAAGGCCAGGATGAGTCAGCGGATGGGACACGGAAGCGGACAGGGCGCCCGCGCAGAGCCACGCAGTCGTCGATGGACGGGCCAGGCGACGACGACCTCGTGACGACCCCCGCAACGAACGGTCACGATCCCTACGCCGGCCTCTACGCGTCGCCCAACGACCCCGACGCTTCCACGCCTGCCCCCCGACTGCGTCTACGTCTACGCAAGCCCGACCCGCCGAACCGCCACCCCCAGCACTCCGCTCCCCCGAAGAAATACGCGTCCCTCGCAGACTGGCTGGAACACGACGACCCCCTGGAAGGCGAGGAGTCGCAGCGCATATCCCAGGAAAAAGCAGAAGAGGAGGCAGAGCGCCGTCTGCAGATTGTGCGAGCAGCCGAGCACGGCGTCCTCAGCCGCTCTCAATGCAGTGTCTTTGCGCCCGAGGCGGCCCCCGAGCCCCTCCCGCAGTACGCGCATTGGGATCACGTGGTTACGCACGCGCTGCATTTCAACAAGCTTCTCAGAGAGGAGAAGGCGTTTCACCGCAAGATGGCCAAGACTGTGGCGAGAGAGGCGTACGAGTACTGGAAGGACAAGTACAAGCGCAAGAGCCAGGATGAGATGGATCAGGAAGAGACGGAGCGCCAGACGGTCCGGTACAAGCAGTTGGTCAAAGACGTCAAGGATGCGTGGGCGAATGTCAAGCTGGAAATCGACAAGGAGCGTGTGGCGAAGTGGGAGGAGGAGCAGCTCCAGCTTGGCCACAAGGCTATGGATGACATGTTCAACCAGGCGCAGGAGATTCTTGGCCGCGGGGCTGCGGATACGGCGTCGTCGTTTGTTAGTGAGGATCGCGACTTTGACGAGGATGACTTTGAGAGCGCGGCGTCGGAGCTCAATACTCGGAATTTGGATGATGGTGTGTCGTCGGGCGAGGATAGCGAGGGGGGGAGTGCGGATGATGAGGATGCGGATCTGACTGCTGAGCAATTGCGCGCCAAGTATGAGCAGCTTCCTGAGTTGTCGGATAGCGATGAGGAGGTGGAGGTGGAGGTGGAGGAGGAGCAAGATGAAGAGGGAGAGCAGGATTCAGACGAAGATCAGGTGTTTGAAGACGCCGAGGAGGGCACTCCCCTGGCCACTCCGGATCCAGACATCGACATGGAAGACGAGCTTGACCTACCGGAAAACCCCTTCGCGCGGACAAACAGCACGTCAGTCGCGGACGACGGCGAAGAACGGAAACCAAACTACATCGACCCTGCCACCGTTGAGCTGGAACAGGTTGACGAGGCGCTCATGGACTCGGAGGACGAAGACGAAGCGAGAGAATCTGGTAGTGAGGCTTGGTCGAGCGATGACGATTCTGACGTCGAGGATGAAAGTGAAAGAGAAGCTGGCGAATCAGAGGAAGACGAGGATGAGGAAGATGGGGAGGACGATCTCGGCATGATGGGGTTCCTGGCTCCAAGCGATATCAAGAAGCTGAAAGAGGCTGCGAAGACGGTGGTCGAGGATGAGCAGATTGAGAGCGCTGAGCCTCAGGCGGAACTTGTCGGTGGGCATGCGCTGACTCCCGAGGCTGATGATGCAGAGAAGCTCATCACTAACGGCGTTCATCGTGGCGTTGATGTGAAGGAACCGCACGTCAACGGCAATGGTACCTTGCCTCTCCCTGTGCCTTCATCTGAGGCCACAGACTCTACCCCGATGGAGGATGTCGTGGAGGAGGTTGAGAGAACACACAACATGTCTCGCGAGGATTCTGCACCACCACGAACAGAAGTGCCGTCCCTGCTACGGGGAACGCTCCGTGAGTACCAGCACGACGGCCTCGACTGGCTTGCCAACCTGTACGACTCCGACACCAACGGTATCCTGGCCGACGAGATGGGGCTTGGCAAGACTATCCAGACCATCTCCCTCCTCGCACACGTTGCTGTCGATCGACAGATCTGGGGGCCGCATCTCGTCGTCGTTCCCACCAGCGTCATGCTCAACTGGGAAATGGAGTTCAAGAAGTTTCTGCCCGGCTTCAAGATCCTCACGTACTACGGCGACATCAATGAGCGGAAGAGGAAGCGCATGGGCTGGCGTAATACGGGCAAAGACATGTATAATGTGGTCATCACGTCGTATCAGCTCATCCTCCAGGACGCGGCGGCGTTCAAAATGCGGCCTTGGCATTATCTGGTTCTGGACGAAGCCCACAATATCAAAAACTTCAAGTCGCAGCGATGGCAGACGATGCTTAATCTTCGCACGGAACGGCGGCTTCTGCTCACTGGCACACCACTGCAGAACAACATCGATGAGCTCTGGTCGCTGCTTTACTTCCTGATGCCCGCTGGTTTTGCCGGCGAAGGGCGTATCGCGGGACTGGAGGAGTTCACCATGGCCCTGAAGAACCCGACATCGCAGATTCTAGACCAAGGCCGGCAACAGCTCGACGCCGAGGCACAGAAGATCGTCAAGAAGCTGCACGAAGTTTTGCGGCCGTACTTGCTGCGAAGATTGAAATCGGAGGTCGAGAAACAGATGCCAGGGAAGTACGAACATGTCGTCTACTGCAAGCTATCCAAGCGGCAACGGCAGCTGTACGATGGGTTCATGGGCCGCGCGACGACCAAAGAGATCCTGTCTTCGGGGAATTATATGTCCATCATCAACTGTCTGATGTCGTTGCGCAAGGTCTGCAATCATCCTGATCTGTTCGAGACCCGCGCTATTGTTACGTCAATGGCTATGCCGAAGTCTGTCCCCGCGCAGTTCGAGATCAAGAACCTCCTCATTCGGAAGCGACTGCAGGAGGGCTTGCATGAGACGCAGGTGAATCTGGATGCGTTGAATTTGGTGTTTGCTCGACGCGAACAGACTCAGCTGCGGAGTGCGCGACGCTCGCATCAAATTCGCGCAACTCGGCCGCTGGAGGATCTGATTGAACGCCAGACACGCCGTCTCAATAAATCCTCAGATAAGGTGTCTTCGGATGCGGGGTCATCGCCCCTGCAATCTGCCATGTCGGCGATGGCTAGGAGGGAGCAAGTGGCTGTGAGAGATCATCTGCAGAGATGTCTTGACCTCACTCGTGCTCGTACCCAGTTCATGCCTATCTATGGGAAGGACATCATCGACCGCGTCACTGTTGACTGGCATGACCATACTTTTGGCGCTCGAAAGGAGGGAGAGAGGGTAAGACCACCAGTCGCTCCTCGATGGCAACCACCACCTCAACAGCCTCAGCAATACCCCGGGCCGCCTTTCTACCGCAACCCACAACCCGCGCCGCCCTTCCACTCGGCCCAACCCTTCGGACAAACACCAATGCAGCCGAGGGCGGAAGCAAAGGAAGAAAGCGAATGCACGATGATCAAAACCCACCACGGCCTCCTCGGCTTCCGCTCTCCCCACTCCACCGCCGCAGCCCTAGAGTGGAACAACCAGCAAATCACCCACTTCCACGACATGGTCCCAACGCTCGAACAGCGCGCCGAAGCCTTCGAACCCCTCATCACACGCTTCACCTGCGTCACCCCCGCCGTCGCCGCCGAAGAGCTCGCCCCCCTAACCCTCTCCAAACGCGTTGTAGACCTAATCCGCGCCTCCCCCCTCTCCCACACCAAAGACCCCTTCCACGAGCCCCGCATGCGCCAATCCATCGCCTTCCCCGACAAACGCCTCCTCCAATACGACTGCGGCAAACTCCAGCGCCTAGCCACACTCCTCCGCGCCCTCCAAGCCGGCGGCCACCGCGCCCTCATCTTCACCCAAATGACTAAAGTCCTCGACATCCTGGAGCAATTCTTAAATATCCACGGACACCGATACCTGCGCCTCGACGGGTCTACGAAGATCGAGCAGCGCCAGATTCTGACGGATCGGTTTAATAACGATCCCCGCATCTTGGCTTTCATCCTCTCGTCGCGGTCTGGCGGGTTGGGTATCAATCTCACCGGCGCCGATGCGGTCATTTTTTATGATCTCGATTGGAACCCCGCTATGGATAAACAGTGCCAGGACCGCGCGCACCGCATCGGTCAGACGCGCGATGTGCATATTTATAAATTCGTCAGCGAGTATACTATCGAAGCCAACATTCTACGTAAAAGCAATCAGAAGCGTCTGCTGGATGACGTTATTATCCAAAGGGGGGGGTTCACGACGGATGGTTTCCACCGCGCGGCGGCGGATTCGGCGGGAAGGATCGATGCGCTGGATGAGGCGGGGCGCGCTATGGAGCGTGTTTTGGGTGAGAAGGTGGGGTTGCTGGGTGATGCGGGGGTTATGAGGGCTGTGGAGGAGGAGGAGGATCTTTTGGCGGCGAGGGTGGCGCAGAGGGAGATTGTGGATGAGAGGGAGTGTGATGTTGGGGATTTTGAGGGGGATGCTGGGAGTAATGATAAGCTGGATGGTGAGGGGGATGAGGGGGAGGTGGTGGATGAGGTGGAAATGGAAAGGGAGAAACTGCATGTTGATATGTATATGCTCGGCTTGTTTCGGAGCGAGTTTGGGAATGAGCCGTGGAGGCCGTTGAGTGAGAGGCAGAAAAGAGGCAGGAGGGGCGCGGATCCGCATGTTAGGGGGCGGAGGAGGAGGTTTTAGACACGTTTATGTGTGGGGTTAAGAAGGTTGGGGGGTTTGTTGGGCTTGGAGGTGAGAGAGTCAGCAGGGTTAAGAATATATGTATAGGTATTACTTTATGGTGTCTTGTTCGAATACTATATCATGTTACCTTGCAGTCAGGCTACGTGGGAAACGCGCAGTGGCTGTCTGTCTGTCTGTCTGCGGTCCTCGATACCTCAATACACGCACAACCCATTCAAGAGCTATCTATACCCAAGCATAAAGGACGGAAAGACATATTCGCTTCTCGTCAGCATCAGCACAATAGGCGTGTGGTGATGAGGTGCAATCACAGACATACACTTATCACTCAAACCCTCGCGTTGAGATATTCATATCCATCCATCTACCTTCCCTACTCGTGCGTGTTATTTCATCCGAGTTATCATTTGCGCAAAACCGGGTGTGTAAGGGGGTATTTGCCGTCGTGCTGGCGCCAGAAGTGCGTGTGAGTAGGCTTTGGGGGTGAAGGGAGGGGGGGGGGGGGGGTTTGCATTTCGTGGGGAGATATGTGTATGCCATAGTTTAGTTTAGTTTAGTTGGGGGTGAGGGTTCGCGTTGATAGCTGTTGTTTGTGTTGTTTGTTTGTACTGGTGTTGTTGGTATGGTATGGTCTGGTATGGGCTTTTGTGGTCTTTGCGGCTTATGGCTTTCGAGAGATGGAAAAGATTGGTCGTGCTCGGATATTGAGCTATTTGATGCGGATGGCTTCACTGGCGGAAGGACTGGGATGTGGTGGGAGGTGGAGTTGCTTTGCTGAACCTCGGACTACTAGCCGAAAATCTTGGGGTGGGAGTATTGATTGGACTCGGAATGTTAGTGTTCTGTCTTTGAGGATACGATTTGTTGTCGCGTTTCGAGGTGCTTCGGGAGAATTGGTACTAGGCTCTTGTGATATCATTTGATTAGCTAGATGATTACATGCAATGTTTACGTTGGAAGTGGATATTACATGTAGTATCAGCGCTCGACTTGTTTGAGTTTATGTGTAGTTTTGTAGTTTGGTCGTGTTGTCTAGGACACCAGAAATTGATTCGAGAGAAGCAGAATAGTGTTTATTCAACATAGTAACTCACAATCAACTGTAAAAATAGGCAATAACCTGCGTTCCTTATAGCTCCTACAAGCACCAAAACCACACTATTAATATTTTTAGATATGCTCGCAGAGCACATATTGCTAAAAAATCAAGGCACTAGGTTTATACACTAAACTAAATTGTAGTTGTTAAGCTGTTGCATGATATCGCTGCACCTTAATTTCTGCTATCTCGATCGACCAAGACAGTTTCCAAGCGCAAAAGGAACGAAGCTGTGTAGTTTGGCGGAAACGGTATGAGTTTTGCGCGGCCAAGGATATAGGGTGTTCGAAATAACTCCTCCGTAGTGAGTTAGCGGATGCGTCTGCAAGACGCCATCCGTTCCGCACCATCCCGCGCCTAAGATCGCGGCGGAACCTGTAGCCTGCCAATCAGCTCGCTGGATCTGTTAATCTATGCTTAACATTATCTGTACTAACCCCGATAGGATAATGCGCGTCCTGCAACTTTGTTGTCGTGATTTCGGACTAGCGACTATCGACCCCGCCGCTTCGTCACCGGTCAGCAAAGACAGCCGCGATTCGATCGACCAATGAGACTATTTGTGTCGTATGTCTGGCGGGAAGATCTAGCGTGGACTTACGAGTACAAATGGTCCTGTTATCTTTGAAGATGGAATCAGGCTGTCTTTCAGCCTTGCGGTTGATGCTTTGATGTGCTCACGGCGCTTGTTCGGGGCTGTGTGCGTAGGAACACTTCTACGCATGAATTGTAAATACTCACCGGCTGCGACGCAGATGTACACTCGTTAGAGCGTTCGAAAAATGAGTAAAGCGCAGCCACAAGTGAATGGCACTATGCAGGCGTTATGGTGTGCAGTCATGGCACCTTCCGCAGCTGCTTCAAGCATATGCTGATCTTGTCCGTCGCTATAATTGGTGTAAATTACCGCTGCTAAGGTCCCTACGTTGCATGTTACCGTTCACCTTCGACTTCACCCATTTCATAGGGTGAAAGTAAGTCCCCACCAAGGACATGACCTGAGCGGATTGGCCATCTCGCCAGGGTTGGCGAGCTGCAGCATTCCTGAGGCAGCAAATAGACGCCGCATTGCAAGGCTCACAGAACCTACTGCATCTGCATCACTAGTGTTATCGAGCTGAAGATGTACTATGTCACTATCAGACCGAATCAGCCTTGCAGTTGTGCATACGCTCCTTCAGTCGGTGCCTAGATCTACTGCAGTTTCATGATGGCACGTGCACACATTCGATCGTTTGGGGGTTTCGCACCTGCCCTCGCACCTGCCTTCCACTGCGCCTCGATCATGCCGCAACGCATGTGTGTCAATTCTTTCGTGATAACACTGCATTGATAGGCTCTCAGAGCACTGGCAAACACCCCCCGCACACTGACTTATGCAGGAGGCATACAGTGAGACTCATACTTAACAGCCTCACGAGTCACCTGGAGCGACAAGACCCCAATCTTCAGTCAATCACTCAAAAGCCTAGAGAACCGCAGTTCGCTCCACCCAGAATGGCGTAAGCACCCAAAGATGTCCCTTTCTGGAGAGGACAATCACTGACTGACGCCGCCATAGGCCCAAAAAGCCCTGCTTCAACTTCAAACGAGGTAGTTGCCACTACGGTGCCAAGTGCCATTACAGCCATGACACGAAAACGACTCATGCAAGCTCATCAAGCACCACGGATACAAAACCTGTTAAAGAGACAGAAATAGAAGAAACTTGCCGAAAATGGATCTACATGATTCCCAAAGCCAACATGACCTCACGTTTCCAAGCTGTTGTGAACATCGAAAAGTTCTTCCAGATAGGCTGGAACATCATCGAGAGTGAAGATGCAGGAACACGTCAGCGCGTCATCACCAAGCTTGGTGAAGAGACGGGACTTGCAATCATCAAGACTCTGACTGACGGTATGGACACCAACCAAAGGGATGAAACCACCATCTCAATATTCAGAGATAAGGCTCTTCCTTTTTACCGGATCATCTCCCACCCCGATGTACTGCACTCGCTAGTATTGGAAACACCTGTTGACGCCATCTACACCTTTCTTTTCGGTCCCAGCGGTCGGCGTGGCCTCCGCGTATTCCAATTCACAGCGACTGCTCTGAGTGGAATGATATCTGGTCACTCTTCAGGCGACGAGGAACTGTTTACCATTGCCGTAACCTCAAGTCTCGCAGTTCTAGACCGGCTCGTCGAGATCAACCAGAGTGCTCATGTCATTGAAGGCTTCGTAACTATTGTAGAGACCATCTCTGCATGCATTCCAGAAAACTTCGCAGTACCAAACGCACAACAAAGCCTGACTCGAATCAGACGCCGTCTTAACATCGGAACATCTCTGCCTTTTGCACCAGCCCAATCGGTTGCACAAAGTCTCCCCGCTGCAGCCTTTGAGTTGAGTCAGGACCCGCCTGGGGACCTTTCCAGTAACGGCGTTCGGCACGATAACGACCATGCGAGTATCGCCAGCATACAAATCCTTCCTACAGCTCAAGAGATTGCCTCTTTGCGACAAGAATATCTTCCATTGCTCGATTCAACGCAACATCACCTCTCAGGTCTCGCTGGACTCCTGGACAGACAGTTCCGACTTCTTCGTGAAGATACAGTGGGACAACTACGAGACGCAGTGCGTGAAGAGATTGTGAGACTGTCGCACCCAAACCGTAAGACACCGACACATCAAGGTCAACAAGGAGTTCGGAGGCTCATCTATCACAACGTTCGATTCGCCCGTATGAGTGTAGACCGCAGAAAGGGTCTCCAAGTCGTCGCAGAGTTCGACCAACCGCCTCAACTCAACAAAAAGTCGATGAGACAGCGAGAAGAGTGGTGGAACGCGAGTAAACTCTTGCAACTCGATTCTCTGGTCTGCTTCGTCTCTTCGAACGGTAAAATCATCTTCCTCTCTGTCTGCGATTCGATAGCATCCCACGGAAGAAGGGACTCCATGATGGACGAGAAGAAGGTGACAGACGATGGTCCCAGCCTTTTCAAACACCCGAGTCGTGCTTCAGTGTTACTAAGCCTGGCTAAATACGAGCCTGAAGATGTAGTTTGGATCGGCAATCACATTGCGCCTTCCAAGTCTCAACAATCACTTGTTGAATTCCCAGGGGTGCTCCTACCTTCTTTCGAACCAACTCTACAAGCGTTGCAGAAAATGAGTGGGAAACTAAGCCTTCCATTCGCGGATATCATAGCACCAGAGTCACATACTCAAGCCGTCGTTACAAAACCTCCAGCATACACGACCAAACGGGGATTCAGTTTCAATCTCGATGTTCTTTCCGGCGCACCACTGACTCTGACACCTGGACAAGCTTTTGATTTTGGGAAGCTGGAGGAAGGGTCCACCCTTGACGAAGCCCAACAATTCGCCGTCGTCCAAGCTCTCAGTACGGGACTAGCTCTCATCCAAGGCCCGCCAGGCACAGGGAAAAGTTATACTGGCGTTGCAATCATCAAGGCTTTACTCCGCAATCGAAAAGCAGCCGACCTAGGTCCCATCATCTGCGTATGCTACACGAATCATGCTCTTGATCAGTTGTTGGAGCATGTCGTGGAAGATGGGGTAAGGCAAGTTGTTCGTCTGGGCTCACGGTCCAAGTCCGAGCTGCTGAAGAACCTCACTCTCAGTCGTGTAGCGGAAGGAGCCGAACCCACAAAAACGGAAAAGCATGACAAGTGGGAGCATAGCAAGGACATTCGTGCCACACTACTGGAGATTGAAGAGCTGCTGTCTGGTTTGAATTCTCCTAATTCCTGGACAAACATTCAAGCCCATCTCATGAACACCCACAATCGGCATTTCAAAGAATTGTTCGGGAAGGGGGTAGATGAAGAAGGGTTTCAGGAAGTGAAAGGGAAAAAGTTCAGGGTTGTAGAGAGTTGGCTCAGAGGAGCGCCGAAGAAGCTCACTTCAAACCGTCCTGTCGCTGAGCTCACGGCCATTTCCTTGAAAGAGATGTCGGCGTCGGAACGCGGCGCTCTTCACAGGCATTGGATTGAGCAAAGGAGTATGAAGCTCACCAATGACCTTGTTCATGCGTTGGACTCGTACCAAGGTTCTAAATCCGCGCTGGATAACTGTCACAGAGAGCTGGATCTTCGATGTCTTCGCGAAGCTCACATCATCGGCGTGACGACGTCCGGCCTGGCACGAAACATAGAGTTGCTGCAGCGTGTGCGAGCAAAAGTCATGATCTGCGAAGAGGCTGGAGAAGTTCTAGAGGCACACACACTCACTGCGTTCCTCCCAGGAGTTGAACATGCAATTCTCATCGGCGATCACGAGCAACTCCGGCCTCAAATAAACAACTACGAGCTCCAACATGACAACACTCGGGGCAAGAGGTATTCGCTCGACATCTCGTTGTTTGAGCGTCTTGTGAAGCCGCAGACAGGAAATCCACAGGTACCGTTGAGTACATTGAAAATCCAGCGACGAATGCACCCGTCCATCTCAGATCTGATCAGAGCTCCACTCTACCCAGACCTGCAAGACCATGCCTCAGTTTCAGAATACCCAGAAGTTGATGGGATGCGAGATCGACTGTACTGGCTCGACCATCAAGAGAAAGAAGATGCACAGCCTACCCAAGCTGTGTCGCTATCTAAAACCAATACATTTGAAGTGGAGATGACTGCTACTCTTGTATCACATCTCGTGAGACAGGGGACGTATGGAAGTGGGGATATCGCAGTCATAACACCATATCTGGGACAATTGCAAAAGATCAGGAAGCGACTGGCAAATTCCTTCGAGATTGTTGTCGGGGATCGAGATCAAGAAGAGTTGGATACTCAGGGCCTCCAAGATGATACTGGAGCTTCTACAGACGGCAGCGGCAAAGTCAGAGTCCAAAAAACGACATTACTCAATGCTCTGAGAGTCGCTACTGTGGACAACTTCCAAGGCGAAGAGGCCAAGGTCATCATCGTCTCCTTGGTTCGTAGCAACGAGCAGCGGAAATGTGGGTTCTTGAAGACGTCTAACCGCATCAACGTGCTACTGAGTCGTGCACGACATGGCATGTATATCATCGGCAACTCTGATACCTCGAGACCTGTTCCCATGTGGGCGGGAGTTCTGTCCATGTTGGAACGCTCGAACAACATCGGTCCAAGCCTTGCACTGTGTTGCCCTCGACACAAAGATACGCCCATCAATGTCTCCGTACCGGACGATTTCGCTCGACTCGCTCCGGAAGGCGGATGTTCAAAGAGATGTCTGTCAGGACTAAACTGTGGACATGCCTGTCCCAACATGTGCCATTCTGAGTCTTTGCACAATGCAGTCCGTTGTCTCAAACGCTGTCCAAGGACGAAGAAAGGTTGCGAGCATGAGTGTCCAAGACCCTGCGGAGACGCATGCGAGTCAAAATGTCAAGTCGTACTGTTCGACATTCCCCTGCCGTGTGGACACATTGCCCGTCAGCTGCCATGTCATCTAGCACAGAACCCAGATGAAGTCCGTTGTCAAGTCAAGATGGAGCAAGTCATGCCGCATTGCAAACACAAAATCCGAGTTAAATGTCACGAGCTGCCTTTGACGGTTGACCACCCATGCTCAGCAACCTGCGGAGCAGCACTGGATTGTGGACACAATTGCACTCGTGCTTGCAAGGACTGCAATACCAGAACTGACGGTATGATTGTAGAGACCAAACACGGAGTCTGCAACACCCCATGTGGAAGACCGTACTCGACCTGCAGTCACAGCTGCAAAGCTCGATGCCATGGAGACAAGCCCTGCACGCTTTGCAAACAACCCTGCGAGGTCAGCTGCAATCATTCGAGATGTAGCAAGCTATGCAATGAGCCTTGCGCACCATGTGCCGAGGATTGTTCTTGGTCTTGTCCACATCGCGGACGGTGTCCATTACCATGCGCAGTACCCTGCGACCTGCTACCGTGCTCAAAGCGCTGTTCAATGCTGTTAGCTTGCGGGCATCAATGTCCATCCATTTGTGGGGAGTTCTGTCCTGGTGTTGCCTTCTGTCAGATTTGCGCACCTCCGACAATCAAGGGAATGGTCGTCGACTTCATCATGTCATCCACTTTCGAAGACATCGATCTCGACGAGGAACCTTGCATTGTGCCACCCTGTGGACACATCATTACCCTGGAGAGCATGGACGGACACATGAGCATGTCGGACTTCTATACCCAGGATAGCGAAGGATCCATTGTAGGCTTGAAGCATAGCGCCGAACCATTCTCAGCCTCGGAGATGAAGAAGTGTCCGACTTGTCGCGGCCCTTTACGAAACCTCAATCGCTACAGTCGCATCGTTCGTCGAGCGTTGATCGACGAGGCGACAAAAAAATTCATCGTCTGGGCCAATACAGAATTCGTCCCTCTAGTCACCAGGATGCAAGCAGTCGAGACACAGTTTCGCGAGGATCCCACAGACGACCAGAGGAAGTTCGACAAGGTATCCCTTGAATTCTCTTTACCAGGGCCTCTTCAGTTGAAGGGGAGTCGGGAGAATCAAATCTCCCAGATCAGTACGCTTACGCGACAAGACGATCGGTACAAGACGATCACCAAGCTTCGGAGAGATGTCAAGAGATTCTTGCAGCAGGTTGATGAGAAGGAACAACCCTTTGGCCGCATCTACGATCTTGTCCAAGACGCCCGCAGGCATCGCAAACTCGATATCGACTTACACTCCAAAGTCGATATTCTTCAGGTTCGCAATAGGCTTCTAGCGACGGTACTGCTTATCAGATGCGACTACACTATCCTTCTGGCTTTCCTCACTGATCGGAAAGGCGAAGCCAATCTCACCATCCAAGTCGATCTGAGCATGAACAGGAAAGACTGCGAAGCACTGATAGCAGAGTCGCAGTCCAGAATTCAACCAGGAAATTACGTCGAGGGCCTCCTATACTGGGCGCGGTTCTTCGCCCTCGAGCGAAACCTCGCAGAGCCTGGAACGGAACTTACGGAGCTCTTGGAGAAGGCCAGAGAATACCTCCGACACGCACACCTACTATGTGATCAATACCCTGGCCAAACAATAGGGATGCGAAGCGAGGTGGAAGAAGTTGAGAAGATGTTGCGCGATTCGACGTTCTACATGCCTGTCAGCAACGAGGAAAAGGCAGCTGTTTATGCGGCTATGGCGCGTGACTTTCGAGGCACGGGACATTGGTATTACTGTGAAAACGGTCATCCGTTCACGGTTGGAGAGTGTGGGATGCCGATGGAGACTTCTCAATGCCCGCAGTGTGGTTCTCCGGTTGGTGGTCAAAACCATCGGTCTGTCGGGGGCGTTCGATCTGCGACAGATTTGGAGCACCAGTTCGGTGGGCTTGGGATTTGATCTTCGTTCTAGGAGGGCTGGGTAAACGGCGGCGTTCGATGGCAAGATATATAGTGAAGTAGTAGAATGGCCTACCTGAATGGAGATACTGGTCTGGACCAAGGTGACTATACATGAATTGGTGAACCGTGTTTCTCAACTCATACATCAGATCCAAATCCCTGATGACGGTAAGTGCTACGTGTGGCCCAGTTCCGGCCTGACAATTGTTGCGTACAGGTGTTAGATGTTATAGTAGTCGTCTTTTGCTAGCATGATCGTACAACGGTTCGGCGGAATAGTCTCATTCAGTCAAGCGTCTGTTGCGTAGTCTGGGGGCTCGAATGAGCCTGTCTTATTACATTATAGATCGTCTTCCTCAGACCATTACCATCCCTCGTGTTCTCCCTATATGCTTAGTCTATCTGTTTAGCAAAATCCCCTACGACGTGTGCTCTTTTCTTGTGTATCAGGTCCGTTGCAGATCAACATTCCAATCACGACACCACTGCGCCCGAGAGCTGTCCAGCCGCCGTAATCACCACGTCCCTGACAGGCCTGTCTCCAGCTCCGGTCTGCGTTGCCTCAATCTTCCTGATGATGTCCATGCCGTCAACCACCTCGCCGAAAACGACGTGCTTTCCATCGAGATGCGGGGTCGCAGCCGTGAGGATGAAGAACTGAGATCCGTTGGTGTTGGGGCCGGAATTCGCCATGCTGAGCAGACCCGGGTGTGTGTGGCGGAGCTCGAAGTTCTCGTCGTCGAAAGAGTCGCCGCCGAAGATGCTGACGCTGCCGGTTCCGTCGCCGTTCATGAAATCTCCACCTTGGATCATGAAGTTGGGGATCTAGAAAAGTGTTAGTAAAGTCGCGTGTCGAAGGATGAGAATTAGTCGGGTGGTTGGGGTTCAACCACGTGACTGTTGTGGAAATTGAGGATCGCGGAGATGCTTACCACGCGGTGGAAGGTGCTTCCTTTGTATCCTCCTCCCTGGAACTCTCCAGTACAGAATCTGCGGAAGTTTTCTGAGGTGGCTGGGACGACATCGAGGTAGAGTTCCATCTGGACGCGGCCGATAGGTTGTCCTATTTCCAATTGTCAGTACATGAGCCCACAGGATGTCTTAAATACACATAACGCGCAAATCAATCGCATGCCAAATGCGGCGCAGCTGGCATACAAGAAAAACAATCACGTGGTTGACATACCTCCAATGGCGACATCGAAATAGACAATCGGGTTTTCCGCATGTCTTCGCGGCTTCGCAGTCTTGCTTGCTCCAGAACCCGCGAGCGCGCCCGCGCCTGTTCCAGAACTCAAGGGAGCGCCTGCGCCGGAGCTCGTAGGGGCTTGTTGGCGAGTGCTTGTCTGCTCATGATGCTGGACCGGCGTAGACGCAACTTGCGATGTCGCGGCGCCCGTGTTATGTGATGGTGTCGCGATCGTCTCGTGCGCCGGGGTCACGGTCTCGTGCGTTGGTCGCGCAGTTTCCTGTGTTGGTCTCACATTCTCTGTCGATTCGACAGGATGGGAGTTTTTGCTTGGTCCGCAGCCCATTTTTTGAGATTGAGATTGATGTCGTGTTGTGGTGTTGTTGGTGATGGATGCGAGGTAGGGATTTCAATAAAGGGTTGTTTAATTACGCCACAAGAAGCTAGTGAGTGACCGGACCTGGAAAAACCAGGTTTTGAACGATGACTTCATCATGGGGATATTGTTTTTTATGCATCTAACTTTATGGAATTGTGACTTGCTAACAGTAACATGCGACATTGATCGTTTCCATCTGCGCCCGCCTTAGACCCCTGCATACCCGTTCTTACTACACCGCATTCGCTGTGTAATACGCAATTGTATACGCAATAGCATTGTGGATGTTGGCAGTCGCAGCCGTACCTTCCGCGAGCTTCTCAGGAGGCGTGGTAAGGTTTGTCTTCGCCAGGACCGCAGCACTGAACGTATCATGGTCGCTCAACAATAGCGATAGACTACCGATCACTACAGGCGTGAAGCCGCTGTTCCTGAACGCAGGTTCTTTATCCCGAATAGTCTGCAATCCGGCTGGAATGCTCACATTCACTACGAGCAAGGAAGGTTGCAATCAGCAAATGTCTGCATTGCGCAGATTTGTGGAAACGAGTCTACTCACCAGTCGACACTACAGCATTGATGACGTCTACAGAGTCCTGCACGCTAAATGGTAGGGCGAGGAGCGCATGTCCGAAACCCACGCGGTTTACTCTGTGAATCTCTGCAACACTGAGAAGAACAGGTGTACCCTCCACGATGGCCGTTTGGGGCGTGCCGCCGTTGAAGGCTCGAACTGAAGCGTCAAGGGCTTTCACCGCGGCGTCGATGTTGTAGACGTCTTGCTTGACATCTTGGCCCGTTGGTAAGACGGTGGGCGCGAGAGCAACGGGGGAAGAAACAGTCAAGACGGGTAGAAGGAGGAGCGAGAAAGGGATGGAAAAATGCATTGTCCTTGATGTTCTGGTATTTGCTGTGAAGGGAGGATGTTTCGTTATCGACGAGAAAATTTTATGAACGCCCAAGGTCTGTAGTTTAGTATGTGGCGTCAATTGTCTAGTTTTTATCTCTACAGACACACAGTCAAGCCTCGCATCACGTCAGTCTGATCGACAAGTGTGAATTGGTTGTCCAACGCACTTGAGCTTTATCGAGTCTGCCAATGACTCGGGATTCGTACTTGTGCAGATAGTCGTCCAATTTGGAAACTGCCGTAGAGGCGGAACGAAGTCCGATAGGATTGAAGATACGGGTAGGTCTGCGCTAGATCTTCGAACGAGTTCTCTTGAGACTAGACTGGCAAATAGGTGTTAGTGCCCTTCCCGCAAAGATGCCGAGGGTCGTGGAGATCGTCCACACCACCTAACCACATCCTTAAACACTGTGATCTATTTGCCGTGGTCTCGATGAGTCTTTTTCCTGCTTTGAGCACCTCACTGAGCCCGCAACCAGTTGCTGAGACGAGACCACGTCGTCTACTTTGAAGCGTGTGTGCAAATGCTGATCCACTAGGCCTGGCAAATCATCAAATGATAGACGTAGAAACCCGATTTGAAATTAATCGTAACTTGAAATTCTGAAGCAGAAAACTTTTTATACGTGTGCCTGTAGAATGATAACAACCGTGACTCCCACACCCTTTTCCTGCCTCTCAGAATATATTGCATTAGCTCAGGGGCTCAGCTTATGGTTGATAGCCCTGGCAGATGCGTATCATTGGACTGGCAGATGCACAGTTCATCACCCATTATATTAAAACATTACCCCGCATTTACCGACTGTCATTTCCCCGCTCAAGGGTACAAAGAATGTTTCTTGCGGCACATCGAAAGGCAATTCATGCTTCAAGCTAGAAGTCTAATAGTGTGTTCGTTTTTATTCCCCTGATGGTAGTTGGCTCCTCTGCGACCGTCTTGAAGATCCGCCTTTTCAACTTGAGATTTGGTTGAGGAAATCATTATATACAATTAAATTTTAATCTTGAATCTTTAGACGAATGGAAAATGAAGGTAAGGCCAAGCACTAAGCGGTAGTGCGGTAGTATGGTCATGGCAATGATTAGCTACGTCTGGTAGTGTACGTAACTTGATCGAAGTTCGTTGTGTCCCTTCACGCTTAAAGCACTTCCATCTCGATCTCAAACATCGTCTTCCCGGTTTTTCCCTTGGAACAGCTCGCTTAGTAGGTACCTCTGAGAGCTCGCAGCTGATAGTATACACAATAGTTGAGTCCACGAAAGCTATCTCGCCCAAGTCATACTTTAAAAATACACGCATATCGTACCACATGTCAACCTAATGAAGCCTACTATTCAGCCTTTTCATGGCTGTTCTCAACCTCGGCCCTTGTCTTTGCACATTTCTTTAAGAACTCATCCGTCGTCAGTGTATGTTCAGTCGAATACTTCGCAACCAGAGTCTCCTCCACTACATTCCTCAAGCTGGCTACACCTTCACGTGGGACAATCTCCCACTTCTCTCCGTCTCGAACGTTGAACAAAATAATTCGGGGTGGAATGTCTCGCTTGTGCTGGTTAGACCAAAGGTATGCATAGACACAGGCCTGAATGACGTGCTGAAGTGACAACTGAGCAACGAATTTGATCTCCCAGATGCACACGTCGACCGAATCCATCTTGCCCACGTCTCGTTTCCCCCTCTTCTTTTTCGATTTGATTGAAGATGCGCCAAAGTCCCCTTCATACTGAACGATGTCTGCCCGCCCCACTAAATGAGTTTTCTGCTCGTCACCTCCCAAGGGATTGGCTACCGAAAACTCTTTCTCTTCTAATTGGACCTCAAAGTCCAGCACGACCGGTTTTGGGAACTGAGCCTCTAGTCGATCTTTGGCTGCGCCGAGGTACGACCCAAGCCAGTCAAAAGGGTGCCCCTCCATCTGTACTTTCCGAGACTTGTAGCCCGACACCCGAGCCTCGTATGTACAAGCCTCACGGCAGAGCCAGATTGCTTGCTCTTCAGTTTCGGATGGGAGGTCCAGCAACCATGCTGCGGATTTGTCAAGAGTAGTAAGAGTGCCCAGTAGAGCATGTTCATAGGCTGCCACCACAGCAAGTCCATTCAGGTCACTAACGGCCTCGTGGTGTTGTTTGATAGAGTCGGTGAGAACTATGGCCGGGGCATCAATGTGTAGCTCATCAGGGAGGGGTGGCTCAACCCGGTTGATATGCAGATGTTTCGCGCATATATCATCGATAATCTCGTCGAGAACATGGCGTGACAAATCCGATGCAAACACCTTTCTAGATAAAAGTAGACCCAGTTGTAACGGGCGGCCCGGAATTTTTGGTTCCAGCATGTCCTCATTACGTTCAAGATTGATGACATCAGCTGTTTTGTAGAGTTCCGCCTCGTCAATGAACGGCATTGGGCGGTCTCGTTTATGGTGTATCATGACGATTTGTTGACATGCTCGAGTAAGAGCTACAAAGGTGGTGTTCGGGCACGTATCGTCTGGGAGATCCCGGGCTAGAACATCAAAGTAGCTGGCATCGACGCCATAAACGATGACGAGGTCGCGCTCGTTTCCCTTGAACTGGTGGTAGGTGCTCACACACATCTTGCCCTGCAAGACTTGTTCATCCAGCGGTACATCGTCCGAGATAGACACGGCGATCGGTATGTGGTGTACCTCAGACAAGTGGTTGGTCAGCATTGAAAGTGGCTTATAATTACGGACTGAGGGGGCAAGGATGGCTGTGCGCTCAGGTCCGTACTGGTGAATAAGCGGGAGTAGTTGCCGGGCGATGCTTTTAATGTTGAAAATATCTCCATGCAGGTAAAGCGGTTTCGGTCCGTTGTGAGAGCCGACAACGTATTGCTCGCCTCCGAGAAACACGTTATTGACAAACGCTGAGTTTTCATGACTGAGTCGAAAACTCTTGCTCAATGCCATATGGGTCCACGGGTAGGGCGAGATAGCGATCATTGTCGAGGAAGAAAGACCCAGGTACCGTGGGTCAGCGCCTCTAAACCCGTAGATGGCCTGTCGCTCATCCCCGAGTACGACGATCTGAGGAGCCCTGCCACCCGCTGTGTGAGTCACAGCCGATATGAAGGCGCATATCAACCAAAATAGGTCGTCGGTGCAATCTTGTAGTTCGTCTAGGATTATTATCTCGTAAGGCTGACCCCTCCAGGCGGGTACAGTTTTCTCTCTCCTCAATGAGCGTAGAATGGAATCGTTGTATGCAGTTGTATCGAATAGCCGGCCTGCCAATCCGTGAAATGTGAAGACATCACTCCAGGGGTATGCATCCAAACGGCGGGCGGTATCAAGTTGTAGGCGTTTGGAGTAGGTAATGATGGCTATGGGTCGGTTCGGGTTGGCGGCAACGATGGCTTCAGCTGTGGCCGTCTTTCCTGCGCCTGGACGGGCTGAAACGACAACGTTCTGCGTACGGCAGAGCTCCACTATAGCCTGCTGTTCGGTTGAGGGGATGAATGCTTTCCTAGAAGTCGTATTGCCATTGGTGGCAATGCCACGTGCTGCGTTTTGAGCGAGGGACGTACGAGGGTTGTACCCAAAATCGGAAATTTCTATCCGTCTGGCGAATGGCCTGGAACTCGTCGATGCAAGACCACTTCTTCTCCCATTCTTTGGAAAAGTGTGTATCAAACTCCTCCAGGACCTACCAAGAGAGGAAATCATCGGGTTGTGAATCATCTGCCTGTTATTGGTTTGAAATGCAATATGTTTTTGTTAGATTCGTCGTGTCGCGCTTGCCCAATAGAGTTAGCTTCCCGCGTCAACGCGTCACACGTTCTACGTTTTCTTCTAACATCTGTATTATACTGATGTGTTCTATTGAGATTGAAGGCAAATTATCAGAGCACTGATTGAAGGGCCTTTAGATATTAACCATTGTGACGTGAAAGCATATTCCGCGGATATATGCCTGTAAACCTTGTTCAACCTTGCTTAAACTCATTTCTCCATGCCGACGGGAGGTTATGTTACCTGGAGAGCAGGACACGAGTAGGATGGATAGTCTCGGTAGGCGCGTGACATAGGGCTGAAAGCGCCTGTATGGTGTATTTCGCGCTTGGTATTGGATTCGCCTGCTCGCTGTTTCCGATCCTGCTTGGGAGTTAGGACGTGGAAAGCCGAATGGCCGAGTCGATGCAGCTGGGGGTTTAAGCGACCCAGGAATACTCCAATCCCAAAAAGGTCCTATTCTCTCCATTAGTATCGTATTAAGAGATATTAGAAGTTGTCTTTATAGATCATACCTGTCAATATGACATGAGCTCTGTTGCCTGGTTCTTGTGCTGTAGACGATATTGTAGAAATGAACAAAGAACTGTGACAATACGTTGAGTCTTTCATTGCGATGTCTTCGAGTTAGGTGTCGCCCTACCCGGCAGATGCTAAAACGTTCTAGATCTAGCGGCGATTCATTTTCGGGCCCATCTATTTGTCTAACGCGATCCAAGCCCGCGGCTAGCGCTAAACCACCTCTTTCCGCCTCCATCGATTAGGCTTTCAGCTTTGCAAGAGTCAGACATGCTCTTGAAGACCGATGTCGAATTTCAGCGTTATATGTTATTCTGATGAGCAACGTAGGCGCCGCCGCCACCGCTGCTCGGTCCCGACTTCTCTGCTGTCAGAGCTCTTGGTTATTGAACTATGCCCCACGTGTGCATGATGGACTTGTATGAACCGGGCGTAAGGACGAGATGTTGAGTGGATTAACACTTGTCATCGTTCGTGTCCTCGTCCACTGATTTCTAAACTCTTTCCAACAGGCCCAGCGGCTGCTTTTTCGAACAGTGTCATCGCTTCCACACGTATCAATCGTCATCAGTGTTCAGTCACGTATCATGCCAGCAGTGCAGCTTGTAAGCAGGCTGCTCGCCTTCTGTTTTTTTGTTAGCAGTCTCGCCCAAGATTGCTCGAACGTTTGCCAGCCTTTTGGCAAGGACTTTGCCGACGGCGGTGTTTACTTCTAGAACGTACAATCTACCGACCCGTTTACAGCAACAGGATACTTCACAGGCTGCCAAAGTGACACCGCATACAATGCCCTCCAAGATCCTGAGAGAAATCAATACGAATGTGACAACACACCTCTGGAACCAGATGGAGCTCTCCAGAACTTCACTTGGTGAGTCTTGCAACTTGTCCGTCTTCAACGAGTGATCTTCAGCTGATACTCTTCAGCCCAATTAACAAGAACCAGGGCTTGTTCTTTAAAATAGGTTTGGTCTTCTATGCGCGTCATAGCCCTACGAGGAATATTAACGATCCTCCCTAATCTTCAACCTCTTGAATATACTTGCTGAACAGTGCGTGACAGCGAGCATTGCTGACTGAAACAAGTGCCAGCTAGATGTCATTTCATGCCCTGCTTACTGCAAGCCATCTACACAAACAGCAACTCCCAGAAACCTCCACAATGGCTATCGAAAACGTAGCAGTGTAGAGGATGCTGCCGCATCCTTTGAGGGCATATCAGCGTCGGCGACAGAGATAGGAGGCACAGTGGACAAGCTTCGACGACAAAGGTCGCTGTCAAGACAGATTATTCAAATTTGCCACAGGTGGTTAGGACGCTTCCATGAAGTTCTTCTTGAGTGCTCTACTTGGAGAGAGCTACGGAGGCCACACCATATCCTCGATAACGTGCTATTACGTATTCCACAAATTAAGAAGATCCCAGTCTGGAAGTTTGTCATAAAAGCTGCGAAGGTAGTCCAATGTATGCCGTTTACGCTAAGCTAATCTACGAAAGCAAAGATCCAGCACATAACCGACATACCTTGCGAGCACCTCAAACTTTTGCCGGCCGCCAACCGACGAAGGCTATCCGGGTGGCCACGAAAAGTATCGTCCCAATTGCGCAAGCTGCGCCACTGAAGGCGATAGCATTGGGGAATGACCCTCCGCTACGTGAGATGATAGCACCGCCAATGGGAGACCCGGTCAGGCCGGCAAATGCGGAAATCGTAAAGACGGTACCGGTGCGGACACCAATGTCTTGGATGGACGAGAGCTTGGCACAGAGGACAGGTGTGAGACCAATGCCAGCGCCGGAAGATATACCAAAGAGCGCTGCGAAAAGAATGATGGGTGCGTCGCCAGTCGAGGGGAGCCAAAGGCCGAGGATCAGGATCGACGTCAAGGCACACATGACGATCATTACGTTGAAGTGTCCGACTTTGTCGGCAATGGCATTGGGCACGGTGCGCCCGAGAATGCTAGAAGCATATTAGCTGATTGCAATCATTACAGGAGCTAAGGCAAGCTCTCTTACCTCGTAGCGTTTAGGATGCAAACAAGGTATTGCGCAAGATGAGGTGACATGCCATGGGCAGTTGCGTTGGCGACGATGAACGTGAAGGGAATGAACATGCCCCCTGAGGAATATGTCAGTGTTGTTTGTGATGTGAAGGCATTTGATCAACGCACAGTAGAAGAAAAACACTGCAAGCGTCCACAAAGCAAAGGCTGGTTCTCGCAGAGGCCGGACAAATGCCGCAATTTCGAGAGGACGTGATTGAGGCTTGATGCGGCTTGTAAGAGCATAGTTCGCGAACAGCAAAAGCGCCAGGATCAGGAATGCACAGCAGCGGATGGTCCAGCCGAAGCCGACTCGAGGAAGCAGATTGATGATCATGGCTGGGAAGACTACACCGCCGAGGGATGAGCCTGCGGCAACGAGGCCGAGTGCGGCGCCGCGCTTCTTCAAGAACCACGTCGATACCTAAAATCCACGACTCAGTTGGTTGAATTTGCGAGTATCGGAAAGATTGTGCATACACTTGAAAATGCAGGACTGAAAACGAGCGAGGCGCCCATGGCGGAGCAGATTGCTTGGCTCAACAAGATCTGATAGTACGTCTTGGAGATGCTGGTCATCATCAAGCCAAACACATGTAAGAATGTGCCGGCGACGAGTAGGTAGCGGGGGCCATAGTCGTCGAACATCTTGCCGGCGAAGATGCCGCCAGCAAACATGAAGAAGACTGCTTGACATTAGAGGCTACAAGAAGAGTGATTTGTCCAAGCTTCACGTACTTTGAAGCGAAGGTATCCAGGCGATATCTGACGGCGTGTAATCACGGAGCATGTTGGACTGATAGTACTCCTGGAAGATGCCAATGGCGTTCATCCATCCGAACGACACAAATAAGCAAGCAGTCGCGCCAGCAACTGCGAGCCAGGCTGTCGGACCGCCCTCAGGATACTCATTCACATGTTGCACCCTTTTCTCCGCTTCTATAGCTTCAACAGAGTCATCTCGGGGCAGTGATGTACTGCGCTTTTCCATCTTGCAGGTAGGGTCTGACGAGGTGCAGTTTTGAGTGTGAAATATTTTGATGATTATGATACAGGCTGATATTAAACCTGTGTGTTTTGTTCGAAAAAAGAAATTCCGATCGAAAAGTAGAACACTGATGTTCATCTGTTGGCGGGAACGACTACTTGACCTCTGACATTGTCGTTTCATGAGGCCGGGATTCAACGGACACCGACTCGAGAACGCGCCACCCGGACCATCGTAATCAGCTAACTACCGCTCTACGCCTGCCGCGGTACGAATCAAAACGTTAAAATTCTGTCCAGATTGACTATCACAGTTGTCGGATCCCGTTGCAATCGGGGATACGGTCTGTGACTTCAAATTGAGTGCATCAACATTCAAAAACGTATAAGGCTGACGATTCAGCTGTGATATGAATAGTTCGTCAAGGTGCGATATTTCTTGAACGCAATCGACTACTTCTATACGCATCATACATTCGCACAAAACACAACAAAATGTCTATTCCAGAGTCTACTCGAGTCCTTGTCATTGGTGGTGGCCCAGCTGGATCGTACGCAGCTTCGGCGTTGGCCCGGGAGGGAATCGATACTGTCGTCCTTGAAGGTGACAAGTTCCCCAGGTGAGTGTAGCCAGACGAATGGCATTTCAATTGGCGAGCGATTTGGTTCTAAATCACGTGTAGATATCATGTGGGTGAGAGCATGCTGCCATCGTTGCGCCACTTCCTCAGATTTATCGACCTCGACGACACTTTCGTTGCTCATGGCTTCTATAAGAAGGTACGTCAAAAATAGCGGGACCGGATTTGCCAATCGAGACTAAGACCTCTTCTTGTGCAGATTGGTGCAGCATTCGTATTGAACAACAAGGATCCAGCTTGTGAGTCGACAAACTCTCTTCGACAAACCCGCGCTCGAACTCTCTAATACGGAACAGATACCGACTTCGTTGGCGCTGGTGGTCCAAACGGCTACTCCTGGAACGTGATTCGCTCAGAGGCCGACGACCTCATCTTCAGACATGCAGGCAAGAGCGGCGCGCAGATTTTCGACGGCGTTAAGGTCTCTGCCATTGAATTTGCGCCTCACGAGGGCCCAAGCACCGCCGACGAGAAGACCCAGGACCCTGGCCGCCCCGTGTCAGCTACCTGGACACGCAAAGAGGACAGCACCACAGGCGTAATCAAATTTGACTACCTTATTGACGCGAGTGGTCGGGTTGGGGTCATGAGCACAAAGTACCTCAAGAATCGCCATTTCAATCAAGGTCTCAAGAATGTTGCCAGCTGGGGCTACTGGCAGGGCGCTGGACGTTACGGTGTCGGGACGCCAGAGGAGGGTGTTCCTTACTTCGAGGCTCTCTCAGGTTTGTACTCGTGTCGCGTCGTTTGAGGATTTTGCTGATATTTTCAACCGTAGATGGCAGTGGTTGGGCCTGGTTCATTCCTCTACACGATGGCACTACGTCCGTCGGCGTGGTCATAAACCAGGAGGTTGCTACCCGCAAGAAGAAAGAAATGGGATCCTCAGGCAGCAAGGCATTCTACTTGGAAATGTTGAAGGCCGTGCCTAGAATACTCGGACCAATGCTCAAGGATGCCACGCTTGTGACCGAAATCAAAGCCGCATCCGACTGGTCATACAGCGCCTCATCCTACGCAAGCTACAACACTCGCATTGTCGGCGATGCTGGCTGCTTCATCGATCCTTTCTTCTCATCAGGCGTCCACCTTGCCGTGGCCAGTGGGCTTTCGGCTGCCGCAACTATTTGCGCCTCCATTAAAGGTCAATGCAGCGAACACGAAGCTCTCGGATGGCACTCGAAGAAGGTTGCTGAAGGCTACACTCGCTTCCTACTTATCGTCCTAAGCGCATTGAAGCAAATCAGGGAGCATGACCAGGCTGTACTTAGCGACTGGGATGAAGAGGGCTTTGAGCGCGCATTTGCCCACTTCCGACCCAGTGAGTGTCTCGTTTGAGTAGACCCCTTCAATCCCAAACGTTGCTGACACATTACAGTCATTCAAGGGACTGCCGATGTCCATGGTAAACTGACCCAGGAGGAAGTGTCCAAAACAGTTGACTTTTGCTTGAAGGCCTTCGCGCCCATGGACGTTGCCAAGCGCGACGCCGTTTTGGAAAGGGTCAAAGACCTGAAGATCTCTGGCGGTGCGCAGGATCCCAAAGCCCTTGAGGCGTACCTCTCTCCTGAGGAGCTACACATCCTCAACGTTGTGCGTGCTCGAGAGATGATGCGGTCGGAGGACACGGTCAACATTGACACCTTCACCTCCGACACTATCGACGGTCGTGCTGTCAATATAATCCATGGCTCTCTCGGCCTCATCTCTGCGGAAGAGGCTGCGAGGAAAGCGACCAAGAAGTCTGGCGATATCCTTGGTCAGCTTATGGGGGAGGAAAAGAAGTTTTTCCACAGCGAACTTGAGGTCCCGGCTGAGATCGTTAGCAATTGACGGGAGATGGGAACGGCAAGCGTAGATAGTTTCAGGCTCAACGGGCCTGTAGTCCGGGTAGCAAAGTTAATGCAATGATTTCGTTAAATAATATCACGGGTTCCACTTCCACTATGACAGTAGCAGTGAGATGTCCGTAAGAGGACCGAAGTACTCCGGGAGCGTTTTGTTTGTCATGCCCCTCCCCTCCAAATATAGATGTGCGTGAGCCACGGTGGCGCAGTCGCTGTACCCCAGCTATCATTGGCCTCTATCTTTGGTTAGGCGTAAACACAATCCTGCTCAAGATACGCAAGCATGTAAGCGATGGCTTACATCTAGGTTCCACGTAAGCTTTCCATTGCGACATGCAAGTCGCCAACACCCCCACTAGAGAACGCCTCCAGCTCCTTCGTAAAGCATAGCGCGCTATGTTATTAGGCAAGCCATTGAAGCCGGTCAGAGCGGAGCAAAGGTTCTAGCTCTAGAGGTCAATGCGTTTCGAATGAGGTATGGTGTTCTAGTATATGCTAATGCAGCGGTGGTGTATCAGGTAGTACATAAGAAAAGGCGTCTCCGCAGCTCTCCGCACTTTACTTTGTTGTGACCCTGCAAGATGCTTAAACGAACACGAGCCGACGATGACTTCTGTTCCACGGCAGACTCGTTCCCACTCTTCCATACAGCCGATAATCTAAGTTGCGACACCGCGTGGGCATTTGAGACTGAACCCGACCCGACACAGATGCAGTTCTCCGACTTCGGCTTCATGAACATTGATATCCCCGCCCTACAATCCATACCTCTAAGTGACCATCGCATCCATACCAACACACACGCCGATGTTTTTGCCGGCCAAGACTCGCTCGCAGGCTACCAGACGTCGAATGGCTCCTCCACATCTGAGCTTTCGTCACGATCAACGTCCGCCTCGTCTGCCTTGTTCTTGTTATCGTCGTCGTCGTCTTCTCCTCCTTTCTCGGCTTCAGTCGAGGCCCAGCCGCACACGAGACAAGCCAATCTATGCAGATCTCCATGCAGGTCGGAGACCTGCCTCACGGCAGCTCTTCGCACCCTGACAACCCTGCACGTTGTTCACTCGGCTTGTCTGAGTGCCCATCAAGAAGATCCATCTGTTCAGCAAGCCTGGAAGATGGAGACGGTGCTGTCCACGAATAGGGATGTCGTCGCTGGAATGGCTCCTATTTTGGCCTGCTCTTGCTCGGGCAAGTCGTTGGTACAGCTACTGCTCTCAAGCGTCTGCGGCAACCTTATTGCCTGGAACAGCGCCATGATCAATGCCCTTTTCGAGCAAGGCGACTCATTTGACAGCCATCGATCAATATTCTCTTCAGTATCCTCACTATCTGCTGGCCATGCCCAGGCTCCCAGGGCGCGCGTCCTACCCCAACCTATTACTATTGGCCAGCACGAAATCAGCGGCAGTCTCGGCCGAGCTCTCCACGCCCAGATCGTGGCAGGAGAACTGCGTACTCTTGAAGGCTTTGTCGACGCTCTTTCCCGCCGCTTCGGTGAGGCGTCTAAATCAGATGGCGCCTCCAGTACTTCTCCCGCCATACACATGAGGAATGCTAACAGCCGTGCCGCTACTTGCCGGGATACTCCTTCTTTGCAGTCAAAAGGTCTCTCCAACATCGTGCACCGCCATATCATCTCGTCACTACGTACACGACTGCATAGTACGCGGGCTGAGATCTTCTCTCGGCTAGGCCAAGCAATTTGAGCAGTTTGTGGTAAAGAAGTTTCTGGCAATGGCCAGAAGAGGGGAAAAAAGACTCGACGTAACTCTTCCTCAGTATATGTACGAATACCTTCCTTCAGATTTCGCTCAGAGGTCTACTGGCGAGGAAATGGAGTCACACGAGTGAAGCAAACAATTCACGAAACATAGACGATAGATTAGGCAAGCAAAGTCCCCATCGATGTTTCTACATTGGATGACTTCGGCGTTTCTATCTGTTGAGAAGACCTACACTATTCGGGTTTCCTGTCTCTCACTCCTAGAGAGTGTGGTCGGGGGAGTATTGCTCGTCGATGCGGCGAGCGTAGGCAGCGAGGACTGGACAGCTCTTGGTCATTTCCGTTATCTTGGGAGCACGACGAAGTATTTCAGTTCAGCGCCAGGAATGACTTGAGAGAGAACGACGTACAAGGAACAAACAACGTCATGGGTCATGAGAAAGGCGAGCACTATGCGATATACCGAATACTCAGAATAAAAAGCTGGCCTTCGTATTACATAACGTCATTATTAGTAGTGAAATATCTGGATTCTATGCATATGTGACTTGTTGTAGTGTCGTGTATAAATCAACTGAGGTTAGGTACTGCTACTTCAAAGTTGTGATCACATTTTGGTAATAATCAACCCGAATAGCATCTTTCTTGATGTAATCAATGTGGTCTCCTAAGCCGCAACATCAGGCATCGCTCAATCGAAAAAGAAATTGACTTCACCGTATAGTACTCGCCATGAAAAAACCTGCAGTGTCGACCTCAGACGGTTAGCTACCACCCATGACCTAAAACGGGCCACTTTCGCTTCACCTTGTTTAGCAACGCGTTCACTTGAATCCAGAACTGCTTGCTAAAGTCGCTAATTTCAGTGGGGCTGAAGCGGCTTGTACCCTGTTTCTTTTTTGTCGTGTTTAATTGGCGGATTACCATGCTTCCGACTGCAATGTGCATCCGACATGGCACAGTGGGAAAGTCGAATAACTTAGCAGCCGTCGCGGGTGGACCTGCAGACCTGGACCAGTGGCAGATGCATCAAGCAGCCGTTGTGGGCCATACATTACTGAGGGATAGAAAGTAGATAGATTATAGTAGATTGTACAACAGAGTTACAGTAGTAGCAAGAGCACAGAATTGAATATGAACAAGTATAGTTTTAGTTGTATTATTACGCGAAACCACTGTTTAGAAACCCCAGAACCCCGCCTGAATCTTACCCCTGCCATGTACACTACTTTTCCCAGATACCACAGTAGGAAGGCATTGCGGGTCAGCCTCGCTGGAACACCCCGGCCTTGGTTCCACACTAGCAGGCTCCCGCATGCGGGAGCCAGACCGTAATCCATGCAGATGACACTCCACTAATCATCTGTGCTGTGACCCACCTTGATAATGCTTGGTAGTGTAAGCATGGCCGTCAGCCAATCAGATGTTGGCGATGTTACATGAGATAAGGGCTGTTCCGCTGGCAATCACATTAACCGAATGAGATACGAATTCTCCGTCTAGTAACGCCCCAGGTGGAAGATCGTAAGCACGGGCCGATGGACGACGCGCGTATGGCCGCCGGACGACGCGCGGATAGCCGTCGGGCTGGGGTCAGTCAACGTTGATATCCTTGAATGCTTCAGCCCCTCCTCCCCCATGTCTCACTTATCAGACTATAATCTGACACCGTAGGCGGCCTTAACTCTTTCCCGTAAACGATAGCGACGTATGAGGGGGCCGATTTGAGTGATGCACCCTATCTAGTGGTCAACATACCAATGCCGATGCATCACCAAGAACCAGGTCCTTTCCTTTCACGCGGCGAGCGGATATGCAAGCCTGCACCAGTCATGTAATCCATTCCGTCAAAGCGGAGGCGAGTTTCGAGCTCAGCCACAAACGGCGACCAGGCGGATTCTCCCGCTATGGATGAGCCCCAGTAGAGAACGATGTCTGGAAATAGATGATGAGTCATTGTTCATGATCTATTATCGAAGTGCGAGTGCACTCATGGCACGAAAAGAGAGCAGGACTTTGGATTTGTCCCCAGATGATTTGAGATCACCGACGTTGCAGTGTCTTTGCGGCCGTTATCGTGTGTGCGGAGGCAGCTGGTCACGTAGATCAAAGCAGGTATGGCAAGTGGCGATGATTGTGCAAGATGTCTTAGATTGCTCATGGGAACAGCCTAAGCGAGTGGAAGAACATAGCCTACTCGAACCTAACCCTGAAAGATGACAGTGATGAGTTTAGGAGGCCTGAAAACAACGGAGACCGACAAAGAATGCTTTGCATGCCTTTACACAAGCTGTTGAGATCGGAGTCTCCATCAGGATGAGGCCTGCCGTTCTGAAATGATACGAGTTTTGGCGAGTCCCATCCAGGTCTAGACCAAGATCTATACAAGCCTTTGTGGCTGAGCTCGGTTTCCGACGATCACCGCCCTCACAATGCCTACCTGCTTGTGACAGTCAGCACGAGTGAAAGTGGCCATGATCTTGTAACATTGATCAAAGAAGACCAAAGATTTGGAAACAATCTGCTAGCCAAACTGCACTTGTAACTTTTGTGCTACGATACTCAAAGCTTTTTGTTCATCCAATCAAATCATCTTGTGTAATTTACTATGGCTACTTTGGCAAACGTCAAGATCGATCGTGAGTTCTGGAAGGACTATCTCTCCGCCCAAGGAAGCCAGTTGCCCCAACTCGACGACGTGGAAGATGTCACGGACAGGGTCATCAGGGTGATGGGAGGAAACCCCGGAGAGATGCAGCTCCAGGGAACAAACACCTTTCTTCTCGGCACAGGCAAGGCAAGAATTCTGATTGACACCGGCGAGGTATGTATGCGGTACGAGGATGAAAACTCCATACAAGAAAAGCAATCCTAACAATATCTACGTAGGGAATGCCAATATGGGCTGAACGCCTCTTCGAAATCTTGAAAGAAAGAGATCTCTATATCTCTCACGTGCTCCTCACACACTGGCACGGTGATCACACAGGCGGAGTACCCGACTTAGTTGCATACGATGCCACGCTCGTAGATCGGATTTACAAGAGCCATCCTGATCCCGGCCAAAACGACATTGAAGACGGGCAGATATTCGCCGTCGAGGGTGCCACTGTCAAAGCTCTCTTCACGCCTGGTCACGCCGTTGATCACATGTGCTTCTTACTCGAGGAGGAGAAGGCGCTCTTCACAGGTGATAACGTGCTGGGACACGGATATACAGTCGTTGAGGATCTCGCGCTGTACTTGCAAAGTCTCGACCGCATGGCCGGACAAGGCTGCATCATGGGATATCCGGCTCACGGGGTCCGAATTGAAAACTTGCCTGCCAAACTTAACCAGTACATCAGGCAGAGGAGGGCGCGGGAGAAGTTGATCTATGCGGCACTGCTCGACAACATGCTGAAAGGCGGACGAAAAGCAAACAGCAAATCTGGGTTGTCGACGAGGGAGATCGTCAGTAAAATCCACGGAGACATTCCTCAGCAGCTGCTCCTGAGTGCCATCGAGCCGTCTACGATTGAGATTCTGCGGATGCTTGCTGACACTCGCAAGGTGGGCTTTGCTATGCAGAGCGGCACGCAGCGATGGTTCATCAACCAAAGGTGCAGGGTGGCGTAGGCGATTAGGATGTATATACCCGGAGGATAGTAGATTTTCAGGCGCAAGTTTTTCATTGTAGAGCCAGTGGTGGACTCAGACACAGATTAGAATATGCACAGACATCATCGTCGCCAAGACAGGATGTAGGTTATGTGACTGCTATCTCTAGTTGAATGTGTTGAACATGCAAAAGTGATCGACCACTCCTGAAGCGCGTTGATTGGATTATATCCACTCCAACAGAACGAAGTTCTAAGCGATCCACATCGGACAATACGTCGGCTTTGGAGAACGTGTACTCGTCACCTGATGCTGGCAACGTGTGAGAATCGCCCCAGCAAACGTGGACTCTTTATGGCGACTTCCTTCTCACCGGTAGTCGAGCCTCTTGAAACGGCTCCTTTCGAGCGATGTGGGCTTTCCCCAGTGTGTTAATCTCCTACTTTCCCGCTCCCGATCTCGTCGGTTGCCGTGCCTCGACATTCAGCTAGGCCGGACAGCGTACACCGATGCTTACGCTCACTGCATCGGTCTCTTTCATCTTCGTGTCCAAGTATAGCCAAGAACATCTGTACCCATATAGTCCTCCAAAGGGAGAAAGACATCACCTTGCACACCCAGTTTCCATGACACTTTCCCTCTACATCGACTCGACACCTCTCTTTTGACGTGCAAATATGACCACCACTCCCTCAACGGATGGCTTGGGCGACTTTGCGTCTCGACTACTATTCTTCAACAATGAATTTCCCAACGACGACCTACGGGATTTATTCCGCCGCCTGCACACTAACAGCAAGTGTCAGCGATTTCGCTCCCTAGCTACTTTCCTCGACGCATGTGGCGATGTGCTTCATGATGAAGTCGCAGCGTTGCCTTTGCACCTGAAGAAGCTCGTCCCGTCGTTCAAGTCAGTTTTGTCCCTCGCGGACGATCCTGATTTCAGACAGGGTCCATTGGGCGGAGCATTGGAAAGTGCCCTGCTATGCGTTCTGGAGATTGGCATGTTCATTGGGTGAGGCTACCACGCAAAGTACAACACGAACTTACACTGATATGTATGCAGTCACCATGAAGCCCAGGATCTGCCCCTAGATATATCTGGTGCTAGGACGACGCTATCTGGCCTCAGTATTGGGTTGTTTGCTGCTGCTGCCATCTCGGTCTCCAGCTCCTTGGCAGAAGTCGCCATCAACGGTGTGGAGAGCGTGAGAGTCGCTTTCAGACTGGGCGTCCATGTCAACGACGTGTCTGAGAGACTCGAGTCGCGCGACCAAGACGGAAATTATGACAGCTGGGCCTATGTGTTGACTGGCCTGTCCGTCGCAAAGGTGCAGGAGGAGCTCGACCGCTACAACACAGAAGCAGTGAATAGCCCTCTACACTTGCAGACTCGTAAACCGACTAACATTTTCTAGGCCAACCCCACGCCGACAAAAGTCTTCATCAGTGCGTCAGACAAGACTTCAGTCAGTGTTACGGGTCCGCCATCTCGCCTGAAAAACGCATTCAGACACTCTCAAGCCCTGCGTTATTCAAAGCACCTCCCGATGCCGGTTTTCAATGGGTTGTGTCATGCTCCACATCTCTACACTGCTGAAGACGTCCGGTCTATCGTCCATGGCTCTGCACCCAGATGCACTCACTCTCTTCGCATCCAGCTTCCGTTGCTCTCGCCACAGACGGGCAAACAATTCCTCGCTCGCTCTGCCGGTGACCTCTTCGAAGAGATCGCTGCTGACATCTTGATGGGTGGCATTTTCCTCGATAACCTCAGTGGCGGAATCCTGGCCTCGATCTCTGATTTTGGATCAGCAGAATGTGAGGTATTTCTCTTCCGCTCATCTCTGGTCTCGAACAGCATATTGGCAACCGTGAGCGAGGGTCTCGGCCAAGTAACGATGAAGCGCGCTGATTATATCGACTGGTGTTTTGACGGCATCACGCCTTGCAAACCGCGAACTGTTGCACAGTCTACTCTCGCCATCGTTGGAATGTCTTGCAGGCTGCCTGGGGGCGCCAACGACTGTAAGCTATTCTGGGACCTTTTGAAAGAAGGAAGAGACACACACACCGAAGTCCCGGCCGACAGGTTCGATTTACAGGCACATTTCGATCCGACTGGCCAGATCCCCAATTCGACGCCCACACGTTGGGGGAATTTCATCGATCAACCGGGCATGTTTGACGCCGCCTTTTTCAACATGTCCCCGAGAGAGGTAAGTCCACTCACTTGGAGGCTGTCGCAGTTTTTTGGACTTAACGGTTTCAGGCAGAGCAAACAGACCCCATGCATCGGCTGGCCCTCGTCACGGCCTACGAGGCGCTCGAAATGTCGGGATATGCACCAAATAGAACACCGTCCACGACTCTGGAACGGATAGGCACATACTACGGTCAAGCAAGCGACGATTGGAGGGAGTTGAATGCAGCTCAAAACATCGGGACACATGCGGTGCCAGGAGGGGAGCGAGCCTTTGCCAACGGACGCATCAACTACTTCTTCACATTCGGCGGTCCAAGCTTCAACATCGATACCGCATGCTCCAGCGGACTGGCTGCTGTCAATGCCGCATGCTCAGCGTTGTGGGCCGGCGAAGCAGACACGGTCATCGCGGGCGGTCTCAGCATTATCACAAATCCCGACAACTACGCCATGCTGGGCAATGGTCATTTCTTGTCCAGGACAGGTCAGTGCAAGGTGTGGGACGAAGGAGCTGACGGGTACTGCCGAGCTGATGGTGTCGGCTCTGTCGTAATCAAACGCCTAGAAGACGCAGTTGCGGACAACGACAATGTCCTCGCCACCGTGCTCGCTGGTGCAACAAACCATTCCGCCTATGCCGCCTCTATCACTCAGCCCCATGCTGGGGCCCAGAAGAGCAACTACGCTCAGGTCGCACAAGCCGCAGGTATCAACCCTCTCGATGTAGGCTACGTCGAACTTCACGGTACCGGAACGCAAGTCGGAGATGCGGTTGAGTCTGAGTCGGTTTGTGATTTCTTCGCTCCCCTCTCCCCACGTCGCCGCGCCGATCAGCCTCTCCACTTGGGAGCCTTGAAATCCAACATTGGGCATGGCGAGGCTGCTGCGGGCATTGCCTCACTGATCAAGGTGCTACTGGTCTACCAAAACAATGAGATCCCGCCACACATTGGGATCAAAACGGCTATCAACCCCATCATACCTCTGGATCTAGCAAAGCGACAAGCTGGCCTTGCTATGAACCTGCAGCCGTGGCCGAGGGAAGCTGCGAAGCCTCGATACGCTGTTGTGAACAGTTTCGGGGCCCATGGTGGTAATACCACGTTGATACTCGGAGACGCGCCTGAAAGGAAACTCAGCGGCTCTGACCCAAGATCGAGCCATCCGGTGGTGGTCTCTGCGAAAAGCAAGAATTCTCTGAAAGACAATCTAACAGCTCTCGTCGAATATCTTGACAAGCATCCAGGTACCGATCTGGGCGACCTGTCGTATACGACCACGGCTCGGCGAATCCATCACAGCTCCAGAGTGGCCGTCTCAGCTTCCAGCATTTCTCAATTGCAAAAAGCTTTACTCTCTACCCTTCCTACTGTCGGAGAAATCCGCCCCGTGTCGGTAACTGCACCTTCGATCGCATTCGCTTTTACCGGCCAAGGCTCATTCTACCTGGGAATCGGCGTGGCATTATACAAATCATTCCCGTACTATCGCGAACAGATTGTCCACCTCGACCATCTGGTACAGGGATTCGGCTTCCCCTCGGTCGTTCCACTCATCGAAGGTACATCCGAGAATGGAGTCTCTCCTCTCACAACGTCACTCGCCATCGTCGTCAGCCAACTTGCCCTCGCTGAATTCTGGTCGTTCCTTGGAGTCAAACCCAGCGCTGTCGTTGGCCACAGTCTCGGCGAATATGCGGCTTTGGCCGTGGCTGGTGTGATATCGGCAGCCGACGCAATCCTTCTCGTGGGGAAACGTGCAGAACTCGTCGTCTCCAAGTGCGAAGAGGGCAGTCAAGTCATGCTTGCGGTGCGCGCAAGCGTCGATAAGATAAAAAGTATTGCTATGGACGGAAGGTACAACGTTTCCTGCATGAATGGAAGCAACGACACCGTCTTGGGAGGCTCTCGAGAAGATATTCAGGGTACGCGAGAGGCCCTGGAACATGAAGGCGTAAAGTGCACACTCCTTGATGTCCCCTTTGCATTCCATACCAGTCAGATGGACCCTATGCTGGGACCGTTCGAACAGGTGGCAAAGCACGTCACTTACAAAATCCCGAGGATTCCCATTCTCTCCCCACTCCTCAGCACTTGCGTGTTCGACGGTAAAACCATCAACGAGAAGTACTTGAGCAAAGCGGCCCGAGATCCTGTCAATTTCGTCGGCGCTCTGGAGGCTGCCCAGGACCTTGGCATCGTTGACGAGAAGACCATGTGGATCGAGATCGGGTCCCACCCCGTGTGCCTCTCCTTCATTCGAGGCAACATTGCAGACGCGCAAGTGACTGCATCGCTTCGTCGCGACGAGGACAACTTTGCGACCTTGTCCAGCACTCTCGCATCACTCCACCGTGTCGGTATCAATGTCAACTGGAATGAGTACCACCGCCCGTACGAAAGACACCACACCCTCTTATTGCTCGACACGTACAAGTGGAATGAGAAAAACTATTGGATACAATACGAAGGCACCTGGACTCTGGACAAGGCCTATCCGAACGGCAACCCGAACAAGACGCCAACGACGCAAAGCGGTTCTGCACTGCGGACTTCTTCTATGCAGCAGATTATATCAGAAGAAATAACCGAAACCACAGGCAAGCTTGTCGTCGTCTCGGACATGATGCACCCAGAACTACTGAGCGCCTTAGACGGCCACCACATGAACGGATATGGTGTGGCGACGTCGGTGAGTAGCAGTGCAATGAAGGACAGAATCTACGCTAACTCTATACAGTCGATCTGGGCTGATATGGCTTTGACTGTCGGCGAATATCTGTACAAGCGCATGGTGCCAGGGGCCGAGCCGGTGTCAATGAACGTTTCCGACATGCTGGTGGAACACGCTCAAATCGTGATGTCGAACCGAGAGGGCGCACAGCTTTTGCAAGTAGAAGCCGAGATGGACCTCGAGGACCTGACCACGGCTGTGCAGTGGTACAATGTGAACAACGCAGGCGAACGCTCTGAAGAGCCGTATGCTACCGCGACAGTTCGATACGAAGAGTCCGAGGATTGGGAGGCCGAGTTCAGCAGGGTGTCGTGGCTAGTGGACAGCCGCGTCGAAACACTGACAGCCATGGTCCCTGGAGGCTCCGCCAGCAGGCTGTCACGAGATCTGACGTACACACTGTTCGAGAACGTAGTCGATTACTCGGATAAGTACCGCGGCATGCATTCTGTCGTGATTCACGACTTCGAAGCCTTCGCGGACGTAATATTGGCACCCGAGAGGCACGGCACCTGGCATACGCCTCCCCACTGGATCGACAGTCTCTTCCACGTCGGTGGATTTGTCATGAACGGCAGTGCAGCCTCCAACACCAAGGACTATTTCTACGTCACCAACGGCTGGAGTAGCTGCCGTATGGCGAAGCCTGCGGTTGCAGGCGGTAGCTACCGGAGCTATGTGCGCATGGCGCCGACGAGCGAGCCCAACATGTTCTCTGGCGACGTGTATGTCCTGCAGGACGGGACGGTCGTGGGCATGATGGGTGGCATGAGGTTCCGCCGTGTCAACCGCATTTTGATGGACAGGTTCTTCTCGCCGCCAGATGTGGCAGCGGGAGGCGTCACTAAAACCACGTCGTCGGTACGTGCTACTCCCGTCAAACCGAAATCGACGGCCAAACCCAAGCCTGCCGCGTCTCAACGCGCTTCCACAAAGGCCACGCGCAACGTGCAGGCAACGAGGTCCGCTGTGGTAGAGCAAGTCGTAAAAGCAGATGACGAAGAAACGAAAGAAGCAGCTCCCGCGGTGAAAGGTGATAGCAACGCCAGTGAAATGGCAGGAGGCGTCGTGGGCGACGCGCTGAAGCTCATTGCCAAAGAGACGGGACTCGAGCTTTCCGACCTGACCGACGACGCCATGTTTGTGGAGCTGGGCGTCGATTCCCTCACTTCGCTGGTCCTGGCCGAGACGTTCAAGAAGCAGCTGTCGATCGAGGTCAAGAGTTCGCTCTTCCTGGAGTGTCTCAATGTCGGAGACCTAAAGGCGTGGCTCGAGCAGAATGCGTGAATGACGAACAGAATGCGTGAGGTAGAAGGGTTCGTACGTGAGAACTGACTGAATTGTACTTATTATCTCCTAAACGAACTTATCAATTTTCCCACAATGCATCGCAAGGCTGGTCATAGACGCACACACACTGAGTTAAAGGTGTGTCAATTAACGCACTGCAGGAGTGGTCGATCTACCGTATTTTGCATGTCTAACAGCGTACATTTCACTTCACCACTCAATACATGTATGTGCACAAGCAAACAATATCATAGCAGAAAGTGGAGAACAAGTGATGATTCGTGAAGGAAGAGCGAAGCTCGAAGCTATCGAGGAAGTGTGCCAAGGCGCTAATGCCCTGCTTTCTTCGTCATCGCAAGCCTCCAATTCATCCCAGAGCAACAGTCATCTAAGCCACCCCCATCGTGGGGTACTGAATTCAACCACTCAATCATCACACGCAGTCACTAGCCGCCACCTTGACGCGCTTATGTGCGGCGCCACTGCTCAGGAAGCGATTTGTCGTCTCCTCAGCCATAGTCTTGAGCGTAGTCCTCAAGGAAGCAGCGAGCAACAGCAACGCCTCTGGTGGACGACTAGCTTGAGTGACGCTGTAGCGGTGCGTGAAGAGGGTGACGACCTGGGATATGTTGGTGAGAGTGCCGAGGGTCAGGACAGTGCGCTGTTCGTCGTCGAGGGCATGTCCCGCAGGCTTGAAGACGCGCAGGGCGGCGTCGGCGACATCCAGGATGGCGGCGGCGAGTGATGCGGCCAGCATGGCCGTATCCATGTCAGCCGAGCATGGGCACACGAGGATGCGCGCTGCTTGTCTGCACGCATGGGGTATCTTTTCGGCGAGCACGTCCCTGGCTGCGGTTGCTGGAGCAGTCGACTGGCCCTCGAGCCCTGCCCCTGCGAGATCCCTAAGCGTTGCAACGGCTACGGTCGCGCAGTCGTGCTCGTAGGGATTATGTGGGACCTCGTGCATGCCCAACGAGGGCTGCTCGAGGCTGCTGAAGAGGGCGTCTCCTAGAATGGCCGACTGTGGGACGTCGTTGTTCCTGGAGTTGTTACTGCCACTGGCACTGGCACTGCCATCGTCAGAGAAGCAGTCTGGCAGTGTCTCGCTGAGGTCTTGGTGCTGCGCCGCCGGAGGTGCTTCAGCGGGCCGGACCGAGGGCGCCGGTGGCGTGTATTGTTTACTGGCTGCATCCGCCACGGCGTTGACCTCGCGAGCCGCCTGTCGGGCGTCTTGGGGGCGCGGGGCGTCTTGGGGGCGTGGGGAACGTGGACGCGGTCTGCCAATACGTCTGGCTGGGCTGTAGAGGCACTCGTACGACAGCCTCTCGCAGCGGCCGCACCTTGGATTTCCCTTGTCGCACTTAACTTTTGCCTCGCTGCACAGGTCGCACGTCTGGCGGAGCTTCGACGGCTTGGTTGGACGAGCGACGACGGTGCTTGTGTTGTTGTTGTTAGTGGTATTCGGCTCGACTTGGCTCTGGAGATCCATGACTCGGCGGGTGAGTAATAACGCAATGTGAGGTGAATGGTGTAAAATTGAATAACTCTTTTAAAAGTTGTTTGGACGGATTCTCCAGCTCGAACGAACACCGAGTGGCTTGTATACAGAAGATACCCCTGCGTAAGAAGGGCCCGAATACCAAAAAAACAGCTCAGCATAAGCTTTAGATGACGACTCCCAACTCCTGGAGGAAATGGCATCAGATTAGCGCAAAATCATCCCTGTTCGCATATGCTTCTTATAATGGGTAGAAATCTGTCTCTCATAAAACAGGCGCTAGAACTGTTCGAGGTAGGCTATGCCTGCTAAACCGTGGTCATCTATCGGCCTAGGCAGACTCCTCCAAATTTTGCTGCTATCAAGCCAACATAGACCTACCTCTAGCGAGGCGGAGAAAGCGGGAATTAAGGTAACAGTAGGGTACCTTCACTCTCACCATGATTTATACACGTTCGGGTTTATTAACACCAAAATATTACATGGTTAAGCTCATAGAGTGTTAATTATTTTCGAATATTTTTAACAACAAAGTTTTTGATATTTTGGTGTTATTTGGCCTGTTCGTTGTGGCATCCCACTATGAGCTTATTCCCCGCTTTCTCTGCTGCGCTACCGTATGAATCGAGCTCTCTCAGAAAACGCTAGTAGGGGATCTCGGGCGCTAGAGTCTGGCGGGAACACCTAAATGCCGCGTTTTAGTGTTACAGTGGTGTTATCGAGCATGAGATAAGGACATAATCACGTGCTGTTAAACACTCTTGTTAGTGATGTTTACTGTGTGCAAAGAGGCTGGGTGACAGCTTCTACACTAAGTTACTATACTAGATTCTTACTGTGTTGCGTCTATCTGCTTGTAGAACAAGCATGAATACGCTATAACCCTAAAATAATACACCCTTGTTAGAAGGGGGCTGTGCTCGTAGAATTATCAGTGGATTCTGATGCTGGTCTAAGTGCCTTCCAGGGGTATCTATTAGAGCGGCCTATCTAGCACATCCGGTACAGTGGTAAATGGGTTGGGGTTGGTTCAAGATTGGGTCGTACGTAAACCCAACCCCAACCCAACCCCAACCCAAGGTTCGTGCGACCCCAACCCAACCACAACCCGTTGTCGGGTACCTCCAACCCGTTTACCGGCGTACATATCCGCTGCCCCTACTAGCGTTTTCCGAAAGAGCCTTGTTTATACGGTAGTACTTACCTAGCTAATGGTAGCTATTTAATGCACCAATGCTGGCACATAGCCCGAAACCAACACCTTACTTTACCACTGATGCAGGTTAGCTTCATGTGTACGCTAGTTTTCCTGTTTATTGTCGGGAAAGAATTAGCTTTATGTGACCCTTACTTCCCAAAGTTTGAGACCTCAGCCACTTCCGCTTACTGTGTGCAGCGCATATAAGCACTAGTACTAGGTGCCGCATGGCTTGAATTTCATGGGGCCACTGGACATGCTCGGTGGTTCCGATCACAGTTAGGCCGCCAGCAACATCGTTGACCGACGTTGATGAATCGTCGTTTCCTATTCCAACCCGAGGTCGTTCATAAGCGGGCTAGACAGGTAAGACATAAGCTATATATCTACAGCACGTCAGAGTGTAGTGGATGCATTACGTAATTCTACCATGTGTCTGTGTGGAGGAAAACTAGACAGACTGCCTGCATGAGTTATATCACGTGTGTGCTACATTACCGCTCGGACTCCGGCATCAAGCGTATCGCGAGCCAGATGAGACGGATCTGCTGCGCACGCTCCCGCGCTTCTGGGACAATGAGATGGTGGCGGTAATGACGAACCCGCCGCCGGGTATGTCGGCGCCTAGCTCGCTCGGGCTGTCAGGTTTTGGTGTCTTGGACGCGTATACAACTATGAAGCCTGCGTATGAAGGTGTGGCTGGTAGGAAGGTTGAAGCAGAGGACGCCTGGCTGGGTATTACGTTGTACTCGCCCGACATCTTGTTGCATTTGTGGATGGTGCAGGGTGCTGTGAGGATGCAGTGCGTGTACCATGAGGCGTATCCTGAGGAAGAGACAGTGACGGCGCTGCTCAAGGCGATTGGGGATGAGTTACTGTAAGGGCTGGGTTTGGCCTGATTAACGAGGTTGGGAGAGATGAATCTGAATTGCTGTAAAGTAACTCATTGAAGGGATTATTACAATGTGGTATTGCATTCAAGACACCTACACGTTAAATTGATCTTATACTTCTAAGTCGACATATACCACAAATCTATCCCTAGACGCACGCTAGAGAAAGCTGTTCCTTGCTCCTCTCGTGGCTTGTTCAAGAAGTCATCGATTGCCACAATCATTTGCCGTTTTCTAACGCGCACTATACGACACAAGCGCCCCAACCAGCGGAAAAAGAGTCCTCAAATAATTCAGCCTCGCCCACTCCTCAATCAACTCCCTAGTCGACGGTGCAGACGGCAGTGTCTTCTCTCCCACCTTCCCCTTCGCCATCCCAGCCGCCCTCTCCAACAGCAAACTCTCGCTACGAATAATGAACAGCAGCGTAAAAGGCACCAGACTCGCCGTACACAGCCCCGCCAGCAAAAAGCGCAGCGCCATACTCGCACCGTCACCAGACCACCAGCTGATCAACGCATTGCCGAGATTGGCAAGCGTAGCCACAGCCGCGAACGGGGGGCACAGGAAGAAGCCGCGCCGGAAGATTATTCTGAACTGCGCGAGCACCGTCGCCTCGTCGGCCATGGGGGACGCTAGGAGAGCCGCCCCGGAGACGAAGGAGAGGCTGAGCTGGCTGCCTGGAATGGAGGAGTATGTGTTAGGCTGTGTGTGGTGTGGATATGAGCAGGGAGGTAAGGTGGTTACCTGTATGGATGGCGGATGTGAGAATGCTGATGAACAGCAGTATGTCTGAGGTAGTCATGGTTGCGTGCGTATGCTCAACACGTGGTTCTGAATTGATGGTTATGTGTGTCTGGGAAAGTGCGGTGCGTTGGTGGCAGTCATGGCTGCTGTTCAGGCCTTTTTATCGCGACGGCTTCATAGCTTGCCGGCAACCGTTACTCTCCAAGTCCATTGTGGCCTGGAGTTGCCGGGAACTTTCACTCGAGGGGTTGCGTCGTCGGATTGCGTTGATGCGCGTTGTCAGCATCTATCGGCTGTTCTGGTCATAGCTGGAAACGCTTGGACTGGATTACTGCATTGTGGCCGGAAACCGACGTGTCTGGGATGGATTTCCTCACCACATGATACTAACCGGTCATGCTCAAGTCATGTGATGAGAAAACATGAGCTAGGCAAATAACACGTGCTTCGGATTCCACTGCAATTCTGATGTTCGCGAGCAAACAGATTACACTCCCTCGGGACACCACTTATGCAACACGGCACGGGCGCCGGCAGGAGCCGCACACGAACACGGACACGATCAGTGGCAACAATTCGGGATTCGTGTGCTAACTACATGGAGAAATACTACGGAGCGGACCGTGCTCCTCGCACAGTCGGTTTGTCCCCTACTTGCGCTCAACAACAATAATGGAGTTTTTCATCACTGACGCGTACGTCCGGATGTCGACAATTTTGAGACCGGCCTTGCCCAGTAAATCGTGCCACTGCTCCACAGTCCTCTCCAATGCGTTGAGCATCGTGTACATGTGCAGGTCCAAGCACGCCGACCACCAATGCACGTCCTTGTTTGGCAGCGCCATCTCGTCGATCAAGAGCTGCGAGTTGGCGCCCATGGCAGCGGCCGTGTTCTTCAGGATCTTGATCGAGTTCTCCTCGTCCCAGTCGTGAAGGACGGTGCGCATGTAGTAGAACCTGGCGCCTGTAGTTTGGTCAGCTTGATTGCGTCGCTCTCAAAGCGTGTACAAGTGTTGGCCTACCGTGAACAGGTTGAGGTGTGAAAAAGTCGTAGGCCATGAACTCCACGCCCGGCACAGGCGTCGCCACTTTAACCGTCTCCGGCAGGTCCTGCACAATGACCTTTCCGGGAAGCGTAGGGTACTTTGACCTCAGCCGCTTGCTCTGGTGGCCGATGCTGCCTCCGATGTCGACGAACAGTGCGCGTTCTGGGTCAACGTTGGCGGCCTCTTCAGCGAACGGGACAACGTCGAACCATTCGCCGTCACGCGGCACACTCATCAACTTCTGGAAGTAGGAGAGCTGCTCAGGATGCTGCTTGTAGTACGGGAACCAGTCCATGTCTGTCTTTACCGACTGCTGCCATGCGCATTGCGTACCGGGAGGAGTCTGGAAGCTCGTCTGCTGCATGAACTCGGGGAGGGCCGAGTAAGCCGGGATAGCAATCTCGAAGCTGGTCTGGTCAGCCGGGCTGTCATCACAATTCACGCTCACTGACACTTACATGTAGTACAAGCTGCCCTGTATGGCGGGATCCGCAAGGGATTGGGTTGTGAGGTTGGCGCCGAACTGGTCTTTGCCTGTCTCCGTGATGAAGCGCGTTGCCGCGAGGTAGCGCAAAACTCGCCCGAGGAAGGCCGGCTCCGCCTTTGTAGCGTCTGCAATCTCTGCCGTGGTCAATGGCGTATGGCTGGCGACAAGCATCTTAAAAAGGCCAATATCACAGCCAGCTTTGACCATGGGAACTTCGAGGGCCTGCCATGTCGATTCGTTAGCCGATGCGAACACTTCTATTTCGAAGTATGATACTGACCCCGTTGAACAGACGCAACATCGTGTCGTTCGGCGTTTCCATGGCCTCGGCGGCACCACGCAGCGAGTCCTGCATCTTGAGCCGGGCGGCCTCATCGACACGCACTCGATGCATATTCTTGGGCTCGGAAAGGGATGACATGTTTGCACAGGTGGTGGGGTGAGTGGTCTGGAGATGAAGAATGCCTTGTAGCTCGATTGATTTGTGTGAAGATGGTGTGCAGTGCTTTTCAAACAACTAACCACACCGCGGCGTACTCCTCATATACAATGGTGGAATCGGAAGCAAGCATCTTCTTTTCGGTACTTGCTCTCCGGATACCGACAGGAGCTGGAAGGGTAACCCCGTTTTCAATGCAAGGGGTGGGCTAAGCGTAGGTCTAGAAAGCCGCGGCCCCTCCAAACCGACTTCCCATAATCGATAACCGAGTAGTCGGTTTAACTTTTTTTTTTTTAAAATAGGGACAACAATTCATTCAGCTTAACTCCACGTTGCCATCATAAATCTTATCACACGCGTTGTCATTACCGTTGTGCATCTGGCGAGAAGCTCTGGGACAAGGCTAGTCTGATTGGATGGGAAGCTTCAAGGTCGCCGAGCGACTGGACACCGAGCTCCAGATCTAAACAACAGAGATGAACGCCGGTTTGCCGATCAATCACCTGTGCCCTTGCCGTCTTGTGTTGTCATAATTGCCCGCCCGAATCGTATGCGTCGGTCAAATCATTTGCGCATATAAGAAATACAACCCTTAGCTCGGCAGCATTGACTCAATCGCAACGCGTATTCATTCAACGCCGAGAAGTGGAAATCATCGCCGGCGCCGGAATCGCCGGTGTCAGTCGGGACACACAGTAACGGTTCGTCCAGTCTACTGCAGTTATGCCAATGATATTTTCAAAGTGACAACCCCCCATTGCGTGTGCTGACACGTCCGCAAAGACCCTCGAGCAGTCTGCCCTGCTCCAAGAGACCGGAGCTGCCATCTCCATAGCACCAAATGCATCACTGGTCCTCCGCAGCTGGGGGTTTGACCCTGCGAAGTCGCGCATGGTCGCCATCAAAACTGGAAGCATCCTCAACGGCAGTAGTATGCAAATGGTGGTGCCCAACTACTATGCGAACGTCGAGGAGGAATACAGCTTTCCTATATATTCCGTACACCGCGTAGATCTCCACGACTAACTGAAAGCGCTGGCAACAGGAGAGGACGTATCAGGGCAGCCGTACAAGTTACACGTTCGTGCCGCAGTAGTTGACTGTGTGAGCTGCACTCCGACAAGTCGATAACCTTTCGCCCTTCTCTGATCATGTGCACTGGGACACCGTCAATGCGAAAGTAACCCTGGCCTACGGCACGATCTGGCGGGCGGACCTGGTTATCGCAGCGCATGATGTGCACTCGACAGCCAGAGAATACGTCCTTGCTACAGACGAGAGCCACGTCAGTGACACGGGCTGGGCAACTAGGCGTTGGCTACTGCCGACAGAGGAATTGCTAACAGACCCGAACACTGCATCTTTGATCGAAGATTCTACCCAGAGGTACTTCGTGGGCGCTCGAGACGGGGGTTTGGTGTCCGATTTCGCAGAGCCATGGATCAAGATGCTCGAGAACTACGAAACTTCCACCAATTTCATCGGCTTCTTTTTGTCAATATGCATCGTTCCTTCTCACCATAATAAAGCAGAGGGAAATTGCCACAATTGCAACACTTTCCTAATATGTTAAACGATTCCATCCATTGAAAATGGACATACATGGAAGATGGCACTAATACCAAAGCGGTCTTCAGAGAGCTGATTACATTTCAAGGCCGGGTAGTGTTCCATGGTCTTGGGAGGTACATGCCAGGGTAGGCTGCAATGGTGGTCTTGAATTGTGGTCCCTGCATTCGGAGAAAATGCTAGTACATGGAAGGACATCAATGGGCATGCAGGGTGTGAAGAAGGGGTAAAGCGCGTGCCTGTGCGGCTACTCCCACCTGACCACAGGAGTACTGCCAGTCCGGGTGTGAGGAGTCATGTGCTTGAACTTGGCGTGAAATCTGCCCTCCACCCTTCGGGATGCATATACATTCTCAACAGTACACGGCGTTCTTGAGCCAAGTACATACAAACACTCCTGACCGTTAAAACCGGATACTGTACTTAGCCTGTGCTCCGTCCGCAGAATATTGTCTATCTGTTAGCCAGTTCAGAGCCTCGTACTAGTCTTAGGCGAGGCTTACGGCCGGAAGCCGACGACCTGACACCGGATCCCGAGATAGCGGGACCCAGCCGCTCAGTATAGTCAAGATAGGATCTAGATTGCAATGCATAACTGAAAGGTTGATTACAATAAAGACGGTTTAATTATGGATCCTAAGTTGTATAGGTTTGAAATAAACTAGGTCAAGCGCTCGTTCTCCTCCAACTATACCTCCTACGTGAACATGCATTTCGAAGCGGTCGAAGTAACAGTAACAGTAGTTGCATACTGTGTAGTCGTGACGATAGTAAGTGGAAGATACAATGTCTCAGTACGGGTTGCTGGGGTACAGTCGTCGTCACCGGTGGTTGTTGCCCAGAGGTGACGGTAACCAAGGGGGTAAAAGTAGCCGTTGAGAATGTGGTCCTCATCGCAGTGACAGTAGTCGTATCCGCCGTAACAGTGGTAGTCGTGGAGACAGGCGTGCCGCTCGTGACAGTTACCGTAGGTGGGTCAGAAGCACGCTTCTTGATCTCAACGTCAACAACCTCTGGATCAGCAGTTGGATCTTTCTTGTGGAGGTGGCCTTCCAATGTCGCACGTTTGAACTCCAAAGAACCGGCTCGAGCGGTCAGCTCGGCGAGAACATCCCGACGGGCGACCGGCGGTCAATCCGGAATTGTTGATCACAGTAACAGAAGTCGCGGTGTTGGTCTGTCACGAGGTTCATGCACCAGGATTGACACACGGCGTGGTAGTCGCGACTAACTTCGTAGTTACAACGCTCGGCTTAACCACAGTCTGTGCAACTGAGATGATTCCTTAATAACTGTGTGCGTTGGTAATGGTGTGAACGTTATCGTGTATGGGTTTGCGGAACGCGATGTTGTTGTTAGAGCCTGTTTACAACCAGAACAACCATGAACTAGCCCAGTCACCAAGTTTACTGCTTACCTTAGCGGTAAAAGTGATAGTGCTGCTAACCGTGTCTGTAGTGGTGACGACGGGAGTTGATATCGAGCTGACAATCACAGTTGGAGAAACCGTGGTTGTCACCTGCGTTGACACATTCAGAGAAAAGGTTCGGATGTAATCAATTGGATCGCAGTCTCCATTGTTCGACAAGACGATGATGCTCTATTCATCAGAGACCAGCTGCTATGAGGCCTACGATTCCAACATATGTACCAAGGTAAAAAACGTCACTTCCAGCTGACGATATCATAGAAGCTGCAGCAGAACTTGCAGATGCGCTAGCAGTTCCTGCTGAAGTGATCCGAGCTGTCGCTGTCGCTGTCGACCCAGTCATCTGAGACGCGGTCGAAGATGACTTGCTGCCACTCGTGGCCGTAGCGGTCGATGTTCCTGTCTGTACTTTGCCATCTGGGCCAGTGTATTCGCCAGAGTAGTAATCGCCATTACCTCCAACGTCATCGTGATATAAGCCTAACAATAAACACTGTTAGCTTCCCAAGTTCATATCATCGTTGTTATGATATCAAGGTCTGGAACATACCCGTCCCTAAATTCAAACACAACAAGCTCCCATCTGTGAACTTGTAGCAACCTTCATGAACTTCACAGCTCAGCGCAACCACACGGCTTTTCAACTCTTTCTTCCTCAGGATAGCGCCGAAGAAATGCTCGCTGGTGGTGTCGCGTTTGCGAAGCCCACTCGCTTTCAAGCATGCTTGGAAGGCATCGGCGTCGTTCATGCTGCAAGCTCTGCAATTTTGGATAGTGGTGTCATACTTAGGGGTGATGGAACAGTCTCCGACTGGAGGCCATGAGAGGGAGCCGGAGCTAGTACAGGTACCGGATGCTACAGTAAAGCGGAGGAGATTGAGCCAGAGAAAAAGGGTTGCATGAATAAGCTGCATTTTGAGTGAATGTTCAGGGGTAGAGTAGGTAGTTACGTGGTCGTGAGGTAGATGTGTACGAGATGATTTACCAGAGTGTTAGCGAAGTGCAGAGCTCTCGCTTCTATACTTAAATTTTCTGGGAATCAATAACAAGCAGTCTAACGACAGCGCCTAACAAGCCACATATAATCGTCTACCAAGATACGAACAATTGATTCATTAGGAACGTAGAGCTGAGTTTGTTGTAACTTGGCGAATCTCACAATGTCCGGAGAGCTAGTATGTACCATGTTGAGAACCTGTACCCCGTGTCTACGATAGGCTGTGAGGCACAGTCCCGAGAACAATCACTTGGCGTAAACCTTGTAACCGCATTCGTCACTCAGCTCCTCACACTATAACCAGATCCGGCACCCTATCGTCTATTATCCCCATAAGCAGTCTTGCCTACTTCGCGCACGGATATGGTCGCCGCAGCGCATGAAAACCGTGTGCAAGACTTGGATTCAGCCAAAGAAACTGTTCTTTTTCAGATCGATTTCTATCCTATTTACGAGCAGCCATAGCCGCAGCCATCGCCTCCTTGTCAGCGGCCACCATCTTCTGTATAGCTGGCCTATTCATGCAGCGGTCCCACCAAGCACCCACAGCCTTGCGACTGAGAATAACGTCTCCGTACCCACACGCGAAAAGTCTTTGGATCAACGGAATGTAGTAGATGTCCGCGAGAGTAAAGTCCTTTCCAGCCATGTAGTCGTTGTGTTGTAACTGACGTTCTGCCACGTCGAAATAACTCTCGATCGACTTCAATGCATCTGAGACGGCGGCCTCGTTGGGAGGCAGCCCCATGAACTTTTTGACGAATTTCTCAAATGCGATTTTACCCGCAGGGTCGGCGAAGTATTGCATCTCTACGGACTGCGCTTGGTCAAACAGCGCAGTAGCTTCGATGTCGGAGTCCGTGGGTAGAAGCGGAAAGGAATATTTCCTCGCTAGGTATGTGCAGATTGCGCGACTCTCGTAAAGAGTGAACCCCTCGGGGAAAGTGATGACGGGTATTTTACCCCATGGGTGACGTTTCATGTTCTCTTCGGACTGGGTGCAGCGGCGTTAGCATCAATCCAATTTGAGGATGAACCGCGTCATCTTCCACGAGACATAGTCCACCCACCTTCTGTTCCCCTTTATACAGATTGAAAAGCACGAGCTCGTAATCCGTGAAGCCACCTTCGGCAAGAGTCAGGCGGACACGATCGGTGTTGGTCGAACCGCGAGCGCCATAAAGAGTAAAAGCTGGCATTTTCGAGTTGTGGAGTAGTTTTGACACGAATTTGGGGCTGTTCGTAATGAGCTTCGACATGTGCAAGTGCTCCTGTCGAAAGATATTGGGCGAGCCATTCGGTATATAAGTCGATGGAGACGATTGAGCATTCTCGGAACCCGAGCTATGATCATCGCGGCAGTCGCATGAAATGTGGAGTGTGCACGGAGAAGCAGGGGCCGAAACCCTTTCCACAACCCCTCACGCATGATTGGTGAGATCGCTCTCGCTACCTAATCGAGCTAGCGTGGACGCCTGACCCCGAACAATACACTAGACACGCCGACTCACCAGCCTCCTGGTCCTGGCGATGCATCAAAGAGCATCGTTTGATTCGTCTGCTCGGACTTTTTGCTTGCTACGGATCTTCTTCTCGTTTGTAGCATGTTACGCGACAAGTGCGAGTGTCCCACCCCCACCCAACAATGGCCGGAAGTCTTATCGCCCGCAAGCGGACCATCCAATGTAGAAGCAAGGTAAAAACTGGATGTGCAACGTGCAGGTAAGTCTCGAGCTCGGTTACCGGACCAACCCCAAGACCGAGGGATCAGACGCAAGATCCGCTCTGCAGGGATTGTGCTCACTTACCATAGGATACGGAAGGTCAAATGCGACGAGAACAAGCCATTTTGTCAAAAGTGTGTTGGCACTGGTCGTACTTGCGACGGCTACGAGTCCCCGTTCAGATTGGTCACCAGTCAACGCATCAATAACGCTCGTACTGGCGGCATCAAGTCGGACGCTGGTTCCCGACCCATCCAACCCATCCTATCTGAGATCGCTCCTCAAGACATTGACCTCCTCAATCGTTACTTCTCGATTAAGACTATGTTCAACGTGAAACTGGACTGTGATAAAGAAGCCAAGCAAATCCTCCAAGCCAGCTTGACTGATCCGTCCATACGACACGCAGTCTCTTCTCTCAGAGCGCTTCGGGAAGATCTCGAGACGTTCAGAGGTGTTCCTGCGTCTATCGTGCAGCAAACCCCAAGCTATGACTATGGTCTTCAGCAATACTGCATGGCTTTGAGGAGTCTCGCGTCTAACTTGTCCTCTCCTGGCTCCGAAGAGTTGAAGTCGGCATTACTTTGCTGTCAGATTTTCATCAGCATCGAGCAAGTGCGGGGGAATTTCGCTACCATGGGCCAACATATCGTTCAAGGACTTAGGATCATGCACCAGTATAGAGCAAGGCCTGTCTTTCTTGCCGCGAATAGATTGGTCCCAGCACACCATGACCAGCTACCTTTCCTAGATGTTTTTGTCATCAAGTTGTTCGCTGCACCTTGCAAATTCGCGGATTCTCCCGCAACAGCTGATACAAGCGGGATGATGGTATCTGCGTGTTGGACGTCGCCGCATCAACAGCCTGTTCAATCTCGTAATCTTCGCACCATTGCACCCGACATGCGGACAGAGCTTACAAGGATCGCTACATCGACACTTGTATTTCTCAGCAGATTGTCGCATGTCGAATCGGCAGGAAACGCTCTTCAACTGTTATCCGAGAAAGCGTCACTGCTAGACTCTTTGGAATCGTGGCTCATTGATCTTGAAATAGTTCGTACGGAGATCAGGCCTCCTGGCCCTGAGCTTATCTCAGTAACTTTTATGCGCTTCTTCTATCAGATATTGAAAGTCGTTCTTTTGGGGGCACTAGACTCCTCACCAGATCTTTATGCCGAGCTGCAGACCGAGCATGACCGATTACAGGGTGTAGCGAGTAACGTGGGTGAAAGAGTAAGAGCTATTAGATCCTTCAGTGGGACTAGAGAGTGAGGTACGAGCCGGTAGGCGTCCGTGCATGTGATTTCACGCGACTTTTGTTTGCAGTGTGCAGACCGAACCAACCAATCAGCGGTTGATCATGTCTTTGAATCGGCTCCTGACAACAACCACGGTGCTCAGCTCCATAAATGGATCTGTAACCCGCCGCCCTTTTTGAAACAAAACAATTGAGTCTCTTTACATACTCAAGCAGAAATTACTCAGCCATAACTCCCATTATCAAACATCATGCATTTTTTCCTCCTTGGCGCTACCGGACGGACCGGCAAGCACGTCGTATCTGAGTTACTCTCCCAAGGCCATACAGCGGTAGCTCTCGTCCGTACCTCTGGAAGCCTTACCCCTCGTCCTGGCCTTACCGTCGTCACCGGCTCGCCACTATCCAAGTCCGACATAAAAGACGCTCTCTCTGCGGCACCTCCCCTGATACCCGCTGCAGCGATTATGACATTGAACACAGCCCGCAAGACCGAAAGCCCTTTCGCAGCTCCAGTCTCACCTCCCCGCTTTCTGACTGACTCGTGTGCCAATCTTTGCGAGGCTCTGGAGCAAACCGGCATTCGTCGCGTTGTAGTCATGTCGACAGCAGGTGTCGGGGATTCATGGGCCAATCTACCGTGGCTATCCAAGGGTTTCATGGGTTTAACCAACATCAAATACGCTCTCGAAGACCACGGCCTACTAGACATGGAGATTCGGTCGACAAAGATGGATTGGACTCTTGTGAGGGCTACGCGATTGGAGTTCGACAATCCGAAGCAGAAGACGACCGACACAAAGGCGGACGTGAAAACACTGGGCAGCGCGGGGAACGGAATGCGCATGAGCGACAGCGTAAGTGTATCTAGTGCGGCGAAGTTTCTGGTCAAAGTTGCAGTCGAAGGACTCTTCATCAGAAGCGCAGTGGTTATAAGGGATTGACGCTGCCGAGGGGTTGTGGAAGTTGCACCATTGGAGGATCGTTATAACGGGAGAACCACGGGAGTTATATTTGCTTTAGATTTGACCTGCCTTGACTGTTTAATTGACTGTTTCATATTTGCTTCCTGTCTCTTCGCATACACTCCGCAAGAATCGTGGTCTTCAGATCGTGTTGTATACACACTTTGTCAACGTCTATTTCTCGAAGCCCTGAGTAGTAAATCCGACTAATTCATAGTCACCTCATGGATTCATCTCGCCCGTATGTCAGAAACTACGCCTGCCGCCCAAGGCGTTAGGGCATGCCTGCACTCTGTTGACTGCCGGAAAAGCTCATTTGAATCGTCGTCAACCTTTCAAGAACCAAGCTCTCGTCTGCCGATATGCTGTACTCTAGTTGGGAAATTGAGGATACCTTGAACTACACCAGGCTGTTAACATGTGCCTAAATGAGTGTAATGCGTATGTACAGGTACAAATTGCCTGTGTATTGTGGAACAAGAAGTTAGCGGAGTTCATGTCTGGCTCAGAGCACGGAGAGTCTTGCTTAGGGTAGCTGCTGCGTAGACCCGCAGTTGCGGCTCAAATGCTACGGTTTCTGAAGTTCAGAAGATATGTGCGGTGAGGAGGATCACCAGGCGTCACAAGACCACACATTGAAAGTGTAAATGATAATGTATTGACTATGAACCTCGACAGTCTATTTATGAATCGAATATCGCTCCGTACGCCGGAATACCTCTTCTCTCCAAGTCATATACGATCTGCGTAGTGAGTCTCTTATTACTGATAATCAGCACTGCCTCGGCACGACACTCCTTATACAGTCTATATGCCATCAGACTCATGTCTGGTTTACCTTGCGTTCGTGTGTTATGGATGACCGCATCTGGATCTCTTCTGCGGACATCTTCGATGATAGACTTTCCAAACGAAGCTTCGTGATTGGAGGCTGTCCAGAGGATCCGCATAACGATGTTTTGGTAGGGGAAGATGGAGAGACATGGGCCAATGCCCGAACCTGTAGCCACCAGTACTACGCTCTTGAATAAAGTGGCAATGCGGAGGACTCCGCAAGTAGGGATCCCACGCTTCCATATATGTGTCGGCGGAGTGTCTATAGCGCGGCCCGTAAAGTCTCCTGCTCGACTAACAATCACCGAGAATCCCTTTGCAGCGCTGGTGGGGTCGTTTTTGTTAACATTCTTTATGGTGGCAAAGCCATGCCAGTCGCTGAGTGGTCTTTCGGCGAGACGAACACCCTGTCCTGGGGAGAGATTCGCGTGATCGAAGTGTAGACGAACGGCATGGGAAGAAAGAACTTCTGAACGGACAGGAACCCGGCGGAGGAAGAGCCAGGGAAATACGATGGCGATTGTGGCAGCCGTGAGAAGCCAAATCGAAGGATTATGAAGAAAGGCACTCGACGTCGTCGATGATTGAGGGCTCAAATCTTTGGTGGAGATTCCGACTAGTATCCAATAGAGGATGAGCACTGTCCAGCCACCAAATCGATGCGTGTTTTCCCACAGGTTGTGGTGTTTAGCGCGCAGTGTTGGATAAGACAATAAAGCCATGGTAATAAGCAGTGCAGCAATCACGTAGGACAGTATTGCTGGAGCTAGCGATATGGCCCTCGCACCTGCTCCCTTCGCAAGTTCTAGGCTGATACCAACAGTGAAGATCATGAACCAAATTACTGCAGCAACGGCGCAGCCGCTGTGAATACCACCAAGATGGTATATATGGGCGCAGATCCGGCGTATTCTTAGTGGAACCCAGGTAGGCACAGAAGAGAACACAATAAAAAGCAGATTGATGACTGGTTCTGAGCGTATCAAGATTGCGGCGCAAAGATTCGATGCTGTAGCTGTCGCGACTGACTGGAGAGGGAATGCGTTATGTTTGATGTACCGATAAAGAATCCCGCACGCAACTCCGATATTTGCAAGTACAACTAAAAGGAGCAACATGCGATAGGTGATAAGTGCGCGATGCTGCAGCCAGGCTTGTGCTGGCGGGCCCTTTGTTCCGGGAAGTACGACTGGTGTGTCAACCGACACAGCACTCTCAGAAGGCGAAGACAAGTTTGAAGCCTTGCTTAGCGAGACTCGAGGGCCCTTTTCGAGATCAACATCGTAGATCGATGCCGCGGACGGCAGTGGTGACTTCTGAGTTCGAACAGGTAAAGGTAAGGTGACTTCGTTCTGGATAATCAGGTCATCGAAAGCCGAGTCGTGCCTGTTGTGGGACGGCTTCTCCACCTTAATGACTGTGGTTGTTCCATCGAGTCTTAGAGCTGCTGCTTGGAGCTCAACTTTGTCTACCTTGCCGTTCGGATTCAAGGGGATGAAGCCGAGTCGAATCCATTTCTCAGGTACAGAGTAATAGGGCAGGTCCTTCCTAGTGAAAGCGTCGAGCTCCCTCTCATCAATCGAGACGGTCGAAACATAGAAGGCATGGAGAGCTCCGTTCATGATCAAAGAAGCAGCTTGTGTGATGCCATGGAATTTCTGGCACGTGTCAACAACATCAAGGTCGATATGCATAGAAGAGACTTACCTCGATAACTGATGTGACGCCGTCTAACTCGACCCGGAACCCCTAAAGATTTTAGTCATTCTCCTTAAGTGACGGAGGGCGGTTAGATCGTACCTTGATTTTGACTTGATCGTCCATTCGTCCAAACGAGTCCAAGGAGCCATCTGCTTTCCAGCATACGATGTTGCCAAAATTGAACATCAAGGTTCTATTCCATGGTCAGTATGAACGAGGAAGCCGTAGCGTGTAACTGACCCATCATTTGCGAATTTATCCGGGCAATATTTCTCTGCAGTCGTCAATGGCAAATCGATGTATCCTCGCGAAACGCCTGCACCGCCAACCCACAACGTGCCCCTTTGTCCAAAGGGCACAGGCTCCCCAGCATCATCGAGAATGTAACAGGTAATATTGGGTAGCGGCCTGCCAATGGATAAAGGCTCCCCCGGGACGTGTCTATGCGCAGAGAATAGAAACACTTCTGTCGAGCCAAGAAGGTTGTAGAAGTCCCTTCCCTGGGCCCATTCATCCGCTAGACTGTGCAAGATATTAGCAAGATATTAACGTGTGTATAGGTTGGAATATACTCACGCCTGCGGGCATGGCTCGCCTGCTACAACTATTGTCTTGATGTTGGGAAAGCGCCGTTGTTGGTACTTGGAGAGGATCGATGGAGTGCATATCAAAGTATCGACCTAGGATCCGATTTGTCAGAGACCGGTCGTGAGAGGAAAACGATGGGTATCACCTTTTCTAAAGTGGCATTCCAGTCAGATCCTCTGAGATGCAGAGTTCCGCCGTTCATCAAGGACCCAAGCATCTCCCACGAGCCTACGTTTGTAAGCTATGCACATGTGCCACTGGAGAGATAACCTACCCATGGCGAAGGAGATACTCAACACTTGTGCAACATTTGACCCAACGGTGATTCGCAATCGCCCTGGCTCCAACAGAAGAGCATTGGTCATAGTACCGTGTTTGACGTCTACACCTTTTGGTACACCGGTACTCCCTTCAGCATCAATTAGCAGAAGAACAGGCTACAGGAGTGAAGTCCCTACCTGATGTATACATGGCATATACGCCATCGTCGGACGAAACTTGTACTTTAGGTCTTTGTGGGGAATAAAACGCTCCTGTGTCCATGCCCAACTCAAGAACAACAGTGTCTTGGTGTGCAAATTGCATGACTCTGTTCCAATACGTTGGCAGACACAGTATGAATCGAGCCTTTGTATCTTTGATGATATGCTCCAAGTTCTGCTCTGACGCAACTCCCCCATCGATTGGGACGTATTGACAGCCAGCCTTCAAGATGGCCAGAATTCCAATAAGCATTTCCAATGATCGTTGGACTACGAGACACACCCGTTGGTGCGGACGAAGCCCTGAGTTAATGAGGTGGTTTGCAAGGCGGTTAGCTGCACAATCTAGCTGTTGGTATGTGATGAATTTGCCATTATGCACGGCTGCGACGATTGTAGGATGAGCATCTACTATAGCCTCGAAAGCTTCGTGTACGGTGCCGTAGAGAACAGGAAGCCTTGGACCACGGCCGAATCGAGCCAGCGAACATCGATCGTCCGATGAAAGGCTAGAAATATTGCTGAATTGAACTTGTTGCTCCATGATGCAGAAAAGGACTGCAGTCAAGAAGGTATGTTAGGAGCGTGATATAGGTCTCTATGTCTTGTGGGTGCCGTAAACTATATAGCTCACTTTTCACAGGAATTTACTTGACCTTTTCGCTTCGACACAAGGTAAACTTGGTACTGACATCAACAATATCCAACCCGTCTTACTGTCCAATCGATAAGTGAACTACATCCAAGTGTCTTAGAGAGCGGGGACGAAAATGGAGCTTTCGGAAGTCTAGTAGTAGCTGCAGGTGAATGAGGTACAGTGCATATCACTTAGACCTTTACAAGCATCTCATTACTTAAATGGCGCACCGATATAATGCGATTTTCGTCAAGTATTCACTCGGATGCTATGGCGCAGCGGGTTTATCTAGTTGACAAGACCAATTAACCTGAGATAGTTTAGCAATCTTATCCACAACACCCTCAAGGCACGAAAGACAGAATGCTAATGCAGATAAGTCGCCGACTTCAACTGTGTAGATGAGCTAATGCATTGTGCAGCGCATAGTCGCAGTGGCTACGGCTAAGGACCTTTCGAACCGCTCTGCACCCATTCAAGATGATATTCAATGAAGTAGTAATTTCATGTTGAGAAAACGCTAACCAATGATAATATGGTGAAGTACGAAAGAAAATGTATGATTGGAGGTGTTTTTCGGATTGCGCTCAAGTACGTACCGATACGAATGCTCAATGCATGGGAGGGTGTGGCAACCTCCACCACTAGGAGTCTCTCGCGCGAACTCGGAAGACAAGCCGATCGTTAAGTGCAAGGGCTTTCCATGTCTCCACATGGGCCTGCGCAAACCGGGAATACGGATAGCCACGAACTGTAGGTACATGACGGAAGGAAGCCCACAATCGCGCATGCATGTGCATATTGAGAATGTGCATACCTACGGAGGAGCTCGGACTTTCGAAAAACTCAAAGAAAAGCTTACCCTGTAAGAGAGGCAGATACAACAGTCCATCTCGCCGCGAATTCTTCGCTTGATATGATGAAGAAGCGCACTTTCAACGTCGTTGGAACACAACGTGGCAGATTTGTGGTATAAGCGTCCAGACACTGACGAGATCTTCCGTACCGCCACCGACATGTGCCAGATTTGCAGCTGGTGGGGCGGCCTTCAACCGGCCAATCGTCGACTGCATCTAATCGCCGCTTGTGATCTACTATCCGCTGCTGTGGTTAGAGATCTGTAGATTATGCAGACATATGCTAGCGTAAATCGACTAAAGGCTTTAACCAATACTAGACTAACTCTGATGCGCTGGCATTGCACTCCAGAATGCAGGTGACGACGTCTACCTTTGGCATAAACCTGTGGGTGTTTACAAGCAGCTTGCGGGTACTTGGCTTGCTTGAAACTCCTACGATAAACTGTAAATAACAAGAATTCGCTACGGCTATGTCTGTCAAACGACTGCAATCGTCTTTTACTGTGTTCTATCCGCTGTGCAAACAACGAGAAATATTATTAAGCTTTTACCTCTTACAGACCCTTTATCTCGCCAGCGGCTTGCTGGGTGTTTTGCATAGTCAACACGAACATCTCTAGTATTCACAAACACTATAGACCTTCCTTCTCTGCGCGGCTTTTTGCACGTCCTCGAGTTTGAAGTGTCGAGAATTGACACATCAGCAGCCCTTAACAAGAGGAGGCTTTCGTCTCCTCAGTCAGCCATGAACTGAGAACGCATCCATACGCTGAAACATTTGGAAGCCATGTTAATCTCCCTAGGAACTTCTCTTTGTGGCATACTTGGTTCTGTACAGCTCCTCGTGAATACAAAGCTAGACCCTTTTCAAGCAGGATGAACTGAGACGATAGAGACCTCCGGTTCGACGCTCAACGATACGCTTACCAATGTGCTGTCTTATGCGAGAATTAACTAGTTCGAGCGACAACAGCATGATTACCGCCAGAGGCGGCCTCCTGACGCCGAATGGTCGCAATCAAACCAAATTCGTCCTCTTCCCAGAGCTGACACGGATTTCAAAGGCTTGTACGTATCTGCAAACATTGCACTGTTATGTAAGGGAGTCACGCGCGTTGTGGAAGCTGGACAGTCATACGACAGCTAAAAGAATCGACCCAACGTTACGGTCATCGACAAAATCGATCACAAAGATAGTTGGAGTTACTTCACTGAGCCAGGCGCCATGCGCCGAATTGCGATGAGCGTCATTGGCAATGCATTACACTCTCATTGTCAAAGACACCAGGAAAAGATTGTCGAGGGAGTTGATGGACAATCGTTTTTCGATCACATTAATTCAAGAGGACGCAACCACATGTAACCGTGTTGGGATCGGGATGTCCATTGTGAAGAGTTTGGTATCGTTACTCGCCGGTAAGATCAAAGTGAGTAGCGAGTCAGACAAGGAAACAGAGGTCACGGTCATGATTCCAATGACACATTGCAATTCTGATCAAAGCGAATGGAGCAAATCGACACTCGATCTGGATGAACGCACTATATTTGTTCGTCAGAACCTTATGTCCTTGGTGCTATTTGGTTGTCCTGCCCTCGTTCGCCAAGCTCTTGAGGGATATCTCCTCCTGTGGTTCCACTGCAACTTGTTGGAAAGCCATGATCAGCGCGATCTGTCAATCTTTTCAGACTCCAAACTTAGAAAGATGGCATCTACGTATTATATATAACATGAAGTATTCGTCTGGAAGGAGTGTGTTGCTCCTACCTCTATCTAAATGAGTGGCCTACGAGTTGTGCATACTTATGTCCTTAGCTGCTACATAGCATTCCCTTGCCTATCGAACCTTCAAATAACGTTAGGCAAAGCTTCGTGCCATACTAGCGCGCCCGAAATGTTGGTCATGAACATAAGTCTTTTGGTCATTGAAGTCCAGAGCACTAACGGCAATGACATTGACGCCGTCTTCATCAAGAGATGAATACTCGTGGTTTTGCCAGAAGTTCGCGATTGATTGTCCCGCCAACATCAAAACGTAGGCTGTCGTCGTTGCCTGCTTGGCCAGAGCTTCGCCCATGCGGAGAAACAGAATGTCCTGTTCTGCGCCCGTACCACGTTCATCAATCCAGTCGAGGGATTTATTGCCGAAGACCCTGTTCTTGTACTCGCCATTAGTGGTTTTTGCGAAGGCGCTGGCTTGATCCTGCTCGGCACTTGCAGTGTAAGAAACGCTATTTTCGCCAACGCTTGCGTTGCCCTGAAGCCAGTCCTAAATTGTCTCGACAGATGGGCAATTCCGACGGTGTAGCTTGTGCACTGCTGGCGCTGCAGATACAATGCTCAGGAAGACTAAGAGAATGAGTCGACCGTGCAAGCACCAGGTGAGCTATACGACAGTAAGTCCTACTAACTGGAAATCAATAACGCTGGACGCAGATACTCTGCAATAGAACAGTACCCTTGATAAACTTGAGACTTTTAAGGCGAGGGATTATATGTGGCGAGTACAGATACAGCTTGTGGCTGGTGTGCTAGGTCAGCACTCTTAGGCCCCCACAAGCTGTGGAGGACATGACGCCATAATCAGAATCGTACCACATGCCAATTGGAGCCAACTCACGGAGCACTGATTAGTTGAGAACAACTCCTCGGTGAGTATCCAGCAACATCTTACCCCAACACCAACCCTCGGCACAAGTCAAAACACTTCCAAAAGTCGCTTGGACAACAAAGGCATCTCATTCAAACCCTAGCACCTTCACTGAGTTCCTACCAAACCTGCTACAGCACTAAGTATCCAAACCCCCTGCGCATGAAGCTCGCAACAATGACGCCTGAACTCGGAAAGTCGCTTATCAACATGGCTGCGGCTGCAGACGTTGACCAGATGAGAACCCTACTTGCGACCGGCGAAGAGTCGCCTTCGGAGGAGACCATCCAGAGCCTTCTGACGACAGCTGCGGGAGGCTCCCACCTTGACGTTGTCAATTTACTGTTGACTCAGTACCCCACTGTTTCTCCGAACGAGGAGGTTGTCCGAGCTGCGGTTTACACCGGCTCAATCCCCATTTTCAAGGCCTTACTCGCCCGGGATTCCTCTTTGATCAACATGCAGTTCGACAGGCGTGGCACGCCTCTCATCGTGGCGTGCATGAGCAAGCAGACAGTTGAGTACCTGCGGTTTCTACTTGAGGCTGGCGCCGACCCAAATCAGGACCCAGACGCAGCCTCTTTCCCGCTTGCGCTTGTGGCAGCGTTCTACACTGACCCCGCCGCAATCGACCTGCTGCTGGAACACGGTGCCCGCCTGGAAAGGTCCGGCGCGCTATCTGCCGCCTCCCGGCGTGGCAATGAGCCGATGATCTATTATCTCTTGGAGCGCGGCATTCGTCTCGACACCGATGCTCCCACTATGGGGACAGACGCGCTGCCCCTCCATGTGGCTGTCAAGAGTGGCCACGCTGGCGCAGCCAGAATTCTGCTACAACACGGCGCCGACCCAGATACTACCGATGCCAGTGGCGCTACGGCTTTCGAGGTTGCTAAGTAGACAAAGCAGAAAGGAAAGAATATAATAGAGATAATAAGGATATTAGAAACAAGGTAAGGATTTATTAAATCTCCTAATACTTTAAATACACTATTTATTTTAATTATAGAAAATAATACTAGGAAACTAGATATAGATATTAGATTATATATATTATTTTATTCTTAATAAAGTTATAACTACTTATTTTTAATATATTCTTTATTTAGTATAGTATAATTTAGTCTTATTTCTAATAGAAAACTAGTTATACCTAGTATAAAAACTATATTAAGGTAAAAAGTAAATTAGTCTTACTTATAAAGAAGCTAACTCTAAGAATAGTTACTAGTATAAATTAAATAGATTTACTAAGAACTTATAGTACTAGTTTTTCTCTACTTATAGTTCTTTTAGTAGTATACTAAGTCTTTTTAGTATATAGTTAGTAGTATAGGTATTAGTAGTTAGGCTTACTAAGCTTTAAGGCTTTACTTACTAAGGTTTTACTAGGCCTAGCCTATTATATAAGCCTTTTTTCTAATAAGAACTTTTTAAATTTTAACTTTATTATAATATAATATATTATTTTAATACTATACTTCTACTTATATCTATATAAAAATTTAGCTTTAGTATATTTAAAATTTTACTTATTTATTTACTTACCTTATTCTACTTTATTAATATAGCTAATACTTATATTAGTATTACTTATAATTATAAGTATTTTACCTTTTATAGCTTTACTTTCTCTTAGTATAAATAAAAAAAGTCTAGAATAGAAACCTTAAAAGCTAATTTTATTAAAACTAAGGCTTAGCTTTTTAATACTACTATTATATTAATATTAGATAAAGTTACTAGTAAACCTAGTATAAGTTTTCTATTTATATTTTATTAGCTTTATTAATTATTTTTTTTATATTATTTAAATAAATACTTACTTTATAGCTTTCTTACTACTTTACTTTTATAGTTAATATTTTCTTTATTAGTAAGCTTAACTCTTTTTACTATTTTAACTATATTATTTATTAAAGTACCTAGAGTAAGATTTACTAGTTAAATAAAAGTAAAACTACTTATTACTACTACTTTACTAAAGTAAATTCTACTAATTATATAATAAGTTTATTAAAATTACTTTTTATTTTTATTTTTAGTTAATATTTTTATAGATTCTTAATTAACTCAAGCTTACTATTATATATATCTATAAGATTTTAGTACTTATTAGTAAAAACCTAGAAGTATTAGGTTATTAATTATTAATTTAAAAGTATATAGAAATAGCTATTAATATACTAAGCTAGTAACTAAAATCTAAACCTAAAAATTAGGTAGATATAAAATCTAGATATAAAAACTACCTAAATATAATATACTAACTTAAAATTTAATAATAAAGTAATAATCTAAGTAGAAGAGTTAGGTTAAGGTTAAAAAAACTAAATATTAATATTATAATAAGTATAGAAAAAGGTTTTATAAAAATATACTTCTATTTATTATATAGATCTACTCTACCTAAAGTAGAGTACTATAAGCTACTTAGGCTATTTATTTCTTAAGTAAGTCTACTCTACCTAGAGTAGAATACTATAAGCTACTTAGAATTTTTATTTTATAAGTAAGTCTACTCTCTATAGAGTAGTACTAGGTACTATAAGTTACTAAGAATTTCTATTTTATAAATAAGTCTACTCTCTATAAAGTAGTACTAGGTACTTTAAGTTACTAAGAATTTCTATTTTATAAGTAAGTCTACTCTACCTAGAGTAGAATACTATAAAGTACTCTAGATTTCTATTTTATAAGTAAGTCTACTTTACCTAAAGTAGAATACTATAAGTTACTTAGAATTTCTATTTTATAAGTAAGTCTATTCTCTATAGAGTAGTACTAGGTACTATAAAGTACTTAGGATTTTTATTTTATAAGTAAGTCTACTCTACTTAAAGTAGAATACTATAAGGTACTTAGAATTTCTATTTCTTAAGTAAGTCTACTCTACCTAAAGTAGATTACTATAAGTTATTTAGAATTTTTATTTTATAAGTAAGTCTACTTTCTATAAAGTAGCACTAGGTACTATAAGTTACTAAGAATTTCTATTTTATAAGTAAGTCTACTCTACCTAGAGTAAAATACTATAAGTTACTTAGAATTTCTATTTTATAAGTAAGTTTACTCTTTATAGAGTAGTACTAGGTATTATAAGTTACTTAAGATTTCTATTTTATAAGTAAGTCTACTTTACCTAAAGTAGAATATTATAAGGTACTTAGAATTTCTATTTTATAAGTAAGTCTACTTTTCTTAGAGTAGAATATTATAAGTTACTTAGGATTTTTATTTTATAAGTAAGTCTACTCTTTTTAAAGTAAGGTACTATAAGTTATAAAAGATTTTTATTTCTTAAAGTAGGCTACTCTTCTTAAAGTAGTACTAGGTACTAAGGTTATTTATTTCTTAAGTAAGTCTACTCTCTATAGAAAATAAAGTAGTTTATTTCTTAATATATTCTAGATATAGTATAGCAGCTTTCTATCTTTTCTTTTATAGCTTAGTTTAATAGTAGAAAAAGAAGTAATAAAATAACTTTTTTAAAGTCTTATATTACTTATCTACTTAGAGATAACTAGCTTATATATATTCTTATAAAGAACTCTTCTATTTTATATCTATACTTACTAAGTTAGAAGTAAATATACTATTATAGCTTACTAGTAGCTTATTATTCTTCTAAGTATTATTACTCTAGAAGCTAGACTATAGGAACCTTATTTAGTAAAATAAGGTTTTATATAGTCTAGGCACCTTTAAAATAATACCTAAAAAAATAATAAGCTACTCTAGTACTACTAGTACTAGTAAATACCTAAACCTTAATTTTAATTTTACTATTCTTTTTTTTATTTTCTACTATTCTAGCTCTTATACTCTTACTATATTTTATATAAGTTCTTTTTTAATTATACTCTACTTCTCTTTATTTATTTTAATTCTTTTAACTTCTTAAGTTATATCTATATCTACTAAGAAATAACCTTTAAGTCTTTAAAAAAGTCTATATATATTAGGATTAGGGATTTTAGTTTAAAATCCTTATAGAATAGGTACGTACATAATATATATTACTAGTGCAAAATTTAAAAGTTAAGATATAAAAGTCTACTTTTAACTAGGTAAAATTTAAAAGTAGAGATATAAAAGTCTATATTTAACCTAGTAAAATTTAAAAGGCAAGATACTAAAGTCTACCTCTAACCTAGTAAAATTTAAAAGGTAAGATATTAAAGTCTACCTCTAACCTAGTAAAATTTAAAAGGTAAGATACTAAAGTCTACTTTTAACTAGGTAAAATTTAAAAGGTAAGATATAGAAGTCTTCTTCTAACCTAGTAAAAGTTAAAAGTTAAGATATAAAAGTCTACTTCTAATACAGTAAAATACATAAGTTAAAAGGCAAAAGTTAAGATATAAAAGTATACCTTTAATATAGTAAAGTTTAAAAGTTAAGATATAAAAGTCTACCTTTAACCTAGTAAAGTTTAAAAGTTAAGATATAAAAGTATACTCTTAGCCTAGTAAAATACATAAGTTAAAAGGTAGAAGTTAGAATATAATAGTCTACTTTTAACTTAGTAAGATTAAAGAGTTAAGATATAAAAGTAAACTAAAGAAAGTAAAATAATTTTAACCTATAATAATACTAGAAATACCTTTTCTTATACTAGAATATTTAGAACGCAAGTTTAAATATAATAATAATAATAAAGGTAGAGTAATAATTTAATATAACTTTATCTTATTAACCTAGTCTTAACTTATTAAACTCTAAAGTAAAGGTATTAGCTAATAAAATTACGCCTATATTAAGTACCTTTCTTATTTTACTTTACTATATAATCCTTCTTTTTCTTTTTTATACTTTATTCCTATTTCTAACCTACCTTCTTTATTAGCCTATTATAACTACTACTATATACTTATAGAGGATATTAATCTAACTAAATTAGATAATAAATCTAGCTATAGAGATTAAGCTTTTTTACTAGAAGATAAAGAAGAGTTTAAAGATATTAAGCTAAAAGACTATAGTACTAGCCTAGACTCTAAATATAAGGTAGATAGTAATAGTAGCTATAGGTAAGGGCTTATAATATTCTAGTAGGATTATAAGTAGCTTTTACTAATACTAGCTATATTCTAACCTTACTATAATATAAAATTACCCTAAAGCTAAACTTTCTATAGACGTTTAAATATAAGATACCTAAATTATAAAGATATACTATATAACTATAATCTAGAACCTTATAATACCTAAGTTAATTTATAATCTCTTTATTACTATAAACTAGAGTAATAATCCTATATTTCTTAAGATTACCTACTTTATTTCTAAAGTGCTATATATAATTAGCTATACTATACGTAATAAACTAGCCTTTATTATCTTAGACCCTATTTAGTGTAGTAATAATATATATACAGTATAAGAGCTTATATACACCTCTTTAATAATTAACTTTAAAGATATTATTAATAAGCTATTTATTCTTAATTAGTATTATTTCTTTATAGTAGTATTCTAGTGTATAAAGGAGATTCTTTTTATACCTACTAAGTCCTACTAATATAAGCTATACTAATATTAATATAGTTTATTTTAATATTACTATTATATATCTTAACTTAAGTTTTACCTAAAATACTAGGCGTTTAGACTATTAGAGTATATTAACTACTTTACTAATAGGTAGTAGTATCTCTAGGTAACACCTAAACTATTAGTACCTATAGATATTAAGTATATAGAGTATAAAGAGAAGGTATATAGGTATAATAAAAATAGTAAAGAAGAAAGTAGTAATAAAGATAAGAATAATAATAAGCCTAAGTATAGGTAGAACGCGTATTAGAATAATCTATAAGTAGGCTAGAGTAAAATTAATAGCTACTATATCTATAATAGAGTAGATTATAAGATTCTATATTATAACCTTTACCTAT